GCTCATCATTGAAACAGTTGGTTCAACTCACCTAAGGAATCTCCTTGGAGATGATTGGCTCAACAAGCACGAAGATAAACTCGGCGCTTATGCTGGGAATTATGAGATAGCAGCATGGTCCAATGTTTTCATGTCTTTACCAGAGGAACCCACAGACCTATCACCAGAGGAGGCTAAAATATATTTCAGAAGATTTCACACGGCATTTGAGGAAGCATATATGAAACAATCATCACGAGTAGTACCAAATGCGAAACTTAGGGATGAACTGAAGGTTTCGATAGCAAAGAAACTTGTACCAGAATACAGAGAGTTTTACAGGAAGTACTTACCAATGCTCGGTCAGGAGAGGAACATTGAGATCCTAGTGAGGTTCAAGCCAGATAATTTGGAGAATTACATCTCTGATCTTTTCCACGGAACACCAATTCATGCATCATCTTCTTTTTCTTCATCTTCGTCGTCTTCATCCTGGAAATCTCTTGGGTGTGTTTCAGGCTGAGAGACTTGATCCATAGTTTTGGCTAAATATTCCATTCTACGTGATGTGAAGTATAAAAAATGTAGATACTTGTGTTTGCATTGTGTGTACAACAACAGAAAATGAGAACAAAAAAACAACATTGAGATTTTCTTTACATAATTTATGCCGAGTTCTTCATTATCTAAGAAAAAACAAACTTACGAAACGCTGTAAGAATAAAACGAGTAGTCTCTTATAACCGAAGTTGATATAAATCTGTAAAGAATTTGATTCAGTGATATACATTCAAGAAGCCAGTTACTTATCACATAGAAGCAAAATGTATAGAAAATCACACAGAGCATAGTGTAAACATAATGTCCTGAAGAACAAAAGCATTATTCACTTCTTGAATAACTAGAAAAAGAAGGAAATATGATATGCAAGAAAACAATTGGATCACAACTATTACTTAGGAACTCCATGATCAGAAGGACGGGATAAAGATTGCCAACCGGTACAAATTTGCATGATTTGCTTGAGAGTTTCTGATGGTGGCTCCACGGTCCATGTCGGGTAGTGTTCGCTTGGATGGAACACACATTCTTCACTGGCTCCTGTCAACAAGGAAGGTTGAGCTCCATTCAAGAACAAGTCATTTTCAGATCGTACTAACCCAGCTCTCGCTTCTTCCTTGTCAGCAGCCTACAAACAAACTCATACAAGATGATGGTAGTGGATTCATAAAAAGAACAAGATTTTCTCTGATGCAAGTGAAAAGCGAGGATTAACCTTTTCTGAGTAGTATTCAAAAGTTTTCTTCTTCACTCCCGCTTCGTATATATTGCATTGAGAGAACACCTGATTTCAGAAACATAATTACCCTCAGTTGAGAGTTGAAACAATAATCTAAGATCAACAATTGGATTTTTAAGATAAATCCCGTCTCCTGGATTTATTCAGACAGCAACTAAAAAAGAGATTTTACCTGCGCTTCTACGCTAGCACAAACAGCATATATTCCCCAGTTTCTTGTATAGTTGTTGTACAAATGAACTTTTCCAAATCTGAGACGAGGTTGTCTCTGCCTCGTTCCATCAAAGAAACAATGGTGAATGGTAACTCGGATACATCTATCTTCAACATGAGAAGGATCAGCTCCAATCAGCATCGTCTTGTCATGCTGAGCAAAATAACATCTGTTGAAACCAGAAGCAACATTAAGCCCCAGACAAGAGCATACATGACATTAACCTTAACCATCCAAAATCATCAACCTCACCTAGAAACAGTGATATCCGTGCTTTGTCTAGTGATATCAATAAGTCCATCATCGTAATCGCGCAGACTACACCTATCAATCCAAATGTGTCTAGACTTTGGTTTAATCTGAATACCATCAACATCATGACCTCTACCACCTTCAAACTCCAAATTGCAAATGATGATATGTTCACATTCCTTCAATCTTATTCCTTTCCCCGTAAGCTTAATTCGTTGTCCTCGTCCGTCAATCGTCTTGTAAGACGATACACTCAAGTATGAATTGAGATTTATAGTTCCAGAAACTGCAAAAACAATCCACAAAGGCTCTTTCCTCCTACCTCCTTCACGAAGAGTCCCAGGTCCATCATCTACAATTCACACATAACCAATCTCAAGATCTTCGAATACAACAACAGCCACAAATTGATTCCGTGTCTCAAATCAATCAATAAAAAAGGCGAATTAAGCTCGAGGAGTCGTACGAAATACATCACCTGCAAGAGAAGTGACAACGTAGAGATCGCCGTGGAGACCACCGACGGAGAAGCGACCGAAACCCTCGGCACGGCCAGCTAAAGCCCTGAGGCTGCAATCGGCATCAGCGTACGGTAGCGACGTCATCGTTTCGTTGTTATGCGACGTCGTATCAAGTCTTTCTGTTTACCGTCAAGCCTCTCTACTGGAGCGACAAAGGCAAAACTCAAAAGTGTAGATTGATTCTCTAGATCGGTGATTCGGTTTACCAAACCGGTTTGGACCGGGTAGATTGTTTAGTACATACATATTTGGTTTATGGGTCACGTGGACAACATTAACATCATGGAATAGTCAATTTTGAAACAGAAAAACTTGCCATTAACGTCTCCTTTGAAATTGCACTTATCCTTCCTATTTTTAGTAATTTCTCGAGTTGAAAACAAAAATTCAATCCCTCTGTTTTTAACGGTATCGTTTCTAAGTTTACTAAAGTTCAAATGGTTAGGTCTCTCAATTATTGGTTGAGAGTTGAAACACATCATTGGTTGAAATATTACAATTCAATTTTTATTTTTTTTACAAAAATACTGACTAACGAACCACAACTGTTTTTTAGATTTGGGACCCCCAAAATCTCAATACCGGGTACTGTCACAATTCAAAAACAACAGAGTAAAATGTGAGTATTTATTGCCGTAACAACCATGCCGACCAAAATAAATGATAGTACTAATTTACATGTCTTGTTATACTATGATTTAAGAAATTATAGTCGATAAGGTTTCAACCTTGGTACTTTTACTAATGAAAACATGTTTTAATATGTAAACATCGTGTTAAACAAAATTTGGTAGATGTCCCCAGCAGCTTTCTTTGAAGTGACAAGTACAAATTTGGTGTATGGTATGGGTTACGTGAATAAACACTACATCATCCAATAGTCAATTTCAAACAAAACTTAGCCATTAACGTCTCCTTTGAAATTGTACTATCCTCCTCCTATTTTTAGTAATCTCTCGTGTTAACAAAATTTCATACCTCGACTCAATCGGTTCCTTTAATTCTTACATGTTTATCGTTTCATATTGTCATTTGACTCGTTTCGATATTGTCGTCAATCATTCATACATCATGTATATAAAAAATAGATATTTCCCTTAATGTATTGATGTTAAAACTTGAATTGTTTCTTAGGAGTAGAACTGTAAAATTAGCGATTCCAAAACAGAAGAACGTGTTTGTGGCCGTCAGAGTCTGCCGACAAAAAAAGGAAAAATCTACATGTTATGGTTTGAAAGTTATTGGTTACTAAAGAAAACATGTTTTCAATATATCGAAACAAGGCTTTAAACAAAATTTGGTAACTGTATCAGCTTTGAATAATGGATAATAATGAAATGCCCCACGAGTTGACGAAGCCAAATTGCATTGTATCACGGATTCACTAATCACGAAAATCACGATTTTTATTTCCTCAATACATTTATGTCGAAAATGAAACTTCATGACATAGTTGAAAATCAAGAAACATTTAATAAAATCATGTATCGTAATCCGTAGGGGATGGCGATGATGATGGTGGTTGTCGAATTCTACGAGCCACATAATTTCGTGGGCTCCTTCATTCTGCACACAAATTATAGTTAACTCTCTCTCTCTCTCTCTCTCTCTCTCTCTCTCTCCTCTCTCTCTCTCTCTCTCTCTCTCTCTCTCTCCTCTCTCCTCTCTCTCTCTCTCTCTCTCTCTCTCTCTCTCTCTCTCTCTCTCTCTCTCTCTTCTCTCTCTCTCTCTCTCTCTCTCTCTCTCTCTCTCTCTCTCTCTCTCTCTCTCTCTCTCTCTCTCTCTCTCTCTCTCTTTCTCTCTTTCTCTCTTTCTCTCTTTCTTTTCTTGTTTGAAAACTATATATAGTTGACTACTTTAAACTTGTTTTTTGTTAATTAATTTCTAACTTATTAGTAGGTGTATTATATATCTCTGATATCACAATCCAATATTCTACAAAGATAGACTAATCAAGAAATCCAACCCAATTGGGAAATTGGAGTTTTACCAATTAATGGAAACTACGGCCATCCCAAGTTACCAACCGTTTTGTGGAGCCACATTGAAGAGTTTTGACATCCACATCCACTGTATACATGCATGTTTGTCAACGAATTCCTCTATAAATGTTTCAGCATGGTTCCTTTCTATAAATGTTTATCACTTTTTTTTTTGTATTATTTCATCAATTGATTCGAGATATATTAATAAAGGTATATATATATATCGTTAATTGTACGTGTCGGTGTTAATATTTGATTTGGTAATTAGGAGTAGAAAACGGTTTTGGAATACTATAAAACCATAATTCTAAAACCAAAAAATGTGTTTAATTTTTAGGCCATCGGAATGATGATGTACATAATATGCTTTGGTTAATTTCCAACTTAAAAAGAATAATCAGAGGCGGATCTTGGTCCTTGTGGACGTTAAACTTATTATTGGTTACTGATCAACGCAAACGTGGCTCTGTATATACAGGAACATATCTTCAAAATTTGGTTGATGAGTCAAATATAAATGCGACTCGTGGTGCAGTGCAGAAGCCGGCCAAACTCAAAATACAATTTGAATTTTCTTTTACTCTTATCACGAATTGAATGACCACGTACTTCACGGTTTTTGCTTCTTACATACATTTAATGTCGAAAACGAAACTTCTAAATTATTGTTGATTCTTACTAGCCACGGAGCCACACGAACGTTACATTTTTCCTTATAAATAATCACGTATCGAAACTATACGTCCCATCATAAAAATATCATTACTAAGAACTTTCTGATTCCACCATACTTCACCATCAGTTTGATGATATCTTAAACCTAAACCCTAAACGACGCCGTACGATGAATCTATCACTTAGCGGTAGAAAGATTGCCATGACACGTGTTTCGGCGGAAACTCAATATATCACTCCCATCGGATCACCAACGCTCGACGAGTTGCTGAAAGACTGCGACAGTTTCCGAAAAGGAGATTCCGGCGACGGCGTAAAAAGCGACGATCCGGCCCATCACATAATAGATGTCGAAGCCTTCTATGTAAAACCTGTTCCGTACGTCTTAGCCTTTAACAATCTTGAATACGATGTCGTACTACGACGTCGTTTTGATTTCTCCCGGCGAAGAAACTCCGCTTCCGTGAAGACTCTACTCGGTGGTGTTTCCGGCGAGGCTTGTGACGGCGATATCCTCGCCGTTCTTGGTGCAAGTGGAGCAGGGAAATCAACGTTGATCGATGCATTAGCGGGGAGAGTTGCGGAGGGAAGCTTGAGAGGCACGGTAACTCTAAACGGAGAGAAAGTTTTGCAATCTCGATTGTTGAAAGTGATCTCGGCGTATGTGATGCAAGACGATCTTCTTTTTCCGATGCTCACCGTTAAAGAAACCCTAACTTTCGCTTCCGAGTTTCGTCTCCCGAGAAGTTTGTCTAAGTCGAAGAAGATGGAGCGTGTTGAAGCCCTAATTGATCAATTAGGGCTAAGAAACGCGGCGAACACGGTAATCGGAGACGAGGGACACCGTGGAGTCTCTGGAGGAGAAAGACGGCGTGTTTCAATCGGAATCGATATTATCCACGATCCTATCGTCCTGTTTCTCGACGAACCAACGTCGGGATTGGATTCCACTAACGCGTTTATGGTGGTGCAAGTTTTGAAACGAATTGCTCAAAGTGGCAGTATCGTAATTATGTCGATCCATCAACCTAGTGCTCGAATAGTGGAGTTGCTTGATCGCCTTATCATCTTATCTCGTGGCAAAAGTGTGTTCAATGGATCTCCGGCTAGTCTTCCCGGATTCTTCTCCGACTTCGGACGACCGATCCCGGAGAAAGAGAACATCACAGAGTTTGCACTTGATTTAGTTAGAGAGCTCGAAGGATCCAATGAAGGAACTAAAGCTTTAGTAGACTTCAACGAAAAGTGGCAACAAAACAAGCTCAGTCTCATCCAATCTGCTCCACAAACGAATAACCTCGAGCCAGACCGCGCATTATCTTTAAAAGAAGCCATCAATGCAAGTGTTTCTAGAGGCAAACTAGTCTCAGGCTCATCTAGATCCAATCCCACTTCGATGGAAACAGTATCTTCATACGCAAACCCGTCGTTGTTCGAAACATTCATCTTAGCCAAACGGTACATGAAAAACTGGATCCGGATGCCCGAGCTAGTAGGAACGCGGATCGCTACCGTAATGGTGACTGGTTCTCTCTTAGCCACCGTGTATTGGAAGCTAGACCACACTCCAAGAGGAGCACAAGAGAGATTGACCTTGTTCGCATTCGTCGTGCCCACAATGTTCTATTGTTGTTTAGACAATGTCCCCGTTTTTATCCAAGAACGATACATTTTCTTAAGAGAGACAACACACAACGCGTACAGAACATCTTCATATGTCATATCTCACTCTCTAGTGTCTCTTCCTCAGCTCATTGCCCCTTCCTTAGTATTTTCCGCGATCACATTCTGGACGGTTGGAATGAGCGGCGGATTAGAGGGTTTCTTCTTTTATTGCCTCCTGATCTATGCCTCCTTTTGGTCTGGATCTTCCGTTGTCACCTTCATATCAGGTGTTGTTCCGCATATCATGTTATGTTACATGGTTGCCATTACCTATCTTGCCTACTGTTTACTGTTGAGTGGATTCTATGTCAACCGAGATCGAATACCGTTTTACTGGACATGGTTTCATTACATTTCAGTGCTCAAGTATCCCTATGAGGCTGTCTTGATGAACGAGTTTGATGACCCGTCTCGTTGTTTTGTTAAGGGAGTCCAGGTTTTCGACAGTACTCTTCTCGGAGGAGTGTCTGATTCCGGGAAGGTTAAGCTTCTTGAAACTCTCAGTAATTCTCTGAGAACGAGGATAACGGAGTCCACATGCTTGAGGACTGGGTCTGACTTACTTGCACAGCAAGGTATCACTCAATTGAGCAAGTGGGATTGCTTGTGGATTACGTTTGCTTCGGGTCTCTTCTTTAGGATCTTATTTTACTTCGCCTTGCTGTTCGGGAGCAGGAATAAGAGGACGTGAAGGTTACTATCCCCCACAAATACATGTGTGCGCTTTAGCTACATATTTAAGTGAAGCTTGAAGAATTAGCTTCTCGATGTTATATAGGTTTGTGATCAAGTTGTAAAATTTATATTCGTTTCATCTTTGTTTCTTTTAAAGAATATACTGTAAAATAAAACACGTATTTTTCTTAAAAATCCAAAGTAGCATCTGATTATTTGGCTATCTGCTCGTTCCTTTGGCTTGTCTTAGTTCTGTTTCTTGGTGTTGTTCTTGTTTCCTTAGTTTTGTTAGTTCAAAAAAAAAAAACTAGGGGCTGCTATTGAATTTTTTGCTAATTTCAATCATATCTATATTCAAATATTGGTGATAGTTCTGTTTCAATAAACTAAAATATCAACAAAAGTTCAACCACGAAATTTTAGTAGATATGCAATTAATATGGCGCATCCCACGTTCAATATTTAAGTTTAACTATAGAAACTTACTTCATAGTACAGTCTATTTTAATTATAGAAAAATTGGACAGTTTGATCCACAAAAACAAAAAATAAAAATTGGACAATTCAAAAAAATCTAGTGAATTAATGTATTCACCTAAATTTGATAGATATTTCCTGGTGTGATAGACATTATTCATTATTCAATGACTCGAATTTAAACCATGCATGTCAGAACACAGTTAAATTCGAACCCATTGAATACACATTTGAAATTAGTGTCACAGACTTATAATTGAGTTATGATGTGCAAGTCATTTTGATGAGAAAATTAGAAGATCAAGAATGGATAAATCAAGATATATGGAGAATTTGGATATGAAATTAAAAATTAATGTCAATACGACAATACGTATGGAACATTTATAACATTTTGGTAGAGAGTAAATGATCAAAAAATCTGGTTATCTGAGGTGTAAGAAGATTGGCTACTACAATAAACATGTCACATCACAGATGTTAGAGAAATTAAAGTTAAATAAATCCAAGTTTTATATAATTGGAGACAATTCAAAATCTTGTGACTTATATAATAAAGTATAATATTAATGTATCCACTAAACTACAAAGTAAATAATTTCTTTTAAATTTGGTAGAGGTTGATTTTGCAATAATGACTATTAAATGACAAAAGTTCAAACATATCACAGTAGACATTTAATTTCGAACTACTTATGTATATAAATCGACAATACATTTAGTATTTAAATATGCAGCAAATTGAAGCCATAAAATTTACAAACTAAATGTATGCCAGTAATTTTTTTTGTTTCTTCAGTGACAAACTCACATGGATTTCAGATTCGGTTAGATTTTATTATACTTCAGCCCAGTGTTTAGGAACAACCGGAACCCAAAACCTAGAGAGCACTCATAGTAGGGTTTAATAGCCCATCTAATAGCCCACTTGCCGTCACAACCAAAATAAATAAATGTCGAAACCGAATCAAAACTAATAAACCAGAATTGAGTTGAAAGTTTTTTTTTTTTTTTTTGTAAACTAATAAGTAGACTGCTTAAAGTAGTTCTACCATTTTCAGATTTGCGACAGCGGTTACAGAGGAAACAAAGAAAACAGAAAACCCAAAATCTACAAAAACCACGAAAAATACAACAAGGAAAGTACAAGCGATAACAACCAATAGAGGTTCGAAGAAGAAACACCGATTCCGAATCGCGAAGTTCAGAAATTTGCGTGATTGCCTCAGCTTCAAAAAACTCGAGTCCTCATCATCGTTGCCACGAGAAAATCCTACCTGAGGCCCGTCCTCAAAACCCCATAACAAAAAGACGCTTGCAGCTTCTCCGAAGACTAACGCAAAAACCGAACCGCTAGAATGAAACTTAAACACATATCTCCAACTAGAATGAGTTGAAAGTTTGAAATGTATTTGTAACTCGATTGGTTTTTTAAAATGTTAGAAAGAAAAAAAATCAAAATCATAAAAAAAAAACTATAAAGTCTTATAAACTTAAAGTCATGAAAATGTTATACCTTTAGTTATACATAATGAATGTAATCGACTTATATAAATAAACTATTCTACAAATTAAAATTATTTCTCTTATATGAATGTAATCGACTTATATAAATAAACTATTCTACAAATTAAAATTATTTCTCTTATATGAATGTAATCGACTTATATAAATATACTATTCTAAAACCAAAACCAAACCGTATAAAATCAAACTGAACCAAGTTGAATTATTGATTATAATTTATAAAACCAAACCAAAAACCTAGACTGAAACGATTTGTTGAAATTTTTTAATATAGGGCTCAAAGTTTCAACCACCAATTGTCAATGCATCTTCCAATCAAAATATAAAAAAAGAGACGAAAACGAGTTAAGTCCACGTGCTTACACATCCAACACTCGTAATCGTAACTATTGCTACCTACCCTTCTCTCTTCTCTTATAACTTACCACAAAGGCCCAAACCAAACAAACAAAAAAGCTTTGTATATTATCAATCGAAATTCGAACCGACTCAACAATGTCTTCCTCCTCCGCCTCTCTGTCGCAGTTCCCCTCCGTCACGAAGCTTCAGGTCGACTCCGTCACGTTTGATCCGTCCGTCAAGTCTCCGGCCTCCTCCAATTCACTATTCCTCGGCGGCGCCGGTTCGGTTGTTTGCTCTGTTCTTCTTGTCTTCTTCTTTTCCTTCCTTTTGCTGATTAGGTTCCGTTTCCTAACTTACGCAGGTGTCCGAGGCCTTGATATCCAAGGAAAATTCGTTATCTTCACCGTCATTGGAGTATACCTAGAGGGTAACGCCGTACCATCTCTATCCGTTAAGTGGAAGGGCAAAACTGCGGAGGAGCTATCAGAATCTGTCCCGTTCTTCCGTGAAATCGTCACCGGTACTTCCTGATAAACACCAATTACTTGACTTACACGTCAAGCTAGATTTTCAATCGTCTTGTTTTCAATCTTATGTTTTTTTTTTTTTTTTTCCTTTTTTAGGTGCGTTTGAGAAGTTTATCAAAGTGACGATGAAACTGCCGTTAACGGGACAACAATATTCCGAGAAAGTGACGGAGAATTGTGTGGCTATATGGAAATCCTTAGGGATTTATACGGACTGTGAAGCCAAAGCTGTGGAGAAGTTCTTGGAGATCTTCAAGGAAGAAACATTCCCTCCCGGTTCATCGATCCTCTTCGCTCTCTCCCCTACCGGCTCTCTTACGGTAATTTTTGCTTGATTTATAGTTTGCCATGTTTCAAATAAAACCATGAATTTTGTTAATCGTTAGTGCAAATGCCAAATTGGAATGAGATACTCTGTTTTCGCATTTTAACCACTTGCGTATAGGTAATGTTTTAGGTTTTCTTTTTTTTAAATGTACACACTATTGTAAAAGTTGGCGTTTGGAAGTTTGGAACAATAGTGATCATAACGTGTAGGTTTGAATACTTTATTGACATGGATTTGTTGTGAACTATACTGTTTTGCAGGTTGCGTTCTCTAAAGATGATAGTATCCCTGAAACCGGGATCGCTGTCATCGAGAACAAACTGTTGGCGGAGGCGGTTCTGGAATCTATTATCGGGAAGAAGGGAGTGTCGCCTGGCGCTAGGTTAAGTATTGCAGAAAGATTATCTCAGCTAATGACGAAGAACAGGGCCGAGGAGGAAGTTAGCGATCACTCTATTGATGAAAAACTAGCCAAAGAGAACTGAGAATGATAGATTTTTCTTGTGTTTTGTGTGTCTTATGTTTCTATGTCTAATTTTCTTATGTGGAGTGTACTGTGGCACTCAAGTGGAGAACGAAGAACATGCGTTTACATGATAATAAAGTTTAGTAACTCTGTTTTTTTTTGGGATATTATGCTATCTAGTAACTTGATTTGATAATACATATGAAAGATATTCAACCGTTCTATACATAAGGTTTAGATGGGAGTTACTTTGAATCATATTCCAAAAAACTCTGATAAACCTGTTCGCCAAAAACATTATTAAAGGATGGTCAATGGTGCTAGACTTAAGGCAGCTATGGTCCAATAAATTGGCATATTCGATTGAATTAAAGCAGAGAATCTACAGTTTTTTTGTGTGTGTGTTGCGTTTAGCATTGGTTTTGGACTCTTCGGTTACATTATTGATTCGTTTTATTCTGTTGAAGCTCAAATCACGTTTGAGCTTACACATGTCATAAACATCAACGTTTCAAGCTGAAATGAAAGAAGCTACGAACATTTTCAATGAAAATTTGGTCTTACACATGTGACAAGTATGGTTGTTGTTGTGATGGGTCAGATAGGTTCAATCCTTTTATGTTATGTTTTGAGTTAAGCCATGATTTGAATTTGACTTTAAGATTTAGATCCGGTCTTTATTACTAGGTGTCTAGGTCTATGAATCCGCAGGCCAGTCCGTGGATCACCTGAAATCTATATCTACTAAATCAACAGTCACTTTAACAAAAACTGCCCCATTCTCCTTCTGACACGTGACATAAGTCTCATTTTTTACTCTTTTGCTTTGATTTAGACCAACTCTATTACTTTACCTTTTTCTTTTTCACACACACGGAGAAAAAATGTTGCCAATTTTTTTTTTTTTTTACCACGATCTCCACCTATTCCACTTCTCTCCTCCCAAATACTAATATTAAAAAAACTAAAAACTAATATTAAATATAATTTTAATTTGTAAAATAAAAATGATAATTGTAAGTTTTTGGGAAAAAATAAAATAGTAATTGCACGGGCCACATACTAGTATAGTAGTATGTAAATAAAAACACTGTGGAGCGACTCGCTCATGGTTGGACTGGGCCGACATGAGTTTTTTGGCCCACCAATAAGTGGTTATGCAATTTTATCGTCAAAACATAATTTCATGGTTGGAAAACTCAAAATTTGCAAGTTTAACATAAAACAGAATTCCAAAATTTTAGTTCCTCCATAGACCATAGTTATAGCATCAAATCGTGATTCCACAATCTTGTAATTAGTTTGCAATTTTAAGGTCAAACTTCAACTATCCAGTTATGAGGTGAAAACACGATTCTACATAGTAAATTTGTAACATTTATGTTAAAACATGATCGGTTTTGGAACCATATTTCCCAAACAAAATATAAAAAGAGAGTTTATCGTTTATAGAGGCGTCGCTTTAAGCAAATTTTGGTTGTAAACGTAACATTGATCGTGGTAGGTCAGATTTTAAATGCCAAAAACCAAATTGCATTGTCGTCCAACTAAGAGTTATCACTAGTATACAAGACGCACGTTGTTCACGATTTTGATATTCCTTAAACATAATATATGTCGACTGGTGTTGGTAATTTCTTACTTATATACATATTAATTAAAATAAAAAAACGAAAATACATTTTTTTAAAAAAATCATGCAAATTTGTTCTTCTTCTCGTATATACTGTCAGTCACTCAGCCTTACGAGCTTAAACCTTTTTTTTTTCATATAGATAAATAAAAATTACACTTTCCTACCATTTTATTTTGATCTATTTTCAGACATTATTCTTACAATGTGCTAGCATCAATTAGTCCATAGTCCATACCTAGAGAAGCGATGTGTGTGTCACTCTATCAGTCTGTGTAGAGTCCTGCGAGCCACAAAACGTTAGCTTCTAAATTCATGGCCCCAACATGCTTCTTCACACAGTCACACCAATTAAAGCTCTGCATTTATTATTTTTCCTTTCAAAAAGTTACGATACAAACCTAATTACCTATATACATATATAACTTCATGGCCCCATCATGTTCCATTCAATTATTGTTTTGCTTTTCTCAGTTTCTTCCTTCTAAGATTCAGAGCTAACTTATACAAAGCTATAGTAACTAAACTCTCTTGATTAATTACTTTATTTTAACATCTAAAACAAATGTATTAGCTTAATAACTTGAAATGTTTACAAGGATCGATATTATTAATAAAAAATAAACAACTAAACTACAAGATGCTTTCTTTAGGCAAGGCTGCAAGCATTACTCGCCAACAGACTATTAGTTATATTATTTTCATTCTTTATAACCATCTTTAAAGTAGCAACTTCATATGCTACAACATGATCTTGATTCTTGATTTTTTTTCTTCTTTTCTTATCTTTTCTAAATCAACTCTTCCGTATATGTTTGTCACTATTATCTAGCAACCACACCACTGATTTCAATAGTAGAGAGACCTTTATGGATATTAGGGAGCCACGACGAAAGAAGTACGTTCGTTATAAACTTTTCTTAAAAGTACGTATACTTTATCCACAATGACAAAAAATAGTGGTGAAGTAGAAAATAAGAACAATGGTATCGTCACTCGTCAGTAGAGTTCACGTACGATTGTCATGATTGCACAAACTCAAGATATATGAGTTAGTATACTAAAAACCTCGTAGCTCAAATCTTTTAAACTATTGTGTTGATGACTGATAATTAAGTCCCCACATAAATGGAGTTAGACTCGTCTGTTTCCACTATTTTATTAGTCAATTATTACATCATTCTACTATTTACCTAACTTACCAATAATTACCAATCTTTCTTCTTTCATGCCATCTTCTTGCTGCTACAGAAACTTCTTTGTTTGAAATAAAACCAGCTAACTCCCTCTTCTCTTAATTCGTTCTTCTTCCTATTTCTATGATTATGTACTTTTATACATTAATATTTCTTTCTCATTGATTTCATATTGAGTTTATTAAGACTAAGGGAGACGTGTTTAATTTCTCATTTCTTCTGTATTTAATTTTATTTATTTCGAATTTTCAAAATCCAAACTATAACAATAAATGAGGTTTTCTCTTCCCCTCTTTATAAATACGATGAGAGAGAGAAGTGCTCACTGCTAACTTATATACAAACAAAAAAATATTCTGAACTACATATATTTTTATGGCTCCTGAAAGAAGATAACTGAAATTTTAACAAGTAAGTTCAATATTTTCATAAGTTTAGTAAGTAGAGTTCTATTTATTTTTATAATTCATGTCTTTATACTCTAAAGTTTAATAGACATGTATAATCATCAATCTTGTCTCACCATTATAGAATTTATCCCATATATATTTGTATAGAATCTTAAGCATCTAGTTTGTATTTTTCTCAAGAATACTAAATCCAGTTTTCATAAGTATGTTATATATTTTATAAGAAAATTTAGTGTTATGGTTTTCTCAGGGTTTCCACATGTACTACACTGTTTAGCTTCATCTTCAAGAATACACCGTTAAACTGCCGTCAACCAAAAAGAGTACATCGTTAACTTCCGTCAACCAAAAATAGTACGCCGTTAACTAAATCGTTAAAGATGCCACGTGTTTCGGCGGAAATTTTAGATATCTCTCTCACCGGCGGCAACGAGTCACCGACGCTTGGTGAACTGCTGAAAGATTTCAACGACAGTGGCCGGAAAAAATATTCCGGCGAAAATGCTCCGACTCATCACATACTGGATCTCGCTCCCGCGGCTGAAACAAGATCTGTGCCGTTTCTCTTATCCTTCAACAATCTCAGCTACGACGTCGTACTTCGCCGGCGGTATGATTTCTCCCGACGAAAGACCGCTTCCGTGAAGACTTTACTCGATGATGTTACAGGCGAGGCTTGTGACGGTGAAATCCTCGCCGTTCTGGGTGGAAGCGGAGCCGGAAAATCCACTTTGATCGACGCATTAGCCGGAAGAGTGGCGGAGGATAGCCTGAGAGGCACGGTAACTCTAAACGGAGAAAAAGTTTTGCAATCTCGATTGTTGAAAGTGATATCGGCGTATGTGATGCAAGACGATCTTCTATTTCCGATGCTCACCGTCAAAGAAACCCTAATGTTCGCTTCGGAGTTTCGTCTCCCCAGAAGTTTGCCTAAAGCGAAGAAGATGGAGCGTGTTGAAACCCTAATTGACCAACTAGGGCTTAGAAACGCGGCGGATACGGTAATCGGAGATGAAGGACACCGTGGAGTCTCTGGCGGAGAGCGACGGCGCGTGTCAATCGGAATTGATATCATCCACGATCCTATCCTCCTCTTCCTCGACGAACCAACGTCGGGGTTAGACTCCACCAATGCGTTTATGGTGGTGCAGGTTTTGAAACGAATTGCTCAGAGTGGCAGTATCGTAATTATGTCGATCCATCAACCTAGTGCTCGTATCATTGATTTGCTTGATCGGCTTATTATCTTATCTCATGGGAAGAGTGTGTTCAATGGATCACCGGCTAGTCTTCCTTCGTTCTTCTCCAACTTTGGTCGTCCCATTCCGGAGAAAGAGAACATCACAGAGTTTGCACTTGATGTAATTCGAGAACTTGAAGGATCCTCTGAAGGAACAAGAGGTTTAGTAGAGTTCAACGAAAAGTGGCAACAGAACCAATCTGCTCGAGCCACAACACAAAGTGGCGTATCTCTTAAAGAAGCCATCACTGCAAGTGTTTCTAGAGGGAAACTAGTCTCAGGCTCATCTGGAGCCAATCCTGTTTCAATGGAAACAGTATCTTCATACGCAAACCCGCCATTGGCGGAAACGTTTATCTTAGCCAAACGGTACATAAAAAACTGGATCCGCACGCCTGAGCTCATAGGAATGCGGATCGCTACTGTCATGGTGACTGGTCTTCTCTTAGCTACTATATATTGGAGGCTTGACAACACTCCAAGAGGTGCACAAGAGAGAATGGGCTTCTTTGCATTTGGGATGTCTACAATGTTCTACTGTTGTGCGGACAACATCCCTGTTTTTATCCAAGAACGATACATTTTCTTGAGAGAGACAACGCACAACGCATACAGAACATCTTCATATGTCATATCTCATGCCCTTGTGTCCCTGCCTCAACTACTTGCTCTCTCCATTGCATTTGCTGCAACTACATTTTGGACTGTTGGTTTGAGCGGCGGGTTAGAGAGTTTCTACTACTACTGCCTCATAATCTACGCAGCCTTTTGGTCTGGTTCCTCCATTGTTACTTTCATATCCGGTCTTATTCCGAATGTCATGATGAGTTACATGGCCACTATTGCTTATCTTTCCTATTGTCTACTGCTGGGTGGATTCTACATCAACCGGGATCGGATACCGTTGTACTGGATATGGTTTCATTACATTTCGCTTCTGAAGTATCCCTACGAGGCTGTCCTAATCAATGAGTTTGATGACCCGTCTCGTTGTTTTGTTAAGGGAGTCCAAGTATTTGATGGTACGCTTTTGGCGGAAGTCCCCCATATGATGAAGGTTAAGCTTCTCGATACACTGAGTAGCTCTTTAGGAACCAAGATAACAGAGTCCACATGCTTGAGAACAGGGCCTGACTTACTTACGCAGCAAGGTATAACTCAATTGAGCAAGTGGGACTGCTTGTGGATTACGTTAGCTTGGGGTCTCTTCTTTAGGATCTTGTTTTACTTTACCTTGCTGTTCGGGAGTAAGAATAAGAGGACGTGAAGGTAGTCCACAAGCACAAAAACATACAACAAACGCATATAATATACGTTGTTGTAGTTTTGTAATCAAGTTGTAACATCTATATTTTTGTTTCATCCATCATGGGAATATTGTAAAAGGATATTTTCTTAAAATCCATAGTATCATAATTACTCGAGTACACGATTAGATTTCAACATATGATTCAGATGAAGTTACTTAATGTATACAGTATATTGAATTTTCTACACACAAAAGTAGAAAATTACTATGTACTAAAAAATAGAAATCTGAGGTGTTGTTTGAAAATGTAGTGATGATTGAAGTTAGGTTGTTGGTCATTATTATAGTGTCTCATATACATATGAATTTTAATGTCTCCAAGTCTAAACGTTGCTAAATCTAATTAGGAAATGGGTTGGAAATTATGCATCTGTATTCAACATTAAATGTATAATACAACTTTTTAAGATGTTGGTGTTGAAATACACAATCAAGAGTGGACAATTCGTTGACTAATAACATTTGGTGAATTATGATATGAAGAAAATAATATAGTACATATTAATATTAAAATATTCATAACCTCAAAGTTGTTTGGTAGAAAATAAATTACGAAATATCAACACATAATCGATTACGAAATAGTGGATATGCACTCAACGTGACGCATCGCACGTTTAAGTAAAAAAAATATTAAAGTTTATGGTCCAGTCTCCCAAACTTCATAGTCATAAAAAAATGGACAATTAAAAATCTAGCGAATTATAATCTGATTAATGAAGTCACTAAACTATAAATCAATAGTACTTTTGTGGGTCGAGAATAGACATCGCATAATTGACTATTCAATGACAAAATTTAAAGCATGGCAGAACGCAATTAAATTTGAACCACTTGAATACACATTTAAAAATAAAGCATTTATAAACGCATTAAACTAAAAATTTCCACACATTAATTAGCTCTGGTTCAAGAAAGTAAAAAAAAAAAATAGATAAATATGGTAATGTATGAGAATACTTGTTTAAAGTTTAATTGTGTTCTGACATGATTTAAGTTGTGCATTCTAAAGTGTGTTTTAATTTAACAGAGACATGGTATCTTCTACCATGTTGACATACTTAGAATCAATTAAACCGATAGAATATTAGCAAATGAAAATTAACAATCATCGCTCACTGTTGTACTATGAATTATGCCGTGAGAGAAAGGCAAGAGGGGAACAAACAAGATTAAATTGCATGTGTTCTTCATGAATGTTACCGCAACAACATATACAACGTACGATAGCCAAGCATGTGATGATAGAGGACAAAGCCATAAGAAAACAGGAACTATGTGTGTGTCTACACAACACACAAAAATGCAATATACATTTTTAATGGGACTCCTTTTGATATACGTCACGAAACCTTTCGTAGATAGTACCGAGTATATATAATATACATTATCTAATTTGGCATAGAATCGATAACGAGGCTTCAAAAACTTCTAAATAATAGTTTACAAGATTCGATTATTCGGGGTCTTAACTTTCATGGGGCCGTAACTAAATGCATCCAATTTCGTTTCGTGACCATACCAAACAAGGATCTTCTAATTAAGAAACTACGTCATCAGGTAAACTTTTTTTTTACTCTTTTCTTGTGTATTTTAAAGCATCTATAAAATCTTCAAGACTACATGGAAAATATAGCTTAATTATACAACATTTTAATAGATTGAAAACTTCTAATCCTATACATTTTTTCTCAAGAAATGGAAGATATAATAAATATTCTTCTAATCGTTCTCATTCTCTAGCTAATCATAGACAATAACACAGCTCTTTGTGTTAATCTTCCGGCGAGATGCTGCAAAGAGACGCCGTGATCGATTTTGACGCAACTGAGATACCGCGCGTTCCGTTTGTCCTCGCCTTCAACGACCTAACCTATAACGTCACTCTTCAACCACGTTTTGGTCTTCGTTTCAGACATAGCCCTGCTAAGATAAAGACACTGCTCAATGGTATCACTGGAGAGGCTAACGAAGGAGAGATCCTAGCCATTCTTGGCGCAAGCGGAGCTGGAAAATCAACGCTTATCGATGCATTAGCAGGACAGATTGCGGAAGGTAGCTTGAAAGGCACGGTAACTCTAAACGGAGAAGCTTTGCAATCTCGTGTGTTGAGAGTTATATCGGCTTATGTAATGCAAGAAGATCTACTTTTCCCTATGCTCACTGTCGAAGAAACCCTAATGTTCGCTGCCGAATTTAGGCTTCCGCGAAGCTTTAGCAAATCAAAGAAAAGAAACAGAGTTGAAACCCTAATAGATCAATTAGGGCTCAGAACTGTTAAAAACACTGTGATCGGAGATGAAGGCCATCGTGGTATCTCCGGTGGAGAAAGAAGGCGTGTATCAATTGGGACCGATATCATTCACGATCCTATCGTCTTGTTCCTCGACGAACCAACCTCAGGACTAGACTCAACTAGTGCCTTCATGGTGGTGCAAGTCTTGAAAAGGATTGCACGTAATGGCAGCATCGTGATTATGTCAATCCATCAGCCTAGTTGTCGGATTATGGAGTTTCTTGATCGAATCATCATTTTATCTTCTGGCCAGAGTGTGTTTAGTGATTCTCCAGCTACTCTCCCTTTGTTCTTCTCAGAATTTGGTAGTCCCATACCGGACAAAGAGAACAATGCGGAATTCACACTTGACCTAATCAAAGAGCTTGAAGAATCCTCCGAAGGAACAAGAGGGTTAGTCGAATTCAACCGAAATTGGCAACAAAAGAAGCAAAGAGTTAGCCAAGAACCACACCATAACTCATCATCCTTGGTAGAAGCCATCAATGCAAGCATTTCAAGAGGCAAACTTGTCTCTACTTCATATAGCTCTATTCCTTCATACGTAAATCCATGGTGGGTAGAGACAATAATCTTAGCTAAACGCTACATGATAAACTGGACCCGAACTCCCGAGCTTATCGGAACACGGGTTTTCATAGTCATGCTGACCGGTTTTCTCTTGGCTACCGTTTACTGGAAAGTGGATGACTCTCCAAGAGGCGTCCAAGAGCGGTTAAGCTTCTTCTCATTTGCAATGGCCACAATGTTTTACAGTTGCGCCGATGGATTGCCCGCTTTTATTCAAGAAAGATACATTTTCTTGAGAGAAACCGCGCATAACGCTTACCGAAGATCCTCCTACGTTATATCTCACTCTCTCGTAACTCTGCCTCATCTCTTCGCGCTTTCCATCGGCTTTGCAGCCACCACATTCTGGTTCGTTGGTCTAAACGGCGGTCTCGCGGGTTTCATCTACTATCTTCTGATCATTTTCGCGTCGTTCTGGTCTGGGTGCTCTTTCGTTACATTTGTCTCCGGTGTGATTCCAAACGTGATGATGAGTTATATGGTCACCTTTGGCTATCTCTCATACTGCCTTCTCTTCAGCGGATTCTACATCAACCGCGATCGAATCCATCTTTATTGGATATGGATTCATTACATTTCTCTACTAAAGTATCCCTACGAAGCTGTTCTGCACAATGAATTCGATGATCCTTCCCGTTGTTTTGTAAGAGGAAACCAAGTTTTTGATAATACAATAATGGAAGGAGTGTCTGAAACGACAAAGGCTAAGCTTCTGGAGACAATGAGCAGTTACTTGGGGATGGAGTTAACAGAATCAACGTGTTTGAGGACGGGCTCTGATTTGCTAAAGCAGCATGGAATTGAGCAGCTGGATAAATGGGGTTGCTTGTGGGTAACGTTAGCTTGGGGATTCTTCTTTAGGATCTTGTTTTATTTTTCTTTGTTGCTTGGAAGCAAGAATAAGAGGGCGTGAACGTCATGTATGATGTATATAAATGTAAATTTCCTAAATAAAAAATTTATTGTGAAAGCAATTCTTTTTTTTTTTGAATTTTGAGATATTGGTAATATATGTCGTATAATCATTTTTTTTCTTTTGTCCTTAGGTATCATATATTGGCTAAAGAAACAATCGTTAGAAAATTTTGAACGTTAAAAAATACAAACTTGACCTCTAAAAACATTTTCCATGATGTTAAGTTCACAATTTTATAAAGGGTGCAACCCAAAATTGTAAATCAACCATATATTACACATCGTACTTCAAACTCAAATTCTAAAATTTTAGTTTAATTCATGATTGATGACGTTTGTGACTTAACTATATATATTCGAACTACATCCATAATTCAAAATAAACCAAAGATACTACATGATACCAATGTGGTGATCAGTAGCTTAGTGTACGCTATTTGCCATCTTTGGTAGTCGGTGTAAATATAACGTATTTGACAGAATTCAAATTCCACTTTTTTAAAAACAAAAGTGCACACAATTAAACAGTTGGTCGAAATAGAATTCAAAGTAGCCAACTTTGTTATAACCTTTATTAGATGGTATTAGAAATCTTGACCCTTTGCTTATGGCGGCAAGGAAGGCTACAGTAGGTAGAAGTTAGTCACCTAAACTTCAAAAGGTCAACCAAAAAAAATGTAACAGTGAAGTCAAAGTTTAGGATTGGAGTTACAAGAAGCTAACAGAGGAAACAAAGACCAAACAAAATACTTTGAGTTTGGTAAAGAAGGTTCCACCGTTACCAACTTAAAAATCAAGATATGCAGAAAAATAAGTTTGAAATTTTGTGTAGTCTTTCCCAGCAAAAAAAGGGTTTTCTATACTTCGCACAACCAAATTCCCCAATCGAATACAGAGCTACTTTATCAAATAAAACTTTATAGTATTATACTATTTGGCAGAATTAGTTGGGTTTCCGGAATCATTGCAATTTGCAACTTTTAGGCAGTTAACATAAGCAATCGTCTACGGTCGCGAAAGCAAAAGGAAATGTGAATAGTATAGATTTGCTTGTGATACAAATAATCACTATTTCGCTACCAACATTCGAAGAATCGATTAAAAAACATAAAAACTAAAAAAACATTACTAAATTGACCAAACACTATGGGAAACGCAAGAAAGTTCTCATCTCAATCCTATACTAATTATACTTCAGTTAGATCAACACCCTTCACCTAATTCTACATTCTAATAACACCTAATCGCCACATGTCCACAATTTCAACGTATTTAGTATTATCATCACCTTGAAAATTCTTGATTTATCGGTCATCCCATTACCTCTTCCTAATAAGTAAAATTAAATACGAGAAATTCAAAACGCATTTTCCATCCAAACGCTAAAAATATTATTGTCAACAACACAAACCTAACAGATTTCTCATGATGTAACTCATTCAACACATAGAGCCTTCGTGTTCACACACTTACACACGTTACTTCATATATATAAGGCTTATACACAGATAGTTGCAAAACAGAGAACAAAGACTAACATTTTGATCATGCAAAGAGTGTTTTGATTTCAAGTGTTAAGCACATCATTTCTCACTTTACCCTCTTTTCTTCTAAATGTCTCGCATACTAGTAGAAGATGATAATGCAACACCGTTTCATTCAATGGAGATTATTAGTTCGTCGTTGACTTTAGGTCAACTTCTCAAGAACGTTAGCGACGTCCGTAAGGTACAAGTCGGCGACGAGACTCCTGTTCATGAGTTCTTTGACCGAGACGGTTCTTCACTTGACGGAGATGATGATCATCTCATGCGTCCTGTTCCCTTCGTTCTATCTTTCAACAACCTCACTTACAACGTCTCTGTTCGCCGGAAACTTGAGTTTCACGACCTGGTTCCATGGAGGAGGTCATCTTTCTCCAAGACCAAAACTCTTCTCGATAATATCTCCGGTGAGACTCGTGATGGAGAGATTCTTGCCGTTCTTGGAGCTAGCGGGTCAGGTAAATCCACTCTCATCGACGCTTTAGCGAATCGGATCGCTAAAGGAAGCTTGAAAGGCACGGTAACTCTTAACGGAGAAGCTCTTCAATCCCGGATGCTGAAAGTTATCTCAGCTTATGTAATGCAAGACGATCTTCTCTTCCCGATGCTTACTGTAGAAGAAACCTTAATGTTCGCAGCTGAGTTTCGCTTACCAAGAAGCTTGCCTAAATCCAAGAAGAAGCTTCGAGTTCAAGCCCTAATCGACCAGCTAGGGATAAGAAACGCTGCTAAAACAATCATAGGAGACGAAGGACACCGTGGAATCTCCGGAGGAGAAAGACGGCGAGTTTCGATAGGAATCGATATCATTCACGACCCGATTGTTCTCTTCCTCGACGAACCTACTTCTGGTTTAGATTCCACAAGTGCATTCATGGTGGTTAAAGTGTTGAAGAGAATTGCAGAGAGTGGCAGTATCGTAATAATGTCAATACATCAGCCAAGTCACAGAGTTCTCAGTTTGCTTGATCGTCTGATCTTCTTGTCACGTGGTCACACCGTCTTCAGTGGTTCTCCGGCGAGTCTACCGAGCTTTTTCGCTGGATTCGGTAATCCGATACCGGAAAACGAGAATCAAACGGAGTTTGCACTCGATCTCATCAGAGAACTCGAAGGATCAGCTGGAGGAACAAGAGGATTAGTTGAATTCAACAAGAAATGGCAAGAGATGAAAAAACAGAGCAATCCTCAAACCCTAACTCCGCCGGCTTCTCCAAACTCAAATTTAACCCTGAAAGAAGCGATTTCAGCCAGCATAAGCAGAGGTAAACTAGTCTCCGGCGGCGGCGCTGGATCATCCGTCATAAACCACGGTGGCGGAACCTTAGCCGTCCCTGCATTCGCGAATCCGTTCTGGATCGAAATCAAAACTCTCACCAAACGCTCAATCCTCAATTCTAGAAGACAACCGGAGCTACTCGGAATGCGATTAGCCACCGTTATCGTCACCGGATTCATCTTAGCCACCGTGTTTTGGCGATTAGACAATTCACCAAAAGGCGTACAAGAGCGGCTAGGGTTCTTCGCATTCGCAATGTCAACAATGTTCTACACTTGCGCCGATGCTCTTCCCGTATTTCTCCAGGAACGTTACATCTTCATGAGAGAAACAGCTTACAACGCTTACCGGAGATCCTCCTACGTTCTCTCTCACGCCATTGTTACCTTCCCTTCGCTCATCTTCCTCTCTTTAGCTTTCGCAGTGACGACGTTTTGGGCTGTTGGGCTTGAAGGAGGACCAATGGGCTTTTTGTTCTATTGCTTAATCATCTTAGCCTCTTTCTGGTCCGGAAGCTCCTTCGTGACTTTCTTATCCGGCGTCGTTCCACATGTGATGTTAGGCTACACGATCGTTGTTGCTATTTTAGCTTACTTCTTGCTTTTCAGTGGCTTCTTCATCAACAGAGATCGAATCCCTCAGTATTGGATTTGGTTTCATTATCTTTCTCTGGTTAAGTATCCGTACGAGGCGGTTCTTCAGAACGAATTCTCGAATCCTACTGAATGTTTTGTGAGAGGTGTTCAGCTTTTTGACAACTCGCCTTTGGGAGAATTGACGTATGGGATGAAGCTAAGGCTTTTGGATTCTGTGAGCCGATCGATCGGGATGAGAATATCGAGCTCTACGTGTTTAACGACGGGTGCTGATGTTCTAAAGCAGCAAGGAGTGACACAACTTAGTAAATGGAATTGCTTGCTTATCACGGTAGGTTTCGGATTCCTTTTTAGAGTTTTGTTTTACTTGTGTTTGTTGCTTGGGAGCAAGAACAAGAGGAGGTAAAAATGAAACGGCTGATGATACTTAAAACCAAAAACATATACTGTAATTTTTTTTTCATTATTGTAATTCGTTGATTGATTGTGTATTTGAATTGTATTATTCTTAACATGTTGTATTACTTTTGCCATCAATAAAAATATCATTCTTTAGGATTTGGAAATACAGAAAGCACCTATGTATGAATCGCTTTACTCAGAAGATTAGTGCAATATTTCAAATAGACGCATTGAGATTGTGGAAGCTAATGATGCTGAGAGACTTTGCCTCCACAAGTGTATATGCAAAATCTGTATTAATATTTCATCAAACTATAAGGTTTACTCTCCAAGTTCTAACCTTCTAATCGACATTTTTGCCTAACACTGCAATTATATTCATACAAATTTACCGTTTATTGATCTTATAACCTAAGGGCATAGCTAATTCATGAAATTTTACAATGAGGAGACACTATAGCTAATTAGCTTGAGGCAAGTAACTCTCAAAGCCATTTCACTTTGAATAGTAAAAGTGTCAAAAAGTTTAAAAAAGTTAAAAATTGGAAATAAACCGATTTATCTGAACAAACCGAATAAGAAAGTGAACCGAAACAAACCGGACCGAATATTATTCGGTTACTCAGTTTCAGAATATCCACTGGTCCTGACAGGCGACAGCTCTAGCCGAACAGACACGACTCACGACTCACGAGTCATAATACGAGCAGTGGTTGCTCACGCGCCAGCCAATTCGGTCGGAGATGCTACTCTGCATTCCGACGGTGAAGCTGTTTGGGATTCAGCAACGGCGCAATTTTAGCTCTTTAGCAAAGCGTTTCAGTCTCATCGGGAAATCACCTTTAGAGCCCCAAACTCAGGTTCGATTTGTGAAAAATTGAGACTTTCATGAAATTTTGTGAAATATGAGTCTATGATACCTGAGTCTGAGTATAGTTCAAGCGTGTCCCAAGAAAATTTCTGAGTTATGTTTCTGCTTTAATGGTAGCAAATTGATACCAAAGATGAAACCTTTCTGTTCTTTTAGCTTCTATCTATGGTAAACCGAAAAGACTGTTAAGTTCTTGATTTTGTAAGAAGACTCTCACAAAAGAGGATTTACCATCTTATCTATTTTATATTTAGGCCTCTTTGGACACGGACTTCTTACCCTGGTTAGAACGAATTGCTGGAGCAAAGATAACTAACACGCTTTCGATTGGGAAATCCACCTATGGCAGGTGGGTTGGTGATGTTTTGAATAAGATGCAAGTCTTTTCTAGTCCATTTTTGAACAATTATCAATTATCTTGGATTTTTAGACCCATTTGCTACTTTCAATAAACCTATTTATAGTTCCCTTGCAATCTGGTATGCTCTTTGCAGTCTAGTTAATGTAATGATCAGATTCTTTGTTGATACCTTCTGCGGCAGCTTAATTTTATATGACTTGTTTTATGTTCTTTAACATGGTTCTGTCTTGTGATCAATCGTTGAAACATTGTACAAATTTGAATCATGTCATTTTGTCTTGTTTAGTTTTCTGATTATCTTCCATCCATATGCGAGAAGTTTGTTTATCGAGTGATTGTGAGATTAACCAAATTTAATTTCCTACCAGATGCTGTCTCCTGGTGTGATGCTTGTCAAATACACTAACCATGTTTACTATATCAACTTCTGAACAGGTCACTGTTTGCCTCAAAATTTATCCATGCCGGAGAATGCATGTTGAAAGTCCCTTTTAATGCGGTATATTACTGTCTACTTAAACAAGCTTTTCCGTTATCATATGTCTTAAGAAGCATTGAAAATTCTATACATGCCATTTAGTCTAGCTCTAACAGAAATTTTCAGCAAATAACTCCAGATGAATTGCCCCCGGATATTAGAGTTTCATTGATCGATGACGTTGGGAATATTGGAAAGCTTGCTACTGTTCTAATAAGAGAGAAGAAAAAGGGTCAAGTAAGCTAGCATCAACATTTTGGGTAATTAGCTTAAAATAAGTCTCCCTTTTCATGTGATTGTTTTGGTTTTTACTTGAGTCTCTGATTGTTTTTGAATCAGAAGTCTCGATGGCTCCCTTATATCAGCCGACTTCCTCAACCTGCAGAGATGCACAGCACGGTGAGATTTCACTCTAGTCCTTATCGCGGTCAAATGGTCAAGTCTTGAATTTTTGTTTTGGTCACTTCTTGAATGTATATGTGTGTGTGTTTGGCACTAATCTTCTTGAATTTTTGTTTTAGTCACTTCTTATTTTTTCCACCTGCTCTTTTCTTTTTCTACCTTTTCAATATAAGCCTTAGTGCCGTACTGTCAATTTCGTTGCCCATGCTATTTTGGACAATGCAGAATAACTACAATAGTGGTTTTCTTATTCTCTTAGATATTTTGGGGTGAAGATGAGTTCAGCATGATTCGTTGTAGTGCAGTTCACAAGGAAACCGTAAAACAAAAAGCTCAGATAGAAAAGGAATTCTCATTTGTAGCACAGGTAAGTATGTTTTTGTAGTGATCCTGATAAGTGTTGGTTTCTAATGAAAATCTGATATTTCCCTGCATTTTTCAGTCTTGCGAACAATTTCTTATACTTCTAGATAAAGAGAGCATCTACTTTTTTACATCCCTATTTAACATTGTCGCTTCTTAATTTTGTCCCACGATTAGTAAATTATCTTCATTTGGTAATGAAAATATTGGTTTGTTGGGGTTCCTAATTGCTTAAAAGGCCTATATACCGTTAAGAATAGTGTATGAACCCATGAGAAAGGCACACCCATATAGACTACATAGTTTAACTGAGTATATACCGTTGAAAATTTATTTATGGTAAAAGCAAATATTACTCATTTGTATTGATTTTGACTTAACTTCTTCAAGTTTTAAACTCCAGTTCATCACGAGTTTTAGCATAATACTAAGGCTACTATGATTATGTCGGTAACCAAGTACGTAGCATACCTATGTGTATGTTTGGTAGATGTATTTCCATGTGTCGATTTTCTTTATCATCTTAGTGAATAAGAGTTCTAAAATTACTTTTTGTTGATTCTTAGGCATTTAAACAACATTATCCCATGGTGATTGAACGCCCAGATTTGGAAGACTTCATGTATGCATATGCTTTAGGTGAGGAAGTTACTTCACAAGTATTCCATTTGGCTCTATCTGTTTCTGGTGTTACTCAACCATGTACAATCCCTCATAAGGGAGGTTTTATATATTGTGTTGGTCTTACACTGGATAACTTGTTGCTGGACAGTGGGATCTCGTGCGTGGGAAACCTCAAAAGGCATATCTCTGGTATTGTTTTCAATATAGCTCGGCATCTTTCCAGTTTACTTATGGGGATTTCTGGTATAATAGATGTTCTGACAATATAACAGATTCCGTTTGCAGACTTCATGAACCATGATGGGCTTTCTGCATCAATCGTTTTGAGCGATGAAGACAATCAACTATCAGAGGTTTACTTTCATTCCTGTTATTTAATATTATTTGTTCTCTTCGTCAAGTGTTTGTGCACATCTACTTGGTATTCTATCTCACCTCCATTTCTCATATTTGATACATCAACAAGAGTGAATCAACATTAGCATAGTCTTATTGTTAAATATGTGGTACATTCGATCTAGTAAGATGCATGGTTCTTGATTCCGCGTTACTTTCTCTTGACTCTAAAGGCTAGTAACACAGACTGAAACAAGCCAATGGGTTATGATTTCAAGTTTTCAACTTTGCAGGTCACAGCAGATCGTAACTACAGTCCCGGTGATGAGGTAGGATTATAACACGATGACATTCACTTCTCATAGGATGCATTATCTTTCTTTTTATCTCTTCTATAGTCGCTTGCTTTTAAAAAGAATATTATTTTGGTTGAGATCGAAGCTTACCAAACATCTCTGTGTAGGTGTTCATTAAGTATGGAGAATTCTCAAATGCTACACTCATGTTAGATTTTGGATTTACCCTTCCTTACAACATTCATGACGAGGTTTGTTTTCTATATCATGGCCGTAGCCGTAACAACATTGATCTATAGATGTTGGATCAAAGATGCTACTCACCAACCTTGAATTTGATTGTCATTTGGTTGACTGAATGTGATGTTGAAACTTCACACTGTCCTTATCTTAGGTTCAAATCCAAATGGATGTACCGAATGATGATCCTCTTCGCGACATGAAGCTGGGACTTCTCCAGACACATCACACTCGAACTGTCAAAGATATCAATATCTTTCACTCGTCTTGTGATACTTTCACAATCAAGTAGGTACTAATGTTTAGTTTTAGAATGTTACCAAGCTAATACAATTTTAACTGCTTATACTTATACATATCAATACCCGTACACAAAGAATGGAAACATGGGAGAAGGGTGTAGTAAGAAAGCAGTCAAGAGTGATGTGAACAGTGGATAGGAAAAGACCAATAAACCTTACTTCTTTAGAATTGGTTTTCAGTAACAGCTTTTTACATGTGTCTCTAATTGTAGTTTGGGTGATCTCTCAGGGAAGTGAAATCTGCTATAGGAAAAGGGAAAGGAATTCCACAATCTCTCCGTGCATTTGCTCGTGTTCTCTGTTGTACCATTCCCCAAGGTGCTCAAATCAAATTAGTCACTCTCTTTTATCATCTTGTGAAGCTAATGCCAAAAGTATTAACAGTTAACTGATTTTCAGAGCTAAATGATTTGTCAAAAGAAGCTGCACAAAATGATGGCCGACTAGCTCGTCTTCCTTTTGAAAACAGGAGTAGAGAGTTGGAGGCACATAAGATCCTCTTGTCTCATATCAACAGATTAATTGCGGATCATAGTGCTTGCATCAAGGTATGATAGAACGCTTTCCTCAGCTAATTACCACACAATGGCCGATAATGTAGGTTTTGAATTTTATTGGGTTCTTTTGCAGGAAATGGAAGAATCTAAAAGCTATTTTGTATCACAAAGATTTGCTGTTAGAAGGAAGATGGCAAAAGATCTCCTACACGGTGAGCTTCGTGTTCTGACATCTGCAGCTGAATGGCTCAATTATTATTGCACAACCTTGTTTTCAGTCACTTCGGAACCGATTTTACAGTCTCTACAATAGCAATATACCTATGAATTGAGATATTGGAATGAATAAAAAAGATTAGTGTTACTCTATTCCTTAATCCGGATTTGTTAACCATACCACGTTCCATAACCAAAGCCAACAAACAAAAGAGAAATGATGAACATGTTGGATCAAGGTGGTATCCAAATAGATGAAATTAAACAGAACCAAACCAGATTATACACCTCACTTAATAGTAGAATCGGAACTGTGGTTTGTGAAATGGTAGTGGGACAATAAATTTTACTTTGCCGGTTGATTTATACAGGAACTACTATTGGATAAGAAGAAAAATATGAACAAAAATATCAGAGCAAAGCAGGCAAACATGCTTCAACTAAAACCATGTTGACTAGAAAATTGTCATAAGACTGAAACGAAGAAATGGCTTGATATACAAAGGAACGAGCTGTTTCTACTAAGTGATGCAAAGTTTTATCTGTAAGTGCATATTCACAAAGACTAGTAATGGAGAAAGTTGGAAATTTCAGTTTCTTTGGCCTTAATACTGACCTCCCAGTCATCCATTGAAAATGCAACCAAAGTGATGAGCATATGGGTTCATGATATATATGCCTTAACTAATTCCGTGTAGTTGCAGACAAGCCCTGTCCTTGGACATGTTATTATTCCTCCATTCTTTTCCGCCATTTCCTTGAGAGCCTGCAAGTTCATTACCCATCAAATACATAACAAGGTAAACCAACTTTAAAATTTTTGAGCTGTATAGGATAGACTACTGATGTCACTGATCTAGCTCAAAACAAAAGATTCTTAAGGAGAGAAAATGAAACGAAAAGCGGAAGTTGTACAAGAACAGAATCAAACCTTGGTGCTGTAGACGTAGCCATTGGGCAGCACCTGTGGTGGGTTCTCTGTGTCCATTAGCTCCTTAGAAATATAGCAAACCAGCTTTGAATGGTGCTGCTTGGAGAACGGTAAAGGCAAAGCAAGCTTCCGGAAGTTCTCTTGTGAGAGCGGGTCCTCTTTGGTACAACCTTCTTCAAAACCATATCTGACTCATGTCAAGGTACAAACGCAAACCACCAGTAAAAATCACATTAGGGTGTCATTTTGAAAAATTACTTTCTGCCACTTTATTTTCAGATGCAGAAAATAGACAATTAAAAACATCAAATTTGATAGAGTTTGATGGATACGGAGTTTTCAGAGCAGACAAGCCTGCTTGTAAGTAGATGTTCAATAAGGGTTCCATCGTCATGCCATATAACTTGCAAAATTCTTGTTTAAACTGATCAACTAAAATATCCCACTGTTGTGGTTCAAACAAAACCTGAGAAAAAAAGAAAAACAAATCTGTTAGTTGATTAGCCTAAGCAATACATTCAATGATCAATTAAGATTCGGCAAGAGTTGGAAATAACACAATTTATTCAGCAACAAATAGAGACGGAAAATATTACTGAAGCAACCTGGTGTATAAAGAGAGTGAAATCTATATCCACGTTTTTGGTCCATTTTAGACAAAATCAATCACTCGGATTGGGTTGAAACAGTTATATACTTATATATCAAAAGAAGGAAAACTTCACCTTATATTTTAAGCATTCTGTAGTACTTTTAAAAGCCAAAGTGGCCAGAACATGCTGCAATTCATTCATATGGGTTGCTCCCCATGATGCCAGATGCTTTCGAGCATACTGGATTGCTTTTTGGTAGCTGTCAGCTGTATCAACACGTACCAACTCGATGAATTCTTGCAGCCTTAGTTGGAACTCAAATTTGCTCTATTATGAAAAGAACAAGAAATAATTAGCAGTGAACACCATGTCCTCAATATGACTAAAAAAAGGTTCTCCTTCTCTTTTTCATGATATAAGGTGAAGAAGGGAAAGCAAATCTTCTGAAAAATTTCATTGAGCAATTATATGAGTATTCAATTATTCATGAGAGTTCCTCTAGCAATCATTTGGTTTTGGATAGTCTGGTATTATCGTGATCAGAATAATAGGTACATTTATGGCTCGTATTCACGATATGGTTCTCGCAAAAATTGGATACTTTAGCCAAAACCACGTGGAGTTCATAAACAAATGAAAGTAAATCTTAACTTTTGAGAGTACGTAGCACCACATACCTTTGACTTTTTCAACCGGGTTTTATTATCAGCACACCATGCCAATGCAGAAGCTACCTCCCTATTTTTAAGGGCGTCAATCACCTTCTTAGCTTCTCGAAATATGTCAATGTCGACAAGGTCCTGAAAATATGAGATGTTTATTATTGGCAATTCATAGAATTGAAATCAACAAATCAACAAATCCATTTCACTGCTTATAAAAACCAAACAGCAAAGAGTATGTTCTGATATATTAACCATGGCTGGAGACACAGGCACACAGCAATATAGCATAATAATGTTATACAATCAGTGTCAAGAGGATGAGAGATACCAAAATATTGCTGCTTTCTGAAAGCTTTGTAGCAGTCTCGAAATATGACATCCGCAGCATGTAGTCCACAAGAATCCGTTTCAGTTTTGTATTGTTCCATTCAGTAATATTCTCCACATCTACTGAATCCAAATGATCAATGCGAGCACGACATCTCTGGGCTTGCAAATTCTCCACATTGCTCCCTTCTTCCAACTGAAGTACAAAACCAAAAAGTATGTTAGCTATGGCATAACCTTGTTACTCCAGAGGATAGAAACATTCCCAAATGATAAAAATTTGGAAGACAATGCGAATAGTCAGATGGAAAGTTCCCACGAAACAACTCTACTACATTGCATCCCCTTGATCTGATATAATATCAAATTCATCGAGATCCAATGCCTACTGGTAACCTTCTGTAGTAACTAAACGTCTAAGAGATAATTGCCAAAGACAGATACTTTAATTTGATCTTCAAAGTGGACAAGAGCAATATCCAAAGATCCAACGAGATCCAATTTTTTCCAGATAAGTGGAATCATTTAACAAAATCAGAAATTTTGTTTACTCAATCAAAACTTTAATCGCTAAATTAATTGATTCAGTTTCGTCTACATAATTAACAACACCGATCACAGAGAGAGAGTCGAAAAATCAACCTTTCGTTTGAGGCCTTGTAATCGAGTAACAAGGCTAGTAAGACGCGAAACGGTGACGTCTTTAGACCAATCGGAATCAGCCAATTCTCCGACGCCGTTAACAACAGTTGATACCTCTTTCTCGAAAGAACGGTGATTGGTACGGATCGTCTTCTTGTAATGCTCGAAAGGTACACGGAGGAGCTGGTGCTCAAGCTTGAGCGATTCCGTAAATTGATTCGATCTCGAAGCCGGGACGACGACCGGAGACGGAGTGATCGTAGCGGCGGATTCCGTCATGACGGCGTCAGAGTTTCCGTTGGTAGCGGAATCGATTTCCATGGCAAGAAAATGGGAGAAAGAAGTTAGCACAAACTTCGCAGAGAGAGTTTAGATTTTGCCTTGTGGTGGTGATCTTGATTGATACGAGAAAAAAAAAAACTAAGAAGAAATAAATAGTGCCAAGTGAAACGGCGTCGTTGCTTTGTGGCACCTCTGTAGTTTAAAACGGCGGCGTTTGTATATGAGCAAAGGTAGCAAACCGTCCGGTTTGATCTATCCCGAACCGAGAGTGTCATTCTAGCACCAAAGTTTTGATCCAGGACCAGTTCTGGATACAACCTTATTAAACAAAGAGTATAGGTTTTCATTTTTTTTTAAACCCTAAATTTATTTTTATTTTTGTGGAAAACTATCTCCAAAAAGACTCTAATGTTTTTATTTTACTTGGCCTTCAAATTTTTAGGTCTAAAATATAGACCAAAGTGGAGGCAGAAAAAAAACACAGTTTGACACATTATGTGTGGTCAATATATTAATAATTTCACATGTAAAAAACTATACATAGATTATAATTTTATATATAGAAAACAGAATTATAGATATATGATGTCAGATTTTTATCTAAAAATAACCCATTACTTCTTTTGTATGTTATTCAATTTGTTTACGGCAACTACGTGTCGAAATAATATATTGTATTGTTTAAATACCCTTTACTATTGTGAAAAAATAAAAATAAATCCTAAAAGTAAAATGAGAAATAATTTTATTATTTTTGTTAATTTTCTATTTTTATACCAAATTTGAAATTATTTAGTTAATTATGAGTGTGTGTAGCTGGTAAGTGAAATATACCTTTGCGGTTTCAAATATTATCAACCACTAAAACGGTATCATCATACAAACAGTTCTTATCGTTATCACTTCAGATTATATCATAACTACCTCATATTGCTATGAAAATCTTTACACACTTCAATCACCACCACTCTAACCTAAATATTTTGTTATAATTATCTCACCAACTAAAACTACATTTGTAATTTACAAGTTTGTTTCAATGTTGTCACTCATGGATCACTATTATATGTTAGTGAAGAACAAATAATTTTAGCCCCGCTCCTCCAAAGTCCAAATGGCTCTATCCGCGCAATGAAAGATTTAAAAGGTTACCAGAAATACCCTCCACTGGATACTCTATTTACATTTTGACACCACCAATAAAGATTTTGGAGCCGTTTTGTTCTTTTGGATTCTTCGTCGTCAACGACACTCTCCTCACACTTCTTGTACTCTCCGTTTAGATCAAATCGACGTTATCTAACGCTGTTAATAAATCTGCGTTTCAGTTTCTTCTGCGTTCGAATTTTCGGATTATCTCGTTTCCGATTTGCAAAATCGCTGTTTTATGGTAAGTTCATAAATCCTAAAGATCTTCTCTTTTGAAATTTTGAAAATTTCGTTGTGTTTCTTTTGTTTTCTTTAAAAGCAAATTGTATCGTCAAAAAAAGTTGTCGCCTTGCAGTCTTTTTTTTTTTCCTTTTTCTCCCAATTTTTCCGTCTATTAGACAAGAGTAGAGAGTAGAGTTGGGTTTTCTGGCGACGAAATCGATTTAGATCGTTCAAAGAGAGAGCTTTTCAGATTTTGTAGTGTTCGAGTAATCTCGCCGAACATTTTCTTCATCAATTTCTCCGCAACTAGGTTTCAGGTTCGATTCGTGTCTTGATTCGGGTTTTGATTCGTCTCTAGGGTTTATGCTTAGTGTAGTTTGGTCTTTTATTTTAGGCCTGACTCGATGTTTACTATGATCAAGTCTTGAGTTTCTGAATCTCTGAGTAGAGTAATACTTGATCATCTCGATTCTTAGATCATCTATGCTGTTTTTCATTTCTTTTGTTGAATTGGTTCATCTTTCATCGGGCAAATTGTTTGTAAGATTCACTTGGAACAACTCTTCTTTTGGAGATTGAAAGAATTTGCTGCAAAATGTGAACTTTTCCTTGTTCAGTGCAGGAGATCAGTGTTATTTATCTTTCAATCTATTGATTTGTCTTTTATTTGATTTGATTGCAGCTGCAGTTGTGGTAGCATCTTCTTTTGATTGGAGAAAACAATGAAAAAGCTCTTCTTTTTTAGATCTTCGGCTGGTAATGGAACTGATAAACAGGTTAACTGCGAAAAAGCAGCGGATAGTAAGATGAAAACCCAAACTTGTAGTCAGGCTGAACAAGAGTTCGATAGTCCTAAGTCACATGGTCAAGTTTCTGGTGGTCCAGCTCTTAGACGAAGCCTTTCATGGTCCTCGGCAGGTTTCCTTTTTGATAAGTTTGGAGAAACTTCCAAGAATGAACTAACTAGTGCTACTAAAAGCCAGGATAGGCGGCGCAATCATTCATCTCGGTATGCTTTTGGCCTTTCTTCATTCTTATGAGATTGTTAATCATTAACAGTTCTCAATTGTTTTGATGATATTCTGTAATATTTTTTGCTATCTTGGTTCGATATTTTGATTAAACCACTGACAAACAGTGTAATGAATACTGTGTGCCAGATGCTTCACTCCAGAAAGACAAGTTAGAGAAAGGCAGTGTGAAGCAGACAAGTTTCAACATGATTCATCTGGGAGTTCATCATCTTGTTCTAGTAATGTCTCTAGTAAAGTTCTGGACCGTTATATTGATGGAGAAGAGCATTTGGAACCGTGCAAGCAAAAGAGTAATTCTTCACACAGTGGTGTTTCTGGGAGTATAAACCGAAGGAGGCTTCCACCCCGGGTTCAGTGGACAGTCCCTACATCACCATCAGACACTTCCAATGAGAAACGAAAGTCCCAGTCATTTAGAGAAGCTAAAGGCACCCGTTTACGTTTCTCTTCTGCTGATTGTGTGGAAAATGGGTTGAGGCATGGATCGCCTCGTTCACTTGCAAGAAATGTCATTGAAAGACTCTCTCAGACTCATGGCAAGTCAAAGGGTTCAAACCACGAACCCATCACAATTCAAGATGTCTATGGTGGATCCCTTAATAGAAATTTTGACTCGAGCTCAGATATCGCCGCTAATGTTTCACTAGCTGAACATTATGAACCTGTGAACGAGTATTATGCGCAGGACTATGGAGGGCACCAGCAAAATTGTATACGTGGTAAGAACGTGTATAAGTGTATGGAAGACGATAGTGACTCCGAGCTAGAAATGAAAATTAAAGAAGCTGAGAAGAGAGCAAAATTGTTTTCTGCAGAAGTGGAGCAGCAGAGATGCCTTTCAGACTGTGACTTTGATGTTTCATCTTTGGTCGGGGCAATTAGAAAACTGGAAGATGAGAGGCTCCACTTGGCATTTGAGAATGTAAATCTCTTACGGTCCCAAATGGCTGAGAGGGCTTCTGCCAGGGAAGAAATCAGATGGTTGAAGTCAGATTGGGACTTGCATATACAGAGACTAGAAAAGGAGAAGAGCGAGTTGCAGGCTGGATTGGAGAAAGAGCTTGATAGAAGATCAGGTGAGTGGACGTCAAAGCTTGAAAAATTCCAGCTTGAAGAGAAGAAACTCCGAGAGCGTGTCAGAGAGCTTGCTGAGCATAATGTCTCACTCCAGAGAGAACTATCGGCTTTCCATGAAAATGAGACAGAGAACAAAGACATGATAACACATTTGGAGGGAAGAGTTGCTGAGCTGACCGCGACAGCAGATGAATTGCATGAAGAGAACACTTATGTTAAACAAACTCTCTCCCAGTTACAAGAGAGTTATGAAGGTGCTACAGAAGATCTTGATTTCCTAAGAAGAAACTTTGAAGAGAAGGATCAAGAATGCAGGGAGTTGCACAAATCTGTTACAAAGTTTCTCAGAACTTGCAAAGAACAAGGGAAGACAATCGAGGGACTTCGAGATGGTGTTTCCGAGGAGGGTAAGAAGCAACCGTCAGAGAAATTAGACCAGTTGGTCAAGAAATTGCAGGTCGAGCAGATAAGGTTGACAGGGATCGAGCTTTCACTTAGAAGGGAAGTAGAATCAATGAAGCTTGAAACTGACTCTCTTCGCCATGAGAATATCTGTCTACTGAATCGATTGAAAGGGAATGGCCAAGAATTAGAAAGCACGACCCTTAAGCTAGAGAATGAGTTGAAGATGCGTGTCTGCTACTTGCAAGACCAAGGACTGTCAATGTTAAATGAGAGCAGCCAGCTGTGTTACAAGTTACTGAAGTTCATCAAACGGAAATTAACTCAGCTTCCTGAAACCTATCAGGATAAGAATTCAGTGAAGGACGGATTAAGTGAGCAGTTTATGATTGAGTCTGAAATGAAAGTCCATGGAATAAGGCGCGGAACTGAAAACCTGAAGAGGAGTTTGCAAACGGTGACCAGTGTGGTAGCTTCGAATTCAGAATCGTCTTCCTCAAGTACTGGTAGGCCTAGGGAACAAAGAGACCAATCAGTTGAAGTGAGTTTCCAAGAATATGTCCATTTCTTAATATCTCTATAGTATTTTCATGTATGTCCGATTTGCTTTACAGTAATATGTGGCTAATGTATAGCCCAATCTCATGTAGGAAACCCTGCGAGCCGAACTGAGTGCTGAGACCCTAATCACAAGTTTATTGCGGGAGAAACTGTATTCCAAGGAACAGGAAATTGAACAGCTTCAAGCAGAAGTAGCAGCAGCAGTACGAGGTAATGAGATTCTGAGAAGTGAGGTCCAAAGCAGTTTAGACAACCTATCTGTTACAACCCACGAATTGAAAGACTTCAAGCATCAGGTATTGCAAATAACACATATCCCATGTCTGTTTTTGTGGCTCTTGATATAAAGAAGCAATTCCCAATTATAGATGTAACTTTAAGCTGATCTTTTTGACATCAGATGTTGAAGAAGGAGGAAAGCATAAACCGGCTCGAAAGCAATCTCCAGGAAGCGGCGAAAGAAATGGCGAGGCTGAACGCACTATTGTCAAAAGTGTCTTGTGAAAGAGGCGAGATATGGAGAGATTTGAAACAATGCTATGAGAAAAACAAGCTTTTGAACTCAGAGAACGAGACATTGAAAGGGATGGTAGATAAATTGGAGGAGAAGGTATTAGAGAAAGAAGGGGAGATCACAATACTACAAGACACAATCGGAAGCAAGCATCTTAATCTCCTCTCAAGTCCTGATTTCTTGGTATAAGGGTTCTTCTTTATAATTTGGTTTCTTTCACACCTTTATCATTCTTTCTTAGATGATGGGTCAATTCTTTGGGGATTATAGATATGATTTTTATCTTCTTTTATTTTTCTTTTTCTTTTGGATTTGCTTATCTCAAAGCTGGATTCTCTAGTTTCAGATTTGTAAAGGGCTTATAAACTTGGGGTGAAATTTATGAGAAAGAAAGTTTGTCATATGACTCAATCCTATTCAATAAAATCTTCATAAGCCATTTGTTCAAAAAGATACTAGCAATAATTTTAGTTAAAACCATTATTTTTACTATCTTAAATACATACTTGGTATTTTTAATTTTTCACTAAATAAAGATAAAATTGGATACATATTTTTATTAAATGACAATTGTAAAAATGTAAGATGATTTTTTGAACCTATATATATGATTTAACTTTTCACTATAGTTAGTCATTTTTATTTCTGAACAAGTTTGACATAGCTAGTCTAATATATATTTTTTGCCTACACTTGTTGTAGTAACAAATTGGGGATATGGTACCGTAATATTTTAGAGAATATTTCATAAAAATAGAACAAATATTAAATGTTGCAAAAAAAGTCAAACCGTTAAAAGTCAAAAAAAAAATGGCGAGACAGGTAGAGAAAATAAAATATGAATTTACCAAAAAAAAAACACCATAAACACGATGACCGCGACTATCGCAACTTTCTCTCTCTAAAGAAACCAAATCCAACGTCTCCGTCTCTTCTTCAAACGCGTCTTCTTCTCTATTTTAACCCTTTTTCATCGACTCTTCGCTTTTTATAGGTTTGATTTGTATTAGTAATCTTCTTCCTAATCTTTTCCCTCATTGATCTGAAATCGAATGATGGATTATTATTCTACACCAAGCTTTTGAAATAAGGAACCCTATTTCTTTCATCTAATCCTCGATTTCATCAGGTATTTCAATGTTTTCTTTAACAAAATCATTTTTTAATCAGATTGATTGGTCAAAGTTGAAACCTTTAGATTCCCATGTGGATGGAGTTATTAAAAGTTTTTTCTTTAACCAAAATTTGTTTCTCCAGATACTTGTTATCGGATTGATGGGTTAAAAGTTGAAATCTTTAGATTCCTATGTTGGAAATTTGGAGACTTTATCTTTTTTTTTTCTAGATTACTAAATGTTTTGTTTTTGTTTGTGTGGAATGCAGATTAATGTTGTTTACATTTGTGAATGCGTGTTTGAATTCTGAATCCTGGGTTTGTGGAGTTGGAATTGAGTCTGACAAGAAGATTGGGTCTCATAATATTGTTATAAGCACTGATTTGATGAACGATTTGATAGCTGGTTCTTTTGGTTGAGACATGTGAATTATGGTATCTACAACATTTAGGAGAATTGTATCGCCTTGTTGGAGACCTTTTGGTATTGGAGAAGATTCGAGTCCTGGTAGTGATGATGCTAATGGCCGTCTCGATGGTCTCTTGTGGTACAAAGATTCTGGCAACCACATCACTGGAGAGTTTTCTATGGCAGTGGTTCAAGCTAACAACCTTCTTGAAGATCATAGCCAGTTAGAATCTGGTCCTATTAGTTTGCATGATTCTGGACCTGAGGCAACTTTTGTTGGTGTTTATGATGGTCATGGAGGTCCCGAGGCTGCTCGGTTTGTAAACGATAGGCTCTTTTATAACATCAAGAGGTACACATCAGAACAGCGAGGGATCTCACCTGATGTTATCACCAGAGGGTTTGTAGCAACAGAGGAGGAGTTTCTCGGTTTAGTGCAGGAGCAATGGAAGAACAAGCCGCAGATTGCTTCTGTGGGAGCTTGTTGTTTGGTGGGTATTGTTTGTAATGGATTGTTGTATGTTGCAAACGCAGGAGATTCCCGGGTTGTGTTAGGGAAAGTCGCGAATCCGTTTAAAGAGTTGAAAGCTGTTCAGCTGTCAACAGAGCATAATGCTAGTATCGAATCTGTGAGAGAGGAGTTACGTTTGTTGCATCCTGATGATCCGAATATCGTGGTCTTGAAACACAAAGTTTGGCGTGTTAAAGGGATTATACAGGTTTCAAGATCCATTGGTGACGCATACCTTAAAAGAGCGGAGTTTAATCAAGAACCGCTATTGCCTAAGTTTAGGGTTCCAGAACGTTTTGAAAAGCCGATCATGAGAGCGGAACCGACTATAACAGTTCATAAGATTCACCCGGAAGATCAGTTTCTTATATTTGCCTCGGATGGTTTATGGGAGCATCTAAGCAACCAGGAAGCTGTTGATATCGTCAATTCTTGTCCACGCAATGTAAGACATTTCACATCACTCTTCTTGAATCCATTTTGCAATTCAGTTCAAGTTTTGGTTTTTGTCTGGTTTAAGTAGTTTTGTTGTTTGTTGAATTGTGGTGTCTACTTGATTCTTCAGGGGGTGGCTCGGAAGTTAGTGAAAGCTGCATTACAAGAAGCAGCAAAGAAGAGAGAGATGAGGTATTCGGATTTGGAGAAGATAGAACGTGGCATCCGGCGACACTTTCACGACGATATAACCGTTATTGTTGTCTTCCTCCACGCTACAAACTTCGCTACTCGAACTCCGATATCTGTCAAAGGAGGTGGTCTCCTCTCAGCCCATAATGCCCTTTTATAGATCATTTTTTTCCTTATTTGAACCAGAATTTGATTTTGTTTGCTTCTTTTGTTACAAATTGTGTGAAAATTTTACTTCTTTAATTATTTTCTGAACAAAAAGTGTAAATTTCCTCTCATTTTTTCTCAAATCTCATTGTATTTTCTGTTTACGAAATCGTGAAACAGAATCGAACCGAATTTGAAACCGAGTTTTAATCTATACCGAATTTGAACCGAAATAAAATCTTATTCTATCCGAATCGAACCAAACCGAAAGTTGTGGCAGTCAAATTCAGTGGAAACCATTTTCCCGGAAAATCCTTTTGGGAGCTGAGAAAGTGAAAGCTGTGAGGTATGAGTGTGGGACTGAAAGTTAGCGTGTGCTTATATCCATCGCTTGCGCTATCCGCTAGAGATTTCTCTCCTCCTTCCTCATCATCTCTCTATCTTGATCGGAAAATTCTCCGACCAGGCTCCGGGAGGCGGTGGTGCAAATCCAATGGGAAACGTAGAACCGAACCAAAATTGGCTATTGTAGACTCAAGGTAATCAAATATGTGTTTACTTCTCTCAGAGGGATTACCAAGTTTTGCTTTTTATTGAAACTTTCGTGTGTGGTGGTGGTTAATTTTCAGTCGAGTACCGGAGCTTGATTCTTCTTCAGAACCAGTTCAAGTGTTCGATGGATCAACAAGGTTTGACTTTTTAAAAATGTTCTTCTTTTTTTTTCATTTCTGGAGATATCAGAGAAGTTGTTGATGAACAAATTTTGGTCTTTGTGATTTGAAGGTTGTACATATCTTACACTTGCCCATTTGCTCAGCGTGCGTGGATTGCTCGAAACTACAAGGTTTCAAATTTGATCATTCTTATCGCTGATTCTATGTTAGATACGAAACCATCTTGGATTTAGATCAAATTTCTTATGTTGCTTGTTTTTGCAGGGTCTGCAAAACAAGATAGAACTCGTACCGATTGATCTTAAAAACAGGCCTGCTTGGTATAAGGAGAAAGTTTACTCGGCTAACAAGGTGTGAACTTTTCTATTTCAATGCATATATGTGATAGGATTTAGAGTTATAAGTGTTTTGTTCTCTGTTGTATGCAGGTGCCTGCATTAGAGCACAATAACCGAGTAATGGGAGAGAGCCTTGATCTGATTAAGTACATTGACACCAATTTTGAAGGGCCTTCACTTACACCCGATGTGAGTTTCACTGACTTCTTTGATTTGTTGAGCTCGATTTGTCACATTAAGTGAACCTATACTTAGAACCTATTACAACAGGGTTTAGAGAAGCAAGAAGTAGCTGAGGAGTTACTCTCCTACACTGACTCCTTCTCCAAGGCTGTGAGATCCGCATTAAACGGCACTGACAGTAATGCAGCAGGTGATTTGTTATCTTCCTTCTGTGTTAGCAGAAATATTAGTTTGCCATGCGTATGAATCATCTTGTTTTCCATTTCTTCAGATGCTGCATTTGATTACATCGAGCAGGCTCTGACCAAATTCAATGAAGGGCCTTTCTTTCTTGGCCAATTTAGTTTGGTATTGTCCATTATATTTTCACTCAATTTGTTAAACCCATATCAACTCTTGATGCTGAGACAAAAATGGTGTTTATATCTATAGGTTGATGTTGCATATGCTCCATTCATAGAGAGATTTCAGCTTATCTTAAGTGACGTGATGAATGTGGATATCACATCTGGTCGGCCTAACCTTGCCCTTTGGATTCAGGTTACCCTATTACCTTGAAATTTGTAACTATCTTTCATTTAAGGCTAAATCTTCACATACACATGCTAATCTCTGGTTCTTTGCCTTTTTGTGCAGGAGATGAACAAGATCGAAGCTTACACCGAAACCCGTCAAGATCCACAAGAGCTAGTTGAAAGATACAAGAGACGAGTCCAAGCAGAAGAACGTCTCTAACCAGATGGTTATCTGGATTTCTCCATTTACAAGGGTTCAGAAGAGTCAAATGGGAAGAGATATTGTAACCAAAGTTGTTTTTATATATTATTAAATTGTATCGGTAAAAGCATCTACATGACAGGCAACAACTGTTTTCATTTATCTCAGAGTTCATGAGTCCAACTAGAACCAAATTGCACCTGCTGCTTTTCCCGTCATTGCCCATAAGATCGTGCTTGCTGCTTCATTAAAATTCAGTGCTAGCCGAGGAGCAACGCGATTCAGAGATATTATACAAAACCAAACCAAGCTGAATACGACCCTAGTGCCCAAAGTTGAAAAACAGAACTAAAGCATCATATAAGAGTCTTATAGTGCTTGCCCAACTAATTTCATTTGTATCCAGAGAGAAATTAGTCAGCTTTCTTCAAGAAGAAGAGAGGTAAATGTCCCTGAGCAAATCTTCCATTCTATGTGTATATACTGAATGCAAAAACCCAGAAAAAGAGTTTTTTTTTTGTTGCTACTTCTTTAGCAGTACTCTCCATATCTTCCTCATATAAACAACTAAAGACCATATAGAGAGCCCTGCAGATACATAGAGCAACCCAATACCCGACGGTAATAGTCTCTCAAAACTGCTATCCCGGCTTGCAAGAAGTAAGGTTAACGCTATCATCTGCGTTGCGGTTTTCCACTTTCCCAAGCTATTTACAGCAACAGCCTAGCAACATCAATGCCATTTCCATGATTAAGTAAGGAACACTTACGAAAAAAGATCCAAGAGAAGGCACATGATGGTGAAAACTTTACCTCTGAAAGCTTGCCGTTTTGAGATGCAGCCCATTCTCTTACTGCAGACATAGTAATCTACAGTGAAAAGTATACGACTAGTTTAGAACAGAGAGCTGAAAAGTGTAACTTACTTCATGGTATATTATTAGAATACAGTCAACTTTCTGTATCTTACCTCTCTACCAATGATGGCGATTGAAGGTACTGTCACTAACCATGGAACTGGTCCTAAGACAACGGCGACCATTGGTTTAGTGCACAACAATATCAATGTAGCTGCTACCATAAGCTGCATACCAATGACATAAATCAGTAGAATGATAAAAATCATTCCTTTTTTACTTCAACAAGGCTTGAGATGAAGAAAAGATAAACAGGAAAGGTAGCTAAGAACTGGGTCTCTCACCTTATCCGCCACTGGGTCCAAAAAAGCACCAAATGCAGAACCCAATCTCATCTGAAAAGGCAAATCTCACCGTTAAGCTTACCATTTCAAGTGTGGTAAGAAGAATCCACAGAAGTCTAACTATGCAGAAGAACATGAAAAGGTAAAGAAAAAAAGTTACCTTTCGAGCAATATATCCATCAAGCCAATCTGTGATGGCTGCTGCAACAAAAATACTTGTTGTAGCAGTTTTTCCCCACCAGCAATCAACGTAAAAGGCTACATTTTAAAAACAAAGGAGATGATGAAGATAATGCAATGGGAGGAGATACAATCAAAATCAGGAATTGAACATCAAAAGATCCAATTCAGATTAATTAAAGGAGTGGTAACAAGTGAAGTACACATAGCAATAAGCTCAATTCAAAAAAAGTTCTCTAATTTCTCGAATTCAATCCAACAAAACTCTGATCTGAGAAAAATCACAATAGCATCTTCGTTTAGATCTGATGATTAGAATCCTATCACAATGACTCCAACCAGAATTCAGAGTCGAAAAAAAAACAAAAACAAAAAAGCAAACGTACTCGCGACGAGAATCGGAACGGCAGCTACACGGCCTAGGGTTAATACGGTAGGCAATGTAATCACTTTAGAAGATAGCTGTGTCGGTGAAGGCAATGGCGACGAATGACGATTAAGGAGCAAAGAATCTTTGCCACCACCGAAACTGTTCTGATCCACCGTCACGGTGTCTTCTTCACCCATATCCTCCACAAGAGCTGATCTGTAAATTTGACGATCCGTTTTACTCCGACGAAGAAGAGGAAGAGATGAAACACGAGGGGCGGTGGCGACACCGACCTGAATCCGGAACCCTAAGCCTTTATGGGACACACACAACGGCCAATAATAATGCAGCTTGGAGAGATGCTAACGTGCGCCAACTATGAAAATGAGCGAGCTAGGTGCGTAACGTGCGCCGAAAATCGTCGACATGGATTGACGATTGTTAATGAAGCAAATGGCACGTTTTGGGCCTTCTTTTAATTCTAGCTGATTTTTATTTTATATATGTGCTAAAATGTAAAATTATTAATAAAAATCTTCTTTCTATGGTTGCATGAATCATATCATATATGTACTAAACTCAACTTATCCTGTTCGATAGAGACATCATTTTAATTGATAGATCTTGAACACCCATTCGCAACCTACCGCCTTTTTCATGAGTCTCATTTCGTTGTAATGTCTCTGCATTGCTCAATTCCATTATGTGCACTCTCTATTGCTTCCTCGTACGTTTGTGGTTCCATGTTTGAATCTAAAACACTTGGTGAACATTTGGAAGATAATCATCTAGTCCCAGACAAACTGAATGTGATAATGAACAACCATATAATCATTGTGTTGGTTACCCAAACCGACCAATATTTGGATTTGTAACGAAGTGTTTGAGAACGTGAGAGTATTATAGAGAAACTAGAAACAAGAAGTTAAGTTCCTTACTAGTCCTACACAAAACTCCAAAATATACACTCATATAGGTAAATATATACAGTACAAGAAATAGTAGATTCCAATAAACGATTGAATCGGCTAAAGTTCTATAACTGTGTAATCATCAACTAGCCATTGGTGGATATTCTTCATAATTTCTCAAATCTGGATTTTCATATTTGCTTCATCTTCTATTGATTTTGCACATAAACTCCAACACAATTATGTAAACGTTTACCTATCTTAAGTTTGTGAAGTGTGACTGAGAGGAAAAAAAGAGTGAGATTATATGAATATCAAAGTCACAACTTGTATTAACCGTTTTCAACACAATAGTTATGAAAGTTAATATCAAAGTCCATTAATTGATATCAAACAATTCGTATCTAAAATAAGAATTATAACATATGATAGAAATTTCTCATTTGATTAAATGTAACATATAAAGCGCATTGGCATTACTTAGACGATGGATTTAGCAAATCTAAGAAAAAGTTTTTTTTTTTTTTTAGCGAGATTTAATTCCCTAGAAAAGTCCTTTACCAACTCCTAAAGCAATTGGTCCTTTACCGACAAATCGACAACCATTACAATCCCCACAATTATTTTCTTGTATATCCTTTTTAGAATTAAAAATGAATCTCCTTAATCAAAGATTTTTTGTAAATGTTCTTTAGTTTTTGAAATTGTAGAACAGAGAGTTTGGAGACCATGGTCTCGCTACAAAATGAATATGCATGGTACGTTACTTGTTACACCAATCATATAAACTAATAACGTTCGTTACTTGAGTTTAGATTACAAGCATGAGAGTTGACAATTACGATACATGACGTAGATGTCCTTAATATATCTAAAACAACTTTATCTATCTTTCAAAGCAGGTGATATAGACTCCACACCACAACCATATCAAAATTCGATATAAGGATATGATTTTTTCTTTTATCAAATTGTCATAGCATAATATTGTGAGATATTTTGATAAAACTTATACCAAGAACACAATTACACAACTGTGAAATTCACATTTACATCCAAAATAAGGAAGTAGTTGATAGTTAAAAAAAAAAAAAAAAGTTAAATAATGAGAGAGAGAAAAGGAGCTTTTGGACTCGGTGACAAGGAATCGAACGCAGTCAAAATTGAGAGTCACACACATGTAATAAACCTTGGTCGACAATCTCGCCCTTTCCATGTGATTTCTCCACTTCCTCTCTCTCTCTCTACTGCAACTTCCTCCTTCTTCTTCAACTTCAGTCGCGTAACGATGATAATGATCAACTAGCCTGGAGATTGGATCTTCTTCTTCTTCATCCTCTCACCAGTTTTTTCAACTCTTCACCGGCTAGATCTCTTTTTCCCGCTAACGAATGAGGAGCGTTGCCGCCGCCGCCGCTGCTGCTGCTGCTTCTTCTAAGCCGCTTAATCCTCTCGTCGCTTTCGAGCACAAGAGGTTTCTTCTTATTTTCCTCCTTACTCTCTACATTTCTGCTTCCTCTTTTTGGTTTGAACTTGCGCTTCTCTCTTTAGCTTTTCGCTAGACTCGCTGAGCGAAATGTTGTTATCTCCGATTACGAGAGGTTTAATCTTTGCTTTCTGTTTCCGTAATTTTGCGTTTTCTTATCAATTTAGTCGGGATTTGGATGATTATTGATCTTGATTTGAAAGTACATTCTAGTGATTTGAATGCTGTTTTTTGTCCATCGGTGACTATTGCTCTCAATGTGGCATAATCGTTAGTGAACGTAAGGTAGCCTTTGATAGCAAATTCGAGATGTCGGTGTTGTTCAATTTCTTGAAACAAACTGATGAGGGATGCAATTTTGTCTTTGGATATAGTGAGATTTCGTCTGAGCTCTGGATGGGATTTAATATATCAGTGGGAACTCATGTCAAAGCTATGTCACATGCCTTTTTTTTTTGTGAACAGGGATGCATATGGATTTCCTGTCAGACCTCAACATGTGCAGAGATACAGAGAATATGCTGACATTTACAAGGTTCTTTATCCATCATAGCTCCTACTTTCTACTCAGATTTTACATCCGCATGATTCAGTGGAACAGCTTGATTTTGCCTTTAATTTGGTTATGACCGTGGTATTATTGTGAGAATGCTGATTCCATTTCTAATCCTAGTCATAGGGAAATCCTGTGTGAAAGATATCATAATAGGACTAACCTATAACTGCACGGATTGATGTGCCTGTAGAACTACACCTTAGATACCAAATGCTTGTAATAGCTTCTTTTTGGTTCTTGGAATGGTATAAGCAGATCCTATCATTATTTCCTAAATAAGTCCCCTAAACTTGTGATTGTCACTTTTTGCTTACAATCAGGAAGAAGAAGAAGAAAGGTCGGACAGGTGGAACAGTTTTTTGGAAGATCATGTCGAATCGACTGAGTTACCTGTAAACGGATCATCTGAAAATAGTCACGCACCATCTAGTGAAAGTGAGAAGGAAAAAGAAGTGGAATTAAACAAGGCGCCTGGTGAAGATCTGCATACTGACAAGTTAGGTTCTGATGTAACTCCTGATAATGCAAGTGAAGAAGAAGGACACCCCGATGCAGAGAAGAATGTTCACAGAGTGCAATTATGGACTGAGATCAGACCATCTTTACGATCAATTGAAGACTTGATGAGCATCCGTGTCAAGAAGAAGGGAGATTTATCAAAAATCGAGCAAGAGGCTCTGAAAGTGAAATCTTCACCTTCATTCGATGATGCCAAATCTGCCAAGGGAGCATCTGAGAATGATTCTGAAGACGAGTTCTATGATGTTGAGAGGTCGGATGTTCAGGATGGTTCATCTTCAGATGGTACAAGTGTCTCTGGCATTCCTGCTCCTGATGCAAGTCCACTGTCTACATGTCCTTGGAAGGAAGAACTTGAAGTGCTGATTCGCGGCGGTGTACCTATGGCTCTGAGGGGGGAGGTAATAAATCTTGTCATGTCTACATTACTGCCTTATCTTCTTATTTCATATCATGCTCTAGCTCTCCATCTATAGTTCGATAGTCTTAGGTCTTGTTCAATTATAATCGTCACATTTATCAATAACTTTTCAGTTATGGCAAGCATTTGTGGGTGTGAGGAAACGACGCTGCAAGGATTATTACCAAAACCTTCTTGCTGCAGATAGTTCTGTAAACACCATAGAGCAAGAGGATATGCAGCATGTTGATGATAAAGGTTCAATTACAGAATCTATTGCTGTTGTGGAAAAATGGAAAGGACAGATAGAAAAGGTAGTACTCGAAAATTTATTCAGCCTTGACCCTCTATCTAGTGGTGCAGCGTTGGCTTATGCTGAAGTTGATCAGGATTCTTATGCCGTTGCTTGTTTCAAGTACAGGACTTACCTCGGACATTTCCTGGTCATCCTGCTCTGGATGATGATGGTAGAAATGCTCTACGGCGTTTGCTTACTGCTTATGCTAGGCATAATCCTTCTGTTGGATACTGTCAGGTATTGGTTCTTAACCAATAGCATGATCTTTATTTTAGTACTGAGACATAGTAAATTAACATTAATATCAAGTTAATATCTTGTGTCAATATACGTTCTGCAGGCCATGAATTTCTTTGCTGCGCTTTTATTGCTTTTGATGCCAGAAGAAAATGCCTTTTGGTATGTTCACGAATTTGATGAATTTATCATCTCCAAGTCCTAATATTGTTTCCTGTGAAACTCGAACCCCTTTGATCTGTGTTTACTGTTTAGTTTGTATTCTATCGCTTTCACTTCTTCCAAACATTAATTGTTCTTGGGTCATTCTCTGTATCCTTATTTCTACCTAAACCAATGTTGTTTGATTAATCTACTATTTCCATTCCTAATCTTATTTTTCCTGTCTAAACACGAACTCCTTGCTCTGTGATTAGTTTTTATATCTGTCACTTTCATATTCTCATGGTTGATTTAACTGTTATTAGGCATCCTTATCTCTTCTCCTTTTTTCTTTCTAAACCGATGCCCCTTCTAATTAAATACGTATGATTTTTAGGGCACTGACAGGACTTATTGATGACTACTTCAATGGTTATTATTCAGAAGAAATGATAGAGTCTCAGGTGATAATATTAGTTACCTGTCTATATACATTTGCAATTTTTTTGAGGCTGACTGGTGATAGCATCATGACAACATGTACCTTCATATTTTAGGTTGATCAACTAGTTCTGGAGGAGTTAGTTCGAGAAAGATTTCCTAAATTGGGTGAGTTCCCTCAGAGTTTTTTTGTTTCATCTTACAGAATGTTCACAGTTAGTACTAAGATCTGCAATTTTGTATGTCTACAGTTCATCATCTGGATTATCTTGGAGTGCAAGTGGCTTGGGTTACAGGGCCATGGTTTCTTTCCATCTTCATGAATATGCTTCCATGGGAAAGTGGTCAGGTTTTAAACATTGGAATTAAAGCTGTCTTGTTTGAAAGAGAATTGAGTAACTAGTAATATATGATGGAAATCTTTTAAAATTTGATCATCTTTCTCTTTGAGATTTGGGACTGAGAACCCATTGTCTTTCTAAATGTTCGTCTTCTTGATCACAGTTCTTAGAGTCTGGGATGTGCTTCTCTTTGAGGGAACTCGAGTTATGCTTTTCAGAACAGCACTCGCATTGATGGAACTATATGGTACTTGATTGAAACTGCTGGTCTTATAATTCAAGTAATATAGTTTGTGGACCTTCTGAATGCAGTGGCATCCTCATCGAGACTGCTCTATTTTACGGTTTAATTTACCTCAGGTCCTGCATTAGTTACTACGAAGGATGCTGGAGACGCTGTTACTTTGCTACAATCACTGACTGGATCAACATTTGATAGCAGCCAGCTAGTTTTAACTGCTTGCATGGGTTACCAAAATGTACACGAAATTAGATTGCAGGAATTGCGAAGCAAGCATAGGCCAGCTGTGATAGCTGCACTTGAAGAAAGATCAAAGGGGCTTCAAGCTTGGAGGGATTCTAAGGGCCTTGCCTCCAAATTATATAATTTTAAGCAAGACCCAAAATCTGTTCTGGTGGATGGCAAAGTCTCATTGTCAAATGGGAGTTTGTCTCGATCTGAGTCAGGATCAAGTAATGCTGATGAAGTGTTGGTTAGCCTAACTGGGGATGGGGAGGTAGATTCTGTTCAAGATATTCAAGCGCAGGTAATTTTTTGTCCTTCATGTTGGCGTGGAGATGCTCCCCTAAGCCCTTAGTACACTTGAATGTTGGATGATTATGAAACGGTTGAAAAACCCACTTGATACCTACAAACCCCCTCTGAAAGTTGACTGACAACTTTTTCAGGTTCTGTGGTTGAAGGCTGAACTCTGCAAGTTGCTTGAGGAGAAACGATCAGCTCTACTTAGGTTAGTTTCTTTTGTCAACAGATAAAGTTTTATATCTCTCCTTATTGTTACTCAATATGTAATGTCTCCCAAACTTCTGATTTTGTGGTAGAGCTGAAGAGTTGGAGATTGCTCTCATGGAGATAGTAAAGGAAGACAATCGGCGTCAATTGAGTGCCAAGGTATTCCAATAAAGCTTGCCACTTGACAGTTAATTTTCCAATTAAGCATATATATGTTACTTGTCTCTTTATCCATGTTCTGAATACGAAGACTATTTTTTCTGTCACTTTTACCATCATTACTTTCCTTTCTCTCTTTTCTTCTCCTGCTGGTTCCTCGTCACACATCTCTGTGCTGATCCAATTTGAAGGCTCATTGGTGCTAAGTTAGTTTTGAGATAGTCTTGAGATGTGAAATGCTACTTGTCATGAATGTGAACTTCAGGTCGAACAGTTGGAGCAAGAGATGGCCGAAGTTCAGAGACTTCTCTCTGATAAGCAGGAACAAGAAGGTGCAATGCTACAGGTTTGCATTTGCATGATCAATCTGTTTTATTTCTTCGTTTATGGCTGAGAAAGATTCTGAGATTAATTGATACTTATGAAGGTCTTGATGCGGGTGGAGCAAGAACAGAAGGTAACAGAAGATGCACGAAGATTTGCTGAGCAGGATGCAGAAGCGCAGAGATATGCTGCTCAAGTCTTGCAGGTAAAAAAGTTTGCACTGACTCCTACCAACACAAATGTGGCTAGGCTATTCAGTTTTAAAGAGCTTTAACTGTCTCTAGTTATACGTCGTTACTCACCTTCCATGGAGTAGAGTTACACATTAGTTTAGAAAAAATAATCTCTGTATATCCTGTATCAACCCTTGTCTGTATGTTTTCAGAGCTGCGTGTTTCGAATGCTACTTTATATCCTCTTCCTTTTTGTATCCTCCTGTTTTATCTTAGATCTTTTCTGTAACGAATATGACAACTGGTCTAGGAAAAATACGAGGAAGCTGTTGCTGCACTGGCTGAAATGGAGAAGAGAGCAGTGATGGCAGAGTCCATGCTCGAGGCGACTTTGCAGTATCAATCTGGCCAACTCAAAGCACAACCTTCACCACGGTGTGTTCTTCTTACCTGAGACTACTCAAAACATAAATTGTGTACACAACTATAAACACTCGATGGGTTATGACTAATGACCACACATGTGCATTCTGAATTGGGTATATATTCATATTTTTTACCCATACAGGCAAGTTAACCAAGATTCGTCAGTCAAAAACATCAATGATCAGATACCAGAACCTCCTCCAAGCAGGATCAGTTTGCTAGCACGGCCATTTGGACTAGGGTGGCGCGACAAGAACAAGGTAAGTCTTCTTCTTAAACAACATATTTAGAGACGGCTTCACCCAAGAAACACCTCAAAAATGTCTTTAAAACCAAATAGTTTCTCGTACTTACGTATAATCATATACGAACTGACGGGCAATTTGCAGAACACAACACCTGAAAAAACTACGGAGCATGTTAATGACGAGAAGCCATCATCAACAGAGGGAAAAGAGACTAACTCTGAACCAACAGACGCTAAGGTCCAAGACATTTCCTAGGTATATCAAGCTTGAAAGCTCTCATTTCCACTTCCATCTTCAAATCTTAGTAGCTAAATCCTCCTACGTGTAGTAGCAATAGCTTCTCAGTTCTCTCAGTCACCCTTTTCTCATAATTCCGGATTGAAGTTTTGGACATAAGTTTTAAATACATTCATTTGTTGTTTGTGGTATGTTATAAATATATTCATTTTAAGGAGGTGGGATACATACAAGACATGAATGGTGTATATAGTTCAGTAAACTAGCAAGTATTCGATTCTCTTGGATACCCCCAGTTTTATAATATATGAATTTAATGAAGAATTCTTCCTACAACATTTTTTTGTTCTGCGACAATTAGCCTTAACTCATACCACCAACTAGGCAACTACATGTTTAGAATTTTATATAATTATATAACGACAATATACATCTTTTTGTGCGACAATGAGCTTAAACTCATACCAATAACATTGGTTATATTTAATAAAATTAGAACAATAATACATGACGTTTTAAAAAATGCCTCATCTCATGGCTTGTAACCTCATAAAACCGTAGACAATTACTTCATAAAAATGGATTTCTTAAAACGTTGGGAAAGGCACAGAAGAAAAAAGTACACACAACACTCTACTGATAGCTTACGCCTTCACCGTTGATAACCTCTCCTACGCGATACGCAACATAGTCTCCATTCTTGGCTTCTTGTAGTATTCGTGAAGCTGCCTCTGGACTAACCACCATGACCATCCCTATCCCCAGGTTAAACGTCCTTCTCATCTCACTGTCTTCTATTCTCCCAGACTATAATACACCAGAAAACAATCAAACACTAAAGAATAAACATCATCGTCTGTTCAGGATCTCAATGATTCTCTCATTCATTACCTGTTGGATCCACTTGAACAACGGTGGAAGTTCCCAAGCATCGGTGTGAATAACAGCACCCAAACCATCCGGGAAGACTCGGGGAATGTTGTCTGTGAAACCTCCGCCTGTAATATGAGCTATCCCCTTCACTCCTCCTCTACTGATTATGTCAAGTACCTGCGAAAGTGCGAATAGCAGAGAGAGAGAAAGTCATAGAGTTGTTACAAATGTGATGATGGAATTCTTGTTGACAAGAAAACCGACCTGTTTCACATAGATGACAGTGGGTGCCATTAAAGCTTCACCAAGAGTAGTTGATCCACCTGGCAGCGCATCATTCAGCGAAAGATTGCTTCGAGCCAATACCCTGCAACAATTGGAATGTGATTAAGTGCCATGAAATCAGAAGCTTAAAACCTCGACTATCGCTAACTTTTACCTTCTTACTAAAGAGAAACCATTGGAATGAACGCCACTAGAAGGGAGGCCAATAAGAACATCTCCAGCAACAATGTTTTTTCCGTTGATAACAGCATTTTTCTTTACTATCCCTACTGCAAACCCACTGAGATCGTACTCGCCCTCTGCGTAAAAGCCAGGCATCTCTGCAGTCTAAAACAACCAAAACAAAAACCGATTGAAACAAAATCATGGAAAGATACGTAAACTACATAATCAGAACCTGGAATTTGGTTCTAACTCTAACACATACCTCTCCCCCTAAGAGAGCACATTCCGATTGCCGACAACCTTCAGCAATCCCTTTAATGACCTGGAAAACAAAGCATACATCAATATCCAGTCCTAAAGAAAACTCAAATTCAAAACGGGAAAGAGATGAAGCAATGATACCTTTTCTGCAAGGTCTACATCAAGACGACTAGTAGCAAAGTAATCAAGGAAAAACAGAGGCTTTGCACCAGAAGTAATAATATCATTCACACTCATAGCAACCTATAACAAAAAGCAAAACCATAAATTTGTGTTAAGTGCTAGCATAAATAAAGTCACAAAAGACAATTGCTATACCAAGTCGATTCCAATGGTATCATGAATTCCAGTCTCAAATGCCAATTTAAGTTTAGTCCCGACACCATCGGTACCAGCTACGAGATAATCATCACCTGCTTAACCAAAGCCACGCACACACATTCATTAGAAGACGAAAAGTTTCAACATTCAGGTGAAAATTTAGCAGTTTTCCTTATATATACCTAATGGAAAGAGACCACCGAATCCACCAATTCCAGGAGCCATCTTTGCGATTCGCTTAACGAGCTCAGTCCCAGCATCGATATCAACACCAGAGTCTTTGTAAGTGAGACTACCAGTGGCATCATCTTTCTTCGACATGGATAAAACACGAGATACCTTAGTCCTTCTTCTCGCCGTCTGAGTAAAGCTGACGGAGAGAGGTTTCGGTGATGATAAAGAGGAGAAACGGTATCGATTGACAGTGCCAAGAGACGAATAACAGCAAGAAGAAGAAGAGTGCAAAATCCGAGATTCCATGGCTTCAACAGTAGCAAATACAACAAGAGTAGAGTAGTAATTAACAAAAAGGATAAAACTTTTCAAGCGACAAAGGTAAGGAGTATAAAGGGTCAACAATAACGGAGGTTGAAGAGAGAAAGCTTAGTTAGGACTTACCGGAGACAGAGTGAGACCGAGAATTGAGGCGACGCCGGGAAAGGGACTTGAGTAGTTTTTGACTCTCAGAGGAAAGCAGCAGAAAACAAATAAAAATGCTCTAAAACCCTAAACACCTAAACAAGGGGAGGTTACTTGTTAAGTTGTTTTTTTTTCTCTCTAAAAAAAGAGAGAGATTAGGAAAGAAAAAGAAAAAAAAAATAAAGAATTAAAATAAATGAAATTATATCTAAATAAATTTGGGAAATGATAATTTTTGGATTTTTAAATTTATTTAAAACTAGATTTTTTTTGTATGATATGACACTAGTATTTGAGAATTTCTATGAAAGTTTTGAGTTTCTGTTACACAGAAAGTTTAAGATTAATGGCTTAACTGTAGTTGGTTCTATACCATCTTCACAGATTAACATTGGTACATGTTTATTTTCTTAGAGGACAAATAGCATTTGGTTGTAATTATATCTATCCAGAATCTTACTTCCAATCGCTTTCTCAAACAATTTCTTTTGCGAGATTAAACACAACAAACAAAAAGCTAAAGAAACCAGTTGCAACATTTAAAACCATACATAAACAAAGAAACACACACACACACACATATATGTATATATCAACGACTACTAATTCACAAGCTGGATTTTAATCGAAAGCGTTTTCAATCTTTCCCTTCTTCTTCACTTGTTCCATCCTTCACATTCCTAAACCACAAACAAAACCAATGGATCAGATTATCACAGCTTTGTTTTTTCAGTTCAATCTTCGATTCTATCTAACTTGTAAAATACTTAGAATTTGAGAAGAGCCATGAAGCTTACCTCCAAGACGATGTTAGGTTCCGAGTTTTCCTGTCGAGCTGAAGATTTTCCAATGCTGTTGAAGCTCTCATCACTTCTTCCGGCATATCTTCAGTATCATATCTCCAATTGTTTTCGTCTTTTCTGTATCCTGAGGTAGCAGCTCCCGATGATTGAGATGCAGAAACCGGCCTGCCCATTAATTAAGCACGTCAGACTCATGAGCAACATGAAAGATTAAAGATCTTTGATTTGGCATAACATTTGAGTTGGATTTACCGCCGTTGAGGAGGTAAGCTATCAGAAGCAGATGATCTGCGAGGAGGATTTCTGGTGTCAAGGCTTGATGACGACTCCGTTTCTGACTCTCTCCTTGAACTACCACCCATGACCTGCGTCATGTCCTGAAGAAAATTTCATTTAAGAAAAATGCTGATCACTAAATCTGAGGAGAATACAGCAGACAAACTATAATGGTTTTACTATAACAGGATGGAAACATAATCCTTGGATGTGACAAAAACTTTAGGCTTGGAATTCACCGAACTTGTTATTCATATCTCTGAAAATTTCTAATCTCGAGCAAGACACTTTCATTTACTTGGAAAAAGTGAGGTCGTGAGTACAATATAACAAGATTTTATCTAATTTGGTAATTGTAAAGCTTAAATGTAACCAACAGGTATCGTCATTTTCACTTGGAGAATAGAGGAACTGAAAGCGCTAACGCCCTGAAATCATGTACCATAGCTGGACTATTGTAATTTGTAAGAAGTATGGTTTTAAAGCTTGTAAACAGAGAAAAAAGCTATATGTGTAAACATCTTCAGAGGGAAAACAGAAGAAATACCTCGAACTTCAAGAATCCTTCAAGAACATCTAGAAGAAGCGGTCTATTATCTCCATTTCTGTTGAGCTCATAACCATTGTTGCTACTAAAATCACGTACCTCAGACTTCCAAGAATCTTTTGCCTTTGCATAGTTTTCAGGCAGAATGCAGATCACAACATCAGTTAGAAAGTTCATCTTCAACAGTTCAACCTACTTTTAAGAAATATTAGAGAATCAAAGAAAATGAAATATATTACCAAATTGCATTCTGGTTGATAAACTTTGAGTGTGTGATTTAGTTGCGCCCAGTCCAAATATTCACAAATCAATGCAGATAGCAACCTGCCTGCATTTTAACATTTATAAAGTGATCAAGATGACCTACTCAACTGCAAAAAATCTCAATGTTCATATTGCCTAAGCATAGAATCAAGCAAAGTTTCACCCGGAAAAAAAAAAGTAGACACATATCGAACAAGCAATTATATCTAAGTATCAAGAAAGCATTTCCAAACCCTGACATGCCATTTAGAACCAAACCATTGAAAGAGAAAATATTTAAAAGGACATAAGTGAATAGAGATAAAAGGCAAAACTTGTGAAGAAAAAAACCTGAAGGAGAAGCATGAAGCTGCCTTGCACGATCATTGCAGCTTCCCAATAAAGCTGGAGGGAGTCCTTCATTGTTCTCAATCACTCTATCCTCTTCTTCGATTGCCTCAAACACACTTGCACGGAGCTCAGCCTACAGAGGCAACTAAAACATTAGTAGAAGAAATATAGAAGAAAAGAATCAACTCTTCAATCTCCAAACCAAATGTTAAAGGATCCAGTTCAGCTGAGATATCAAAATTACAATTTTTCTCAGCAGACTCAATTCCTAAGTAGGACAAAAACTGGGAATTCACATGATTCCAAATGCAGAAGTAGATCTGAAGCAGGAACCCTAAAAAGCAATGTATGTTTTTTCAAGCTGATTTCTTCTCTGTACTCATTTCCCCACAAATCTCTACGAAATTTGAAGCGACCCAATAATGTATGGCACAGAACTAGAGGAATCGCGGTAAGAGAAAGAAAAATGGTACCCGGATCTTAGCGAGAACACCTTTCTTCTCTAGGGTTCGAGTGACTAAGGTCTTGAGATCCATCATCTCTCTTGTATAATCGTCCATTGTTCTCACCGCCAATTTGAACGATCAGATCAAAATAACAGATCTCCTGATAATGCAATCGGGTTATTGCTCGCCGGAGGATTCGACAATGCCGGTCGGAGAGAAGCGTTTGCGTCAGCCAGAGTGGCTTTTCGATACTTTAGTTTAAAGTTTAAACGAAGAAGCAAGAGAGAAGAAGCAAGAGAGAAGACGTTGAAAAATCGAAATAAAAACTAAGTGAAATCATAAAAAAAAAAATACGAGTACACAACAACAAACAGTGAACACAAAATTCAAATAATTATACTTTCTATCTAAATAATTACTTTAAAAAGATAAATAAATCTGTTGTCAAAAAAAAAAAAACCATGATTATTTCTTTCCTTGCCGTTCTTCTTTCCGCTCAAAAACAAGTTAATTCTACTCAAATTTTGAATCCAAACAAATGTTATTGGATAACTAAATCTGTTTTAATCCTATTGAAGATTGACAACATTAACTTAAAGATATTGTATATGTCTAGTCTTGCCCAGAGAATGAGATTAGTAGTGACATTGAAGTGTCTACTTTTTACAAGAGAGAAGTAATTGGAGCTCACCAAAGACAGAATTTTGGACTCTAATGAGAAACTCAAACAAGAAGGAAGTGAATATATAACTGTTAACACAAGCAACCACATTGTGCTTTCTTTGTGAACTCTTCTCTTTCCATAACAAATCTCAGAAGAAAACATTAACTGTTTAATATTTTTTGTTCTTAAGGAGAGACAGAGGTTCGTGCGTTAAAAAAAGGCTAATTGAAAACGCAGTTGCAAATATAAGGAGAAACATACATATATCACGTACACAAACCATTACTACTAATCCAGATGCTGATTTTTTTTTATCCAAAGGCCTAAATCAATCCCTCCCTTCTTCTTCATTTGTTCCATCCCTCACATTCCTACAACACAAGCAACAAGCCCGATGGATCAAATTTACCACAAATTGCTTTCTTTTCATATGTTTTCTTTTCAATCTGGGATTCAATCCATGATAAGAGCCTTCCTTGAATGCTTACCTCCAAGACGATGTTAAGTTCCGAGTTTTCCTATCAAGCTGAAGATTTTCCAGCGCCGCCGAAGCTCTTGTTACCTCTTCATTTGCATCTTGGTTACCTTGTCTCCAATTGAATTCATCTTTTCTGTACCCAGATGTAGACAACCCGGCTCTTCTATCTAAAACATCTTGTTATAATTATTTGAAATCAAAACTCATGAAGCATACATATTTCAACCAATACTTTAAGAAAATAGGGAAATGATGACTCACCCGATGCTTGAGATGCAGAAACCGGCCTGCCCATTTATTTAAACTTAAGTAAATCAATCATGCCAGACTCATAAGCAACATGGAAGAGTAAAGATCTTTGATTTGGCATAACAAGGAGTTGAAGATATGTGTACCTTCGTTGAGGAGGTAAGCTATCAGAAGCAGATGATCTGCGAGGAGGATTTCTGGACTCAAGGCTTGATGACGACTCTGTTTCTGAATCTCTCCTTGAACTACCACCCATGCCCTGCGTCATGCTCTGAAGAAAAAAATTCAGTTAAAAAAATGTTGATCATTTCTGAAGAGAAGACAGCAAAAGACAGATGATAATGGTTTTAACAATGAAAGGTTGGAAACATGGTTCTTAGATGTGAAGAGAATCTGAGGCTTGGAAATTTGCTAAACTTGTTTCTCAAATCTCTGAAGAACTTTAATCTCGACTAAGACACTTTCTTTTCTTCGAAAAGTGTGAGGAAGCGAGTACAAAAGAACCAAGATTTTATTTAAGTTGGTGTTTGCAAAGCTTGTGGTAGCGAGTAAAAAGTACCAGGATCTAGGGGTTGTAGTGTTTTCAGTTATTGTTCTGTACAGCATGAGTGTAACCAACAAGTATTGGTTATATTCACTTACAGAACGGGAACTGAAAACACTACAACCCAGAAATCACTCATACTACAGGTGTAGTTTGTTTGAAGTATGGTTGTAAATCTTGAAAACAAAGAGAAGAAGTTATAGATAGTAAAGTTCAGTTTTCCACTAGGCTGCAAACATCTCCACAGGGGAAAAAAAGAAAGAAATACCTCAAATTTCAAGAATCCTTCAAGAACATCGAGAAGAAGAGGTCCACTATCTCCATTTCTGTTGAGCTCAAAACCATTGTTGCTATTAAAGTCGCGTAACTCAGACTTCCACGAATCTTTTGGCTTTGCATAGTGTTTGCAGGAGATCACCAAATTAGTGAGAAAAGTTCATCTACAAATCTTCTAAATGAAATATAGCAAAAAAAATCAAAGAAAAGGGATTATTATATTGATTACCAAATTGCTTTCAGGTTGATAAACTTTGAGCGTGTGATTAAGTTGTGCCCAGTCCAAGTATTCACAAATCAACGCAGATAGTAACCTGCCTGCATTTCAACAAATTCCCAAACCAAGAAATGCAATTTAGAACAAAACCATTCATAGACGAAAGATTTAAAAGGATAAAAGTGAAGAGCGATAAAAGGCAAAACTTGTGAAGAAAAAACCTGAAGGAGAAGCATGAAGCTTCCTTGCACGCTCATTGCAGCTTCCCAACAAAGCTGGAGGGAGTCCTTCATTGTTCTCTATGACTCTATCCTCATCTTCAATTGCCTCAAACACACTTGCACGGAGCTCAGCCTGCATAAGCAACTAAACTATCAGCAACACAAACTCTTCAATTGCATAGGCAATTAACAAAATCGAGCATTTCGATCTGAAAGCAAGAACCCTAGAAAAAGAGAGTAATTTATGTATTTCAAGCGAATCACTTCTCCGTTCTCGTTTCCACACAAAAATCTCTGCGAAATTTGAAGCATCTGAAAAATGTATGGTAGAGAAGTAGAGGAATTTACCCGGATCTTAGCGAGAACACCTTTCTTCTCTAGGGTTCGAGTGACCAAAGTCTTGAGATCCATCATCTCTCTTGTATAATCGTCCATTGTTCCCAACACCAAATCAAATCAAAGTAAGAAGAATTAGGGTTTCTGGGTGTAAAATTGGATTTCGCAAAATTGGGGTTTTTGGCCGTGGAGAATCTGAAAGATGGTGGCCGTCGGGAGAAAAAGACGTTGAAAGATAATAAAACAAACACAGTAAAATTGAAAAGAAAACAAAAAAAAAAACACACTTTTCAAATTTTCCCCTAAGAGATCGATAGTTTCCACTCTCGTCCGAAATTTTTAATTTTGAACTTTTGCCCCCCAATTATTGTGAAAAAAACGAAATTGGGATGCCAAGTTCACATTTTGAGATCACAACACATTTGCATTCATGGATAAAAAATATTAAGAAGTTCGGTCCAACTCCAATATTGCCAAGCATATGATTAAAGAATGTGTTTGAACTGCTTTTTTTTGGAATCACACGAGGTTATGGTAGAGAGGACTTGCTGCTTCTTTTGGATGGATGAGGTCTAATGTTACTTAAGAGGAGAAAGAATCATACTAGTTGTTTGAGCATTTTCCAGTGAGAATTACTGACCATTATTATGATATAGAACCTTAGAAACCGAATGAACAAAGCAAGCATTAGATGTCCGCTCGCAAGTTGGGTCAGAGAGAATGGTAATCACTCGTTCTTAGATTATAATGTTGGATGGAAAGACCTAACCTTGCTTGTCCTTGAAGTTGTATGAAACTTTGGTAACTTCTTTAGTGTTAATTTAATTGACTATCTATTTGTAAAATACTGACATATATACTAAACTGATTAAAAAAATACCAACTAAATTAGTTACATATAAGTAAAATGGGAAAGACAAAGCTAATGAGTATATGGACTTGTTTTCTGAATGAGCATTTGAGTATCCAACGCTTTGGGTTTGTCAATGGGATGAATCCGAATAGAACAAGGCCCAAGAAAGAAGGAAAAGTGCAAGCTCAACTCTTGTGTGTTATTAAATACTCCCTCCGTATTTAATTAGATGTCGTTTTAACTGTAATTAGTTAAATTAAGGAAACAAGACAAATTACAATTCTATCCTCAAAAAAAATGACAAATTACAAAATTGCTTTCCCTTTATTAGAGTTAGTTGTGTTTCATTAAGGGTAATTTGGGTATTATAAAGCAAAAGCTACTTACAAAAGTCAAAACGACATGTATTTAGAAACTAAAAAATTTGACTAAAATGACACTTAATCTCATACGGAGGGAGTACTATGTATTGCTTGTGATCTTGTTACTTAAAGTGGGGAGAGTTCTTGGAACTACTTTTCTTTCTTCTTGTAACCGTGTATTGCTTGTGATCTTGCAACTTAAAGTGTAGTCGAGCTATAGCTAAAAGAAAAAGAAAAGAATCAGAACTAGTTCTGGACTTGAGAACACTATTTGGAAAGAGCACATGTTTATTTGGAAAGGGCATTCTCGTCATTTCGATAGAAACAACTTGAGTGATCAACTCTTAACTTTCTTTCTCTCTATTGGTTTGGTCTCTCAAGAATCAGCTTTAATTTAGCTTTCGCTTTCGGGGAAACGAGGAGGGGAAGCTACCACGTCGCCCAAAACTGTTCCCACATATATGCGTCAAACATTAAACCGAAAACGTTAAATCAAAAATTTATTATTTTTCTTAGATTTGACAACAAAAAATAAAATAAAATAAAATACCCATCAATTATCAAAGAATATGGTTGAATCTTCAATTATTTAATTTTATAACGTGCTTCATGCGTTTCCACTCGTTTCTCTATCACCCTTTTATAGATCTACTCTACCAACAAGCCCCAAATTTATTAATCTTAGCAATCGCTTCTCTATTTTGCCTCCATACTTTGCAAAAATATGCATATAAACTAGATAACATACTGATACAAGTACAACCATCGAAAGAAATTAGAGCCGTAGATAACATTCCAATTTTTAGCTTGAGTACAATTTGAAGTGTAGATGACTTCAAAATAGATTATCATGGTGAATTACAAATGATTAAGGTTATTGTATTATTGTGCAATGCAAGTTATAAATAATGTAAGATAAAAGGTTACTTTTACTTATTGGAACTAGAATGAACAGAGATATTTAGTCTTACCAAATAAGGAAAGGCCAGATTCCTTAAAATCTAAAATTTTCTTGCATATCTGGATAACTTGAACGGTTGAGATTTGAGAACCAACTTATCATCAAATCTATCATAATTATTTGGAGTGAGTGATTGCCTGATTGGTGAGTGGTTGAATAATATGACAATTGACATAACCCCACTGTCCCTCTGTCTCCATTAAGGTTTCTCTCTCTTACTATTTTCCCCAAAAAAAAAAAAAAAAAAAAAAAAAAAAAAAAAAAAAGGACAATCGTTCCAATAATATTCTCTCTTCTCTCTCCTCAAAAGTAGATCTAGGAAAGTTTCGTTCGTCTTTTTTCTTTTTCAGTTCAGATCTTCATCGTCGATGGTGGGGCAAGCGGTTCAATCGGTTGGTGACGATCCTCCTTCTCTGGCGGTGATGAGGTGTGGTAGGTCCGCCTTCTGATGTTAGTTGTGGCGAACTTCCCGACGAGTTCGTGCATCCTTCGAATCGTACCACTGGTTTGAGGACGCCGGAGGAGGGATTGAAGGAAGCTGTCGGCTCACTTGTTGGAGGGGCTGCTGCGACTAGCGGCGGAAGTCGAAGGCGGATTGGTGGGGTTCACTGCAAGTCGGGATGATTAGCGCCAGATCCGTCGGATCTGTGTTGGCTGGGTGAGGAGATTGGCGGTTAGGTTTTTGTGTGAGCCAGCGAACCTAATCGCTGCCGCATCTGGTTTTCGTCTGACCGGATTGAAGTTGTGGTGGTCACGGAGGAGGCCTGTGTTGACAACGGCGCTGGAGGTGAGGGTTCGATTTAGGTTTCTGGTTGCTTGGTGGAGGACTGGATTTAGCGGGTCGGTTGTCTATGGTTTCGATCTTTTCCGGGAGAGGAGTTTCTGGTCGGCTCCGTCGTTGGCGTCGGGTTTGTGGCGGGAATCGATAACTCCGGTCATGTCACTCGTGCCGGGTTGGAGCAGCAACGAAGGGCCTCTTGTTATCGCCGGAGCTCGGAGGTGGTGCTGGTGCTGCCGGATTCCACCCTTTTTCAGATCTCCGATCTGTGTCGTTCTGACCTTTTCTTCTCCTTTTTGTGGGCCGTTTGGCCGTGTAAGTCCATCATCGTTTAAGCCCATTTGGGTAAAATTTAATATATATGTTTCTTAAAAAAAAAAAAAAAAAAAAAAAAAAAAAAAAAAAAAAAAAAAAACAAATAGTAGTTGGCATATTGGACCCATCCTTTTTTGGTTTAGGCCCCAAACGTGTAAACATCACACCCTCTCTCTCTCTCTTATTCTTTATTCATTGACTATAACACATTTTATCATTTTATTGTATAGTTTATGTTGTGGTCTAGATTATCTTTCTCGTTCCTCCAATTATTTGGAATTGAAGACCCATCCCACTGGCCACTACTGAAAAGAAAAAGAAAAATCTTAAGGATGAATGTGTTAAGGAAGGATAGTTAAAATATCTTAAATAGTTTTTCTAAATTTATGACAGTCCATTTGAAATTCCTTTTCTTATTAGAACTTTATAAGACTTCACCAATATTTCAGTAATAATAAAGATGAAATGCAACTGGTTTCTCCTTCTTATAGATTAAACCATAACCTAAATCAACTCTCACGAAATCTCAGTTGATTGTGAGTTATATATCGGGGATGAGAAAGCACAACAAATAGTTTTAATTTCTTGAAACAAAATCTAAATGGTTTGATATATAAAATATAATATAACTAATTACATAAAAATCTGTCGGTCTCTCGAAATTTTCGTTGCTATATTTTTTCATATAGTAATCTTTAATTTAAATGGAAAAAGGGTTGTCCTTGCCAAAACAAAAGAAAAAAAAGATAGAGAAAGGATTGTCCTGATTCGTTAAATGACGCATAGAGAAACAAAATCACATGTGATTTTATTTAACACGTTGAAGATATCTGCGACGACGCGAAGTACCAAAAAATCCCTGACCGTTAGATTTATTTCATACCTTGTGACACGTTGGAATCACACGAGGGACCTATCAATAATTGTTGTCGCTAAATGCCAAATGAAATGAATTATAAAGAAAAATAATTACCTAATTGTAATTACTACTATATAGCAGAGTAGACGATGTGAGCCGGTTAATTTTGTTGTTGAATGCTTGAAAATGTGAAAAGCGGAAATGGATATGTTGAATTGTGTTGCATATTTTTTTTTTGTATATATTGCAATCTTATAATTTACCAACATCAACATGTTAGAAAGAAATTACAAATGATTTATTGGATGTCGTTAGCCATATGTTACCCATCTACTACTCCTTCTCATCATTTACTTACGATTTCCGAATATCAAAGTATATATGTAGGTCTTTTATGTATGGAAGAATGAAAACAATTAATATTAAGGAATATGAAAAGTTTCCTAATCAAAAAATTAACACAAAACAAAAAAAATAATTGGGTGTTATTAAAGCACAAAAGAAAAACACTTCAATTTTTTGGAACAACAACGGCTCATTATTCCTCAAAGTTTTTAATTTTGTTGACTAATTGGGTGTTACCACTTACCAACATACCTATAACAAACATAATTGGCATCGATAATCACTCGTCTCTATATAATCTGTTGCTAAATAAGGAAATATTGAAAATATGTAAAAGTCGGCAATTCCTAATATTGCTAGAATAATTAGGTTGTTGAAAAATTCAGAAATTGACTTTTTATTACTTTTATAATTGACGGGGCTATCTTATTTTCAATTATATTTTGATTGTGGACACACTAGCCGTAATAACGTACACTTGTCAATTAAGAACAAATTTATAATCTTAGAGACAATTGAGCATGCATTAACAGTTTTCTTAGGCAATAAACTATAAACTATAATCCTTGGATTTTGTTATCAGAATATTAATGCTTGATGTTTTATAGAAATGTATAGAAACTACTTACTCTTCAACCAATCACTATATAATACGTTCTTTAAGGTTTGACTTATGCTTTTATTAATAACTAAACAACATTAAAAATATGTTTTCTTAAACTCTTTATGATGTTATATATTTTGATAAATTTGTTGATGACTCGATCAAAATATGTAACATTAGATAAATCAAGTAGCTATATTTTATCATATAATATTTACGAGGTCTCTTTACCTAGTTAGAAGGCTAGAACATACAGCATATAGTATAAATGTATAAGTGTCTTTCTGTTTTTTTACTCATCAACTTTTTAACCTTCTTACCCATTTGATGGCATTATTTTTTTTTTTGTGTCAAAATGGCATTATTTTTGTTTACGATTTTAAAATATAGGTCCACTTCACTTAAAGAAAGAAAAAAGTTTTTTTTACATCGTATCAACGCGTTGAGTTTACAACATCAAAAGTGTTAATTAAAACTCATCGTACAACCCTATCTACGGCTCCCATATTTAATTAACAAAATGAAAACTAATATATAGTACAAAATATATTTATTCGATACATCGGCAAGGCAAGTACATACATTTATATAATTATAAAAAAAAAAGTTGAAAAGGCAAATAAAGGGCAAGTGTATCCAATGCAACCTTCACAGTGAACACGTCCCACGTTCTTTTTTCTTCCCTCTTTTAGAACTCTCTCTCTCTCTCGTTTTTGACACTTATCCTCTCTCTTTTTCTCTCTCTCTCTCGCCGGAAACAAGAACGACGTCGTTTGTAGCTAAAGACTCGATCATGTTGGATCTTAACCTTAAAATCTTTTCTTCCTATGACGAAGATCAAGATCGGAAAGTACCATTAATGATCTCAACCACCGGTGAAGAAGAATCTAACTCCTCTTCCTCCTCCACAACAGATTCTGCAGCAGGAGATGCTTTCATCACTTTTGGAATTCTCAAACGCGACGATGACGTTGTTCCTCCTCCTCCTCCTCATAAAGAAACAGGAGATCTCTTTCCGGTGGTGGCTGATGCTCGTCGGAATATTGAGTTCTCCGTGGAAGACAGTCACTGGTTGAATCTTTCTTCTTTACAAAGAAATACACAGAAAATGGTGAAGAAGAGCAGAAGAGGACCAAGGTCTCGAAGCTCCCAATATCGTGGCGTCACTTTTTACCGTCGCACCGGTCGTTGGGAATCTCATATTTGGTAAATCAAAATATATAAAAATTCATTATTTCATTTTTTATATTATTATTGTTGAATTATTTCTATATTTATCTCTAATTTTTGTTTTGGGATCGATGAATTTGTAGGGATTGTGGAAAGCAAGTTTATTTGGGTAAGTAGATCAGATTTTTATTTAATTATTGGGTCGTCTTTATTTACGTGTGTTTGTGTGTGTGTGTCTATTTTTAGGCATAAACGATGAATTTTAAAACAATCATATTTTTGTGATAATTTTGATTTGTAGATCTTGTCTGACAACGTCTGTTAAAAAAGTTTTTTTTTTTTGTCAACTACCTCTATTTGTTTTTAAAGGATGTATTATTATTTTTTTGGTAAAAAGACAAAAACATAATTAACTATTACAGCTCATTACCTATGTTTGTTACTTCTGTCTTTCACCTTTAATTAAACACAAGTTGTTGATTATTAGTATTAATCTAACTTTTCTCCTTCACTTAATTTTCATTTTAACAGGCGGGTTTGATACTGCTTACGCAGCAGCAAGGTAAAAGAAAATTCGATATATTCTTTGTTACAACATTTGTCATATTAATATGTTTTAATTTTGTCAACATATACACATTAGAGTTTGTTGAAGACAATAAAGAATTAATATCAAATTGACTTATTCATAAATGAATACCAGGGCGTACGACCGAGCTGCTATCAAATTCCGTGGTCTCGATGCAGACATCAATTTCGTCGTGGATGATTATAGGCATGACATCGATAAGGTTAAACAAATATATATTACGTTATGAAGATGAGTGATTTCAATGTATATTCGTTTTATTTTGTTTGTCGAAAATAATACTTATGGATCTTTAACTTTACGTACAGATGAAGAATTTAAATAAGGTGGAGTTCGTGCAAACACTTAGGCGAGAGAGTGCGAGTTTCGGAAGAGGAAGTTCCAAATACAAAGGCTTGGCTCTTCAAAAATGCACTCAATTCAAAACTCATGATCAGATTCATCTCTTCCAAAACAGGTGCCATTTCGTATTTTCGTTAGACACCTAATATAATCTTTTGACAAGTTTATAGTGCAAATAGTTGTCTGATTAGTGATACATGAATAAAATATGGTTGAAAATTTCCATATATACTTTTTGAGATATATGGCCTAATTTTACTATTTACAATCTACATCATGGAAAATACTACATTTCCCTTGGTGGATGGGATGACATGCAATAATATTCATCTGTTACTTATCTGAATTATATTCTATTTATTCATGTAGTGTTTTACCATTGAAAGCCTAACCTTCACTTTTTTGGAAAAATTATTGTTGTCTTACAAAATTTCAAAGTTTGCTAAGAAAAGTTACAACCTAGCTAGCTAGCTAATAATAATATTGATTTTTATATACTACTAAAAGAAAGAATAAATTTTATTCAATTCAATCATATATGGCCACAACGGAAAGAACAAAAAAAAAATCATATATGGCCACATTAATATTTTTTTTTGGGTTCAAGTATGATTCTGAAAAGGGCTAACAAAATCTAACTAAATATTAAGTATACAAAAATATTAGTCCATATACAATGACTCCTAACTAAATAGTAAAAAAAAAAAACCTCGAGAAGGTACAAATTTTTAGACTCAAATTTAATTTTCTAATTGAATGGTAGTTTTCAACAACTTTTAGTTATCCCCCACAAACTAATACAAAGCCAAAGTTACTTTTGTTTCGATTTTTCATCTTTTTATGTGCAAGCTTGAAACTATTGTCCGTTTTAAGAGTTTGATACTGTCGGGGACGATGGTTTCTTTGTTTTACCTTTTATGTTTCGTCGTTTATGATTCATAGATAAACATTATTAACCTAAACATGAAACAAGAGTTAGTATTATGTTGTGAATAACTTGAAATTTTTTATACGTGTGTAAAAAAATCACAGGGGATGGGATGCAACAGCAATAAAATACAATGAGTTGGGAAAGGGAGAAGGAGCCATGAAGTTTGGTGCCCATATCAAAGGTATAATTGGTAAATGTGGTGTGACTCACAATGTAACTAAGTTTATTACAAGGCTGGTTGATAAATTTAAGTGGAAATTACCAATCTATATAAGACTAACCACAAATTTCACATTTACTTATTGATTTGATCAAGCAAAAATCCCTAGCTAGCCTAACCTTTTCATCAAAATTTTAGCATTCTCTCTTTTTAGCAACTTAGTAATCAATATCGATCTTCAACATTGTCTTTTTTTTAGGAAATGCTCACAGTGATCTTGAACTAAGTCTTGGAATTTCTTCATCATCGGAAAATATTAAGTTGACAACGGGAGATTACTACAAGGGTATCAATCGGTCCACGATGGGTTTATACGGTAAGCAATCATCGATATATTTACCTATGGCGACAATGAAACCTCTGAAGACAGTTGCAGCATCATCAGGATTCCCATTTATCAGCATGACCAGTTCCTCTTCCTCCATGTCCAATTGTTTTGATCCATAGGATCGTTCTACACTCTTTTAACTAATATATCTTTTTTTCTATCTGATTATTGTATACGACCATAAATTTGATTCTTTCCTTAATGAGTGAGAAATATTGGAAGTGTTTGTTCTAACTTCAATTCGAATTATATACCAAACTTGGTTATCATCACGAAGAATTTGCACATAAAAAATAAAATGAAAAGCTATCTTAGTAATGTTGATTTTCTTGACAAGACAAGCTTGGTTCAGTAAAAATTGTGACTAAAATCGTATTATAAATATAATCTAGTTCGTACCACACGTATATTCTAATATTAGTTTAATCCGATCTGGCTACTCGAAAATAGAGCATTTTAGTTATTCTACAATGTTTTGCCAAAAATATTCATTTTGCTTTCGTTCATAAATAAAGTACATCACCACCAGTAGCATAAGAAAAGCAGCGTGTTAAAGTTCCAGAACCACAAGGTCAAAGGTTTGACCTTTATAGGCAACTAAGACCATCCTCTATGAGCAAAGCTGATCTCAGAAGCAGGCGAAAGACAGACAAATAAAAAGACAATCCGAAACTTGTAACTTAACGGTTCGAATAACTATAACCTCGCAGGCTAAACCGGTAGCTATTATTCATTGTGTCAGTTGCAGGTCCTTTCTGGGTTTTGAATCTGGCAGATTTCAAAAGGACTTTGCGTTTTCCTGTTCCAGTTCACATCGGGTAACCTTACTCGAGCAGACAATATGCTAGGAGAATCATATGACGAGTTTAATAAGGACTCAGTGCACTGGTTTCATCACCCGCCAAGCGCCAACATTAGATGCTTCAGAAGACCTTGAAAAACTGGAATCTGGTTTCAAGTTGGAAATAAAGAAGCTCAGTATAAGAATACAGTGTCAATGATTCTGGTTTGAATTCGTCATGTTTTATAAAATTGACAAAAACAGAAGGCAGTTCTTAGTTTCTTTACCGAAAGTGTATAAAGTCTCCCTCTTTCATGAATAAAAACATCCATACTAAAACAGTGCAAATTGAAAAGTGCACACCTTTAAGCAGTCAGATTATCGGGTCACACGGAAAGCCAAAGCTAAGTAACCAGTCAATAACGTGGCCCGGTTTTGCCAGACTACAAACTTGCTGCACGTATAGGTTGAAATTTTCCGACTTTCCCACTAACTAGAATATCAAATGTAGCACCATCAGGTAGAATACCCTTGTCAAGCATCTCATCGTGAAGTCTAAAAGCCTCATCGAGATTTCCTTCTCTATAATGTCCTGCGATCACCGCGTTGTAGATAAGAACATTTGGAGTCACATTATTCTTCTTCATCTCCTCAAACATCTTAACCACTTTTACAAACTGTCCCTTCTTGCTAAGACCGTTTACAATTACTGTGTACATGATTTCATCAGGGACAAGACCCACCGCCTGCATTTCGGAGTACAAATCAGAGGCCAGGATCAAATTTCCTTCTTTCAACAATCCATCAATCAGTGTTGTATATGTACCCAGATCACATCGTAGACCGTCTTTCAACATTTTTTTGTACAAATCAAGGGCTGCTACCATGTTTCCCAAATTACGAAATCCAGAAATCAAGCTGTTGTATACAGGTTGGCTTGGATTCAATCCTTCTTCAAGGAGTTCAGAGAACAGAGCAGATGCGCTTTCCATGTTACTCTTTTTGCAGAACCCATGGATAAGAGCACCATAAGCTGGAATATCGAGTTTGACACCTTTGTTCTTCATTTCGTCTCTCATTTCCAATGCTTGATCCATTCTGTTATTTTTGCATAACCCATCCATCAAGCTGGTATAAGTTATGACGTTTGGAGAAATACCATTGGCGCACATCTCTTCGTATGCTGCAACCGCAAAATCCATTTCACCCTCTTTGATAAATCCATCTATAATGCTATTGTAACTCATGCAACTAACACAAAACCGTTTTTCTTCGATCATATTTGCCAACAGTTCTCTTGCTTTGGATGTCTGACCAACTTTGCATAAACCATTGATAATTGTTTGGTATACAACCCCGTTGACTTCAATATTGGAAGAAGTCATTTGATTGACAACTTCCAAAGCGTTTTGTTCATCATGATTCTTGAAACATCCATCAATCAGAATGGAATACGTGTAGTTATTTGGCTTTAGACCCTTTTCCAGCATATTTGAAAAAACAGTACGAGCCAAGTCCATGTTTTTCTTTCTGCAATGGGCAAGCATCACGTTATTGTAAGAAACAACATTCGGTCCAATACCTCTACTTTCCATCTTCCCTAATAACTCCGTAGCTTCGTCTATCTTACCTTGCTTGCATAACCAGGATAATATAGTGTTACATATGAACACGTTTGCAAGACCGGTTTCAAAAGACTCGTCAAAGAGTTTCAGTGCCTCTTCATGTTTCTGACCTTTCAACCACCCTTGGATTATCGTGTGGACATGAAAGACAGAAGGAGTAAGACCTAAACTTTCCATTTTCTTGTAAAATTCAAGCGCCTTTTCCATTTCCCCGTTCTTACTAAACCGTTCTATCAGAACCGAAAAAGTAACGCTGTTTGGAGAGGGGCCTTCCTTTTCCATCTTATAAAACAAATCCAAAGCACTACCCAAGTCATTGTTCTTGCAGTGTCCCGTGATCAGACTTGTCGCAGCAACTACATTCATCGATATCCCATCACTCACCATCTCATCCTTCAATCTAATTGCATCCTCCATGTTACCTTGCTTCACGGAAGCCAAAATCACAGAAGTATACGTTTCCTGCGACGGGACACACAACTTCTTCTCCTTCATCTCTCTCAATAAACTATTAGCCATAGCCAAATTGAGCGTCTTGCAACAAGCCTGAACAGCAAGACTATACAGTAAACTATCCGGTTCTGCTCCTCTCTCGATAGCTCTACTAAAAACCTCCAAAGCCTCCGCAGGCTTCTCTTCTCTCAAACTAGCTCGCATTAACAATTGCGTTGTGCCATTATCACCATCAACACCAATGGCAACCATCCTACTGTAGAGTTCCTTAGCTTCAGTTAACGAATTCCTTTGAACTAAAGCACTCAAGGTCCTATTCACATATGGAACAAATGGAATCACACCTAGTTCCAACATCTGATTGACGATATCCACGGCACAATCCGTTTGCCTATCTTTGGAATAAGCATTCAACAAGTAATTAAAAGCTCGTGAATTGACTTCAAACCCAAATAATTTTGCCGAATCCACCAAATTACTGACCAAAACACTTGCCATTGGAGTTGGATTGCTCGTAGAAACGTACCGTATGAGCAAATCGCTTGCACGTCCATAGGTCTCAGGAGAAGTAACCAGAATATGAATGAGTACCCAGAAGACGTCACCATCTTCAAAACTTCCACGCCATGGTCTAGCCCAATTGTAGAACCGAAGAGCAGCTTCTGGGTTGTTCCTGCGATTGAGAAGAACGTCGATTACAGATGCATCGTCCTTCTGTTCAGGCTTAGCAGCCAAAAGACTCACTTTGGAGGTAACTGGGTTTTCTTCAGAAGTGGATCCGCAAACTAGTCTCTGCTCTTGACTTGGATTCTCAGATTCTTGAGGAAATCGAGACTGTGAACAAAAGGGTTTATTGTTTCTCAAGCAACGAAGGCGAAGCCCTGAAGGGATTTTTCTAAAACCCAATAAAGATTTCATCTTTTTGGGTTCTCTCAACTATCTTCAGCAGAGAAAATATGATCGGAGAAAAAAATAAAAGAGACAACTTGAAATCCCGAAGATACAAAAAAAAAAAAAAAAAAGCTTAAACCCTAATTTCGTCTATTAAACGGCGTCGTTTTGGGGGTTTTTCCTTTTAAAAACATTCTCTTTTCCCGTTTTATCTAATTTCCCAAAGCACAAGAAAGAAAGAAGCAAAAATGTCGAATTGCAGATTTCTCTACCACAACGGTGTCGTTTTAGAGGCTCCTCCCGTCACCACCTTCCTTGAATCGCTCACGGGTATGCAATCAAAACTATATAGACTGCAAAAGTTTGAATTTTTTTGATTAAAAAGTTTTGAGAAATCTACAGGTGCTTATACAACGACGAGAACGATAAACAATGGCACTAGTTTCTTGTTCTGGGAGAGACATATGAAGAGACTTTCTAGCTCGATTCGTATCCTTTTGAATTCAAAGCCTGAGCTTTTGTTCAGTTCTGGGTCATCACCGCGGTTTTGGATGAATCAACCAGTTCCTCATTCGAGTATATACGATCTAGTCAATGGTTCTATGAGCGAGGCCCTGAAGTCTGTTGTTGTCAAGGAAAGTGATAGAATTTATGGAGAAGAATTAGCGGTAACTGTTCTTGTTACTGGTAATGTGGAGAAATTGAATAGGTTAGATGATGGGAACAAATGTGATGAGGAGAGAAAGGTTCTGGATTTTCTAGATGTGTGGTTGCATTTAGGTGCATACTCGCCTTTCCCGTTAGGTGTTCGAGAAAATGCTGCGAGTTTGGCTTTGGTTGGTCGTGGACGAGATGTCGCTGCTGCTAAATACTCAGACTGGGTTAGGTATTTGTGCTTGTGCTTATTTAACCAATTCTTGAGGATTCTGATAGCTCAATTTGTCAGGGATTTAGCTTGTGGATTACTTGAGGTTTGTTGTTTCTTTCTTAATCTCGGTATGGTTTATGATTTAGGCAGGCTTAGGAAGCCTCTGGAGAAGTTTAGATCTCCTTCGACCACTGAACTTCTTTTGTCAAACGATGGTGATCATTTGCTTGAGGGCTGCATCACAAACTTTTTCGTAGTTTGCCGCAGGGTACTAACAAAAATTTGGTTTTTTTGTTCAAGCACAATTCACCTATGTGATTATGATGTTTATTGTCTTCATTTATGTGCATTACAGAAGTTTGAATTTCCTTTTTGCCACTGCATGATTTGCTGTTGGATCTCATTTTAGGTGAAGTCATCAGAGAATCTCTACGGCGGGAGTTTGAGCGAGTTTGAGGTGCAGACCGCACCTATAACTGATGGTGTGCTAGCAGGAGTTATAAGAGACCTTGTCATCGAGTAAGAAAGTTTTTAAAAGGCCACAATAAGTTAGACCATTAAGAATGTTGAATATATTAGTCTCTGTTTATGGCCTGATCAACCAATAATTTTGCTTTCTTGTCAGAGTCTGTTTAAGCAAGGGGATTCCATACCGCGAGAGAGCACCTTCGTGGTCTGAGCGTGAGCTTTGGGAAGAAGCCTTCATTACAAGTAGATCTTTCCATATCCATAATCTGTTTTCTAATATTCTCGCATATATATACTTGTTTTGGCCGAACACTTTTAATGTGTTGTGTGATGTTTGTATTTTTTAACATCCCAAGAACTCATTGGATTCAGGTAGTCTGAGGATTTTGCAGCATGTAGGGACGATCAAAGTACCCATTGGTTCATTGGAGGCATTGGCTTGTAACAAACCTGAGGAGATTCAATGGAAGGAGAAAAGGTTTAAGGAAAGACCTGGGATGATCACTGAATTAATTCAGGTAAAGCTTGTTACTTATATTACCCTTAAAATCATTAGTTTTAGTCCAGTTTTGTTCTTGTCTTTTGAGTCAAATCAAAGATAGAAATCACTTAAAATTTTTGTTTGTCATTGTTATGTTGGAGTAGAAAGCGGTAATGGAGAGAGGTATTGAACAAGGGTTCCCGTTGAAGGCCTTTTAGTGCTCTTCATGATTTTGCCAAATAGCTGAAATGTTGATTCGTCTATGGTTTGTATTGACGCCAATATCTTCCCAAATCATCACTGATTATTGTTTCATCGATCTAATGTTTAAAATGTTCTCATTTTAATATCTGTATTTGGTAGTTTATTGTCATACTTATGGTTGTGTTGCTTCAATAGCTTCAAAGATGAAAATTAAAAGTTCTTTTGTTGTTGTTGTTGTTGTTGTTGTTGTTTATTCTGAGAATATAGCCAATATATAATCGCTAAAATAATTAATTATTTGTGACCTAACACTGAATTTAAGTTGAAATACACGTTAGCAATGTGAGTTAGAAAACTTGATAACGTTCAGCAAATATCCACGTCTTTTAATTGCATGATGTTTTTTTGTTTTTATGTTTTCGCAGTCACATATAACCAAATAACTTGTGCACTTTTTTTTAGGACTTGGTTTCATAAATAATTGAATTTGTCATTTGAAGTCGAAATAAAGATGTACAAGTTTAGCTCTAAGCTAGAACGGTAAGTTTTTGCGGAATAATGCAAAATTGTACGAAATAGTGATACACTTACTTATTATTCATTTATTTTCCAACACGTTCTTGTGGCACACAGCTCTGTTTCTGTTACATGCACACATATATCTGCTTCATGTTACACGATGTACTTTCAAATTCTTTGTTGAAACCCAAGACACTGGGGGACACATTATCTAAACGGCGAGTTGACCAGAAGAAGAGTGGAAAACGACGAAAAGAAGAAAAGAGAATATTGGTTGCTCCACGAGGCCACTTGAATTCTTTTTCCTTCTCACATCAATGTTAATTTGGGCTTCCTCATTAACTTAGCCAGCACAAGTGTTGGTCTTATGCAGCCATATATGCAATATGAGCTACAACGACTATCACTTCCAAAAACATAGTTATGATGATGATATGACCCTCCAAAATTTAAGAAAGATATGTACGTTCAAAGTTCAGATACAATAAACTTTTTTAAAAATAAAATAAAAATCCACAAGAACTAGATACACAACTTTATATAGATCTCAAATATATTGTTATTATACTCGTTATTACGTTATTACGTATATATATATAAAAATAAACAATGGTAAATAAATAAATGGAAGTTTATCGTGTGTTATCCCTTGTCGGAATTAGCATATAGTACCACGACAATTGCAAAATTTTACATTTTTCCTAACAATACAATCACCCCCGGACCACCCTTCGTAGTGGCAAGTTTCGTTACATCTTCTTAAGGCGTCTACTTTATTACATAGCCCTGGAGGCGCATGTTTGCTTGGAGTTCCATTACACCTACATTCCGGACATCTAACAGCCGTTGTTTTTCCTATTGAATAATACACACCAAATGTAAAAGATCAAATACAAGCACATATCCAAGCCTTTTTACGAGATTTATAAATTATGATCATACCTATTAAAATCAACAAGCATATCATCGAAAAAACAATGTAGCTAACTCCGATTTCACTTGTTTTAGACATTTTTGTGTGTATTGTTTTTTTTTATTATTATTGATTGAATGTTTATGTGTATCAACGTCAAAGTATTGAATATAAAGAGACGTCAGTACTAAAAATAGAAGCAAAATAAAAGTAGTCCTTAGAGAATGCCTATAAACTGCTTGTAGAGGAAGAAAATAGAAATTTGATGGACATCATATTTTCTCCTTTTTTAACTTTTTTTTTGAGTAAATCAAATTGATTGATATCAGAAAAAGATTACATGATACATAAACATCTCAAAACAAACGTTTACGCAAATACAAAAAATTATTACAATTTCGAGGAATGAGTAAAGAGTAACTATGTTATCTTTATACTTATAGACTAAGAGATATAATCTGTTATGTTCTTCATTCACATACTTTTTAATTATTAGTATTTTTCTTCATTTGAATTGATATTATATGAGGATACTGCTTGAAGTTTGATATTTTAGACTGAAAATATTTCTAAACCTTTATTAAATTCGATGGGCGATTATAGCTAACAATAACTAATTGACCCATTCATCTTACAACTATTTAATACCTAGGTGATTTTGTCCACACCCGGGAGAAAAATAGATTTAAGTTTTTTTTTTTCTAAAAATCAGCTATGCATTAATTACGTATTATGACTTCATCATTGGTCGGAGTTGCAGTAAATCGTTTAATCTTGTTTGTACATTTTCCATATATCCTGCAAGTATGACACTATCATATGTTAATCCGATAACTTCTTAGACACATATGATGAGTAATCACTATAAAAAAAAAATCAAGACCATGTGTTAATATGCTAAACTACAAATATAAAATACCACACTTGTGCAACACTTAATTAAAATTAACATCATAATTAGTTAATTACTACACTCTTGGTCTATGCACGACACCCGCCTTTAAATAATAAATCCAGGTGCATGACACTTCCACGTCCCTCGCTAGATCTAACTTTAAGTCAACGATGACTCACAATGGCCACGTGTCACTCGTTCATTCGAGTTATCCACGTGACTTCTTATTACAGTCTTCTTGACTCTTTTTTTTGGCTGAAAATTATAAAACCCAAAATCCCACAAACTTGATTTTACTTACATACAACAATGGCGTCGTCATCTACAAGTATCTCTCTCCTTCTCTTCGTCTCTTTCCTTCTTCTTCTCGTTAACTCGCGTGCAGAGAATGCGTCCAGTGGATCGGATCTCGACGAGGAATTGGCTTTCCTCGCCGCGGAGGAATCTAAGGAACAAAGCCACGGCGGCGGTTCGTACCACGAGGAGCACGATCAGTACCGAGACTTCGAGAATTACGATGATCTCGAGCAAGGAGGCGGCGAGTTTCATCACGGCGAGCACAGTTACGAGGAGGAGCCGTTACCAACAGTCGACGAGAAAGACGTGGCGGTTTTGACCAAGGACAATTTCACCGAGTTCGTCCGCAACAATAGCTTCGCGATGGTGGAGTTTTACGCTCCTTGGTGCGGCGCTTGTCAGGCTTTGGCGCCGGAGTACGCCGCCGCTGCCACGGAGTTGAAAGGCGTTGCCGCGCTCGCCAAGATCGACGCGACGGAGGAAGGGGATTTGGCTCAGAAGTACGAGATTCAGGGCTTCCCCACCGTTTTCTTGTTCGTCGACGGAGAAATGCGCAAGACCTACGAAGGCGAAAGGACAAAGTAAGTGTACATTGTTAGGATGACATGGTTTTCTGAAAAAAATTGAGATATGAGCATAGATAGGTCATCAGGTTTAGCTTTGGATCTTGAGAGATTGTTTGATTTGGAAGATAAATTACTCATGTTAATGATGACTCTGAAGAAAGTCAACTATGAAGAAATTTTTAGAATTATTGATGTTGATGAACCTAGGAAGAAATGGTGCAATAGAGGGGCATGTGATTTATTCTCTCTGCTTTGGTTTCTCATCTGTTAGTTTTCAATACGAATTATTGGTCAAAAAATGCGTTTCACCATTATTGGTGTCCTGATTGCAGGGATGGTATTGTGACTTGGCTGAAGAAGAAGGCCAGTCCTAGCATCCACAACATCACTACTAAAGAGGAGGCTGAGCGTGTTTTGTCCGCTGAACCTAAACTTGTTCTTGGTTTTCTCAACTCCTTAGTGGTATGTATCCTCTAAATCCAAGGTGTTTCGTGATTTCCTTCTTGGATTATCTCTCCTTTTTAACTTCTCGGAGTGACGGAAGTATTATCGTTAAGCATATTATTGCCTCTGGTGTTTAGTATGTCAAAGATATGAGTGGTTTCCATTGCAGTATATGTAAGGTTGCTATTAGGTTTTGTATATCAGATCTTCTTGTCTAGTGCTTTTTTCTTTGTGTTGCAGAGAGTTTTGAGAGGCTGGATTGACAAGTGTGAAATATTTTGCTTTTAATATCTTATTTTTGCCATATTTTTCACCATTTTCTCTTGCTCAGGGGTCAGAGAGTGAGGAGCTTGCAGCTGCATCCAGACTGGAAGACGATCTCAGTTTTTACCAAACTGCAAGCCCTGATATTGCAAAGCTATTTGAAATAGAAACCCAAGTCAAGCGTCCTGCCTTAGTTTTACTGAAAAAGGAGGAAGAGAAACTTGCCCGTTTTGGTAAGACTCCTCGAATACATTACCTTTTTTTTTTGTGCTACTTAGATTTCCTCTATGTCTCTCTCATCAAGCTTCTTTTTGGCAGATGGAAATTTCACTAAAACGGCTATAGCAGAGTTTGTGTCAGCCAACAAAGTCCCATTGGTGATCAACTTCACAAGGGAAGGTGCATCACTGATTTTCGAGAACGCAGTGAAAAACCAAGTAAAAACCACTTGTCTCTTTAATATTTCCCTTTATTTATTGCTGCTATTAACTAATGAGATGGCATTTTGTAAAACCCTTGTCAGCTCATTCTTTTTGCCACGGCAAATGAATCAGAGAAGCACCTTCCCACTCTGAGGGAGGTGGCAAAGTCCTTCAAGGGAAAGGTAATTTTTATCTTTGAATTTTCTGTGGTCATTTTTGCTCACTTTCTGGAACAATTAAAAATCACCTCGTGCAATTATTAGTTGCGATTGATATATACCAAAAGGAGAGGTGGATGATAACTTTAGTTATTGAATCAAAAGGGCAATCTTCTCTTTTGTCTGCAGTTTGTTTTTGTTTATGTGCAAATGGACAATGAGGATTATGGAGAAGCAGTTTCTGGATTCTTTGGTGTTACCGGCACTGCCCCCAAGGTAAAGTAGTTGGTGTGAAATATCTGTGTATCGGTTTTGTTTCTGTTATGCACATGATACAACAAACCAAACTTTGGACTACAAGGTTTAAGTATCCAATCTTTCCTTGCGTATGCAGGTTCTTGTATACACTGGAAATGAAGATATGAGGAAGTTTATTCTGGACGGTGAATTGACCGTAAAGAACATTAAGGTAGGCCCAACATTCTATTTTCTGTGAAATTTTATGGTTTCAGGGCGTGTTGTTGGTTATCTTAACGCAATGACTTTGTTTTAAAATAGACACTTGCGGAAGATTTCCTAGCAGACAAACTGAAGCCTTTCTACAAGTCAGATCCACTACCGGAAAATGTAAGGCGTCTGACATATTTTTACACACATCTAACATCCCCACACAATACTGATTCACTTGCTCCTAAATGAAACGCAGAACGACGGTGATGTTAAGGTCATTGTAGGAAACAATTTTGATGAGATTGTTCTTGACGAGTCAAAGGATGTTCTTCTCGAGGTAATAATCACTTAAATTTTTGAATTGAAAACCGTTAGAGCCTTGCTTACACATCTTAGGGTTATATATGCCTAAAGCTTGAGTTTTGTCAATAGATATATGCTCCTTGGTGTGGGCACTGCCAATCATTTGAGCCGATTTACAACAAGCTTGGAAAGTATTTAAAAGGCATTGACTCGTTAGTTGTAGCAAAGATGGATGGTACCAGCAATGAGCATCCTAGAGCAAAGGTGATTAATAAAAACAAAAAAAATTACGAAAGAGCTTTTGTTGATTCAAGACACAGAGATCTGATTTTGGGTTTTTTCTTAATCTCTTTTTGTTCAGGCTGATGGGTTCCCAACAATCCTGTTCTTCCCTGGTGGAAACAAGAGCTTCGATCCGGTTAGTAAATATTGTTCACTATATCAAACAGTGTTTTGAAAACCTGCAAATTTTTTTACTTGAGTACTGAAATTGTTATAACTGTCTATCGTAAACCAAAAAAAAAACAGATCACTGTGGATGTTGACCGTACAGTAGTGGAACTGTACAAATTCCTGAAGAAGCACGCATCAATCCCATTTAAACTTGAGAAACCGGCGACACCTGAACCGGTGATCTCGACCAAGAAAGCTGATGAGAAGATCGAGGGTGATAGTTCCAAGGATGAGTTGTGATGATCGGGACAGAGTGTGTAACAGGCTATAGATGATGACTCTTCTATACATGATAGAAAATGTTTTGTCCTTGTTTTTTTTTTATTGTTGTATGCTATGAAATGAATAATTAAAAGAATTTTTGGTTTCTCAAGTTTGTGGATGTAACTGGAGGTTTGATCCACACATTGATTTTTTGCCGTGAGGCTACCTGAATTCTTGTTCCTTCTCACATCAGTGATAATTTGGGCTTCATAATAACTTAGGCACCGGAAAGAATGGTCCTAAGCCTAGAAGAACTATGGAAATTCTGTTCGCACCAAAAGTATTAGGTGATGTAACAAAGAATACTATAAGATTCTACATTATACATGTGTGGATCAATATTGAATTTTTGAGGTTATAAAAGTAAAATGTAGTAGACAGCCAAGTGTGCAGAAACAATGCAATATGAGCTACGGTAATGATCTCCAAAAGTCACAAAAGATAATCTCAAAGTTATATGCACCTTCAAAGTTTAAATGATGGTACAAAATTTCTGATTCTAATTTTTAGCAAAAAAAAGAAGTTCCGATTCTTCTTTCCTCAACTCTTCATATTATCTTTACGGGTTGTGGATCTCTGTGGATGTCTTGAGTCAAGCATCAGTTAATTGGTCAGAAATGTTTTTGAGATTTGAATTAGTTCTACCTCTGGGAGCTGGATATAGAGGAACATTTGTAAGCTCAGACCTGATTATTAATGGTATATGTTAAAACAAAAACTTTTCAGATTATCTCCGACCATCCTGTCCATCAACTAATAAGTCTCGTGAAGTTCGAAAAATCAGGATTGGGTACTTGATATATCTCTTTCTTCTTGGGCCATCATACTTACTTCTATGTCTTTTATCTAGCTCTTTGTTGGGTTTTCTATGATTCAAAGTCGATTCTTCATTTTTTATGTGGGTTGGGCTAATTAGTCAGTTGGGCAATAATTACTTTGTAACAATTTTGTTCTCATGTTTTCAATAGAGAATCGATTATAAGAAATAAAATAAATATATAAATGGAAGTTTTTCGTGTGTTATCGGTTACTGAAGACCAACGTTGGATTAGTATAATAGTTAAATTCAGTTAAGCCGAAAACGTAGATACTAGATACCTAAAAAGATACAAGTTCGATTTTCGTTGAGAAAAAATAATTTATTGAAATCTGATTTTGGTTCGGAAAGATCGATGAGCTAGCCACGAATTTCAAATTACAGAAAAAAAAATAAAAGATAGTTGGTACGAATTACGAAATATTTTTTTAAATGAAACCATTAGTTCACTTTTATACTGAAAAGACATTTTAATATTCTATATGGCTAACCGAATAAATGAACAATTCAAATGAAAATAAAAATAGTAGACGGAATGACAAGAAATATATAATTAAAATGCTAGCGTCGTCACATTTATTTTATAAATTAAATGTATTATATAGACCGGATTAATGGTTTTCATGACTATAACAAAATGTAACAAACCAAATAATTATTTGAATTATGTTTTTTTTTTTTTAAGGAAAAAATAAGAAAGTGTCTTCTAGTTAAGTATAGTTAACCATCCATTTCTAAAATTTTCTTTATCGGAATTCGATTCTAATCACGTTATTCCACATAATAGAATTTGGACTATAAATTTATCAACTTAATAATGTCCCAAAAAAAAGTTAGAGAACACGATAGAACTTTGACTTATGAAACTTTACATCAACATATATATATATATATATATATATATATATATATATATATCTAATCTAATCTATTATTAAACATTCTATAATTTATTTCTAGAGTCCCTCCACACACGTTTCTGATAGTTTTTTTTTTTGTAAAAAAAAAAAGAAAAAACAAAAATACTAGACATCTCTTTTCCGTAAAGGTCAAAATATATACAAACAAATATCAATATTTTTCTTTTTATTAGCATTTCATTTCTTTTAATTGCATTGCATCTATGGGAAAAAAAAACAGATTTTGAAAGTAAAGCATTCAACGTTGATAGTTTTTAAACTAATTGAAGCTCTACATTAGCGTTACATTTGTTATGTAAAATAAGAAAGTCAAAGAGGCAGAGTAAAGATTAGGTGATACTTGCAAAGTTATCTTTCTTTTCCAAATATAAGTAACGTCTCAAGTTTATCAAACTATTAGTTATGCTCTACATTTTTTCCAATCTTTAATTTTTATTTGTAAACAGAACGCCTGTTAAAGTCTTGTATGGAAAATTAAATCTAAAAAAAGTTAGTATCACTAGAGTAAATATTCATTAAAGAAAGATCTTTTTCATACTCAAATATGGAAAATTTTAGCATCAAAAGTAACTTTTATTTTTTCTTCCAATATATAAGCATTTAATAAAATAATTATTCAAAGTATAAAAATAATAAAGTCCCTGTAAGTGAATGCAACTACAAGTCTCTGGGATGGCAAAATTGTTAGCAGTCACTAATTATGTGTTTGTAGTACATAAAACAAAAAAATAAATAAAAATTATTAATTGCTCGTTCCTCTTATTATTATTATTAATAATCCGTGTTTTGTCCTTTCTCTTCAATCTGGGTTTGGTGGGGAGGTTTTAAGTCAAGCGTGCGATATATATATATCTCAAAACAGACATCCTCTGTAACTCCTCTGTTCTTGCCTCTTCTTCTTCTTCTTCTTCTTCTTCTTCTTTCTTCTTTATCTATACTATATTGGTGTTTCATTTGTTCTGCTTAAAAGTACAAAAAAGATTCATCCTTTTTTTGGTCCTCTTAAAAGCTTCTGATTCGGCGAAAAACGAGCTCGCTCGTGTTTTGAACAAGAGATACAGGATTTTGAAGATTCCTCGCAAAAGAAAGACTAAAACTTTTTTTGAATTTGAGGGGGAAAAGAAGAAAGATACCATTTTTTTTTACCAGAAGTCGAAGACTGGTTTTTTGGTTTTGGTCTGAAATCTCTCTTTCTTTGTGTTGTTCATAGTATGTCTTAATTGGGGTCAAGTTACATGATTGGCTTCTCTCGATCATCATGCACAGAGTACGCAATAAACCGATTAAATCCACCGCTACTGCTTCCGTTAAGCATTTAATCAAACAGAGAGGCGGAGGGAGCGACGGAGCTACGGCGGCTTCCAAGTCGGCGAATGATTATAATAATAATAATAGTCTCTTGACGGATATGCAGGAACCTAGCATCGATACAGATAAACTCAGCTACGAGATTTTCTCGATTCTTGAGAGCAAATTTCTTTTCGGGTACGACAACAAAGACGACGACCCCAAAATCAATTTCGACCCGAAACCCGAACCCGAACCCGCCAATTCCGCGGTTGCTGGCTCGATTAAGAACCAGAGAGGTAAAATCTGTATTCTGAGCATCGATGGAGGTGGAATGAGAGGGATTTTACCCGGTAAGGCTTTGGCTTATTTAGAACACGCTCTCAAATCTAAATCGGGTGACCCGAATGCCCGAATCGCCGATTACTTTGATGTAGCCGCCGGGTCCGGTATAGGTGGGATTTACACAGCGATGTTGTTCGGGTCAAGAGACGGTAACCGTCCGATCTTCAAAGCAGAAGACACGTGGCAGCTCTTAACGAGAAACGCCAAGGGTCTTTACGGAGGAGGAGGAATCTTGAAACGGGTCTTGAGAACCGGGTCGGGTTGTTGTTCCGGGACGGCTAAGTTAAAGAAAGTGATGAAAGAGTCTTTCTCGGAGCTAACCTTAAAGGACACGCTTAAACCGGTACTTATACCTTGCTACGACCTCAAAAGCTCTGCCCCGTTTCTGTTCTCACGCGCCGATGCGCTTGAGACGGACGGCTATGATTTTAGGCTCTGGGAGGTTTGTAGAGCGACTTGGGCTGAGCCGGGGGTGTTTGAGCCGGTGGAGATGAAGTCGGTTGATGGGCAGACCAAGTGTGTGGCCGTTGGTGGAGGATTAGCGATGAGCAATCCCACAGCTGCTGCAATCACCCATGTGCTGCACAACAAGCAGGAGTTTCCGTTTGTGCGAGGTGTTGAGGATTTGCTTGTGTTGTCTCTTGGTATGGGTCAGTTGCTTGATGTTAGCTATGAGTATGATCGGATTATCAAGTGGAAGGCTAAGCATTGGGCCCGTCCCGCGGCTCTTATTTCTAATGACGGTGCTGCTGACACCGTTGATCAAGCTGTGGCCATGGCTTTTGGTCACTGCCGCAGTAGTAACTATGTCCGGATTCAGGTATTGGCCACACTGCACAATTGCATTTGATAACTTAAAAAAAATAGTTGATTTTCTTAAAAAACTAGGACATTTCTTTTGATTTAATGAAATTTGTGATTGGTGATAATCTTGGTGTTATATAAAGTTCATTTCCAAATCCTAGTTATCTGGTTTGTGTGATTTATATGAGCTTAGTAGGAGTGTTGGATGATATAAAGTTTGGATATGTACTTGTAGGTTTTTCTCAAATAATTTATGTTTGTGTAGTTATGAATTGATGTGTGTTGTTGCAGGCGAATGGGTCGAGCTTAGGACCTTGCAGTCCAAACATAGACACAGACCCTAGTGGGAGCAATGTGAATATGCTGGTGGGAGTAGCAGAGGAGATGCTGAAGCAAAAGAATGTAGAATCTGTTTTGTTTGGAGGTAAAAGAATCGATGAACAAAGCAACTTCGAGAAGCTTGACTGGTTAGCCGGGGAACTTGTTCTCGAGCATCAAAGGAGAAATAGCAGAATCGCTCCAACCGTAGCGTTCAAGCAATCCATCCATAGAGCAGATCAAAAGACAAGGGACAAAGATATCGGTGTGACCGCAAGAGAACGATGAAATAAGAAATGGTTTACTTAGATGATTGTTTAGGATAAGGTTTTATTTCATTCTTCTTAGGTCATGATTTGTTGTATAGATTTGTGTTTTTGAGTTTTAAGTTTCCGAGACATGATGAGAAAAGGGGAAACACCTATCATCTTGCAAAAAGGCTCAAGCTCCTTAATTCATGCTGCCCAAAAAAAAAAAAAACAATATGATTTCTGTAATTTCGGTTTGTCTTTGTTTTCATATAATGATCATGATTTCTTCTTTGACATTTCCACTAGCTCGAGAAAAGTTATTGATCAGCTTTATGTAACCCAAATGAATCTAAAATGTGTGTTTTTTTTTAATTGCCTTTTGCTTATGTGGAAAGAGAGAGTTGTGATTGTGAAAGAGAACAGTTTAGATTCTAACTACGGAACCGTAACGAATTTAACACTTAAACAACACATAAATGAATTTAAAACGCAAAAGATAAAATATAGGGAATGAATCACGGAAACATTCCACTAGTCCGGCCAATTCACGGAGTTACTACTAATCAAATCTTTTAATCAATAGAATCAAGTCATCCAATAAAACACTCTTGGGGTTCGTGATACGACACCATTAATGACAAAAGCCATAACATCCCACTTTATATCATCAATCAATATATATATAGTAGCTATTCTAATGTTGGATTTTGTCAGATTCTATTTTAATGTTGAAAACTACGTGTAAACGCCATGAAAAATCTCTTTACTTAATAGATTTAATTTTCATGTGGGTTCCAAAAATGTGAAACTTAAGAGCCTAATGAATAAAACGTAACATGTGATCACATCATACTGATTTATTTAATTTGGTTAGGAATTTGATTAAATCCAACAAAAAGAAAACAAATGTTGTCGTTTGGTTCTTGCGCGTGTGCGTCCGTCGAGGGAAGGAGGGACGGTGCGGAGAACAACGTCACATATATCTGTGAGTAACCCCACGTCTTTGATTGTCGGTTCGGTCTCATCCACCGACACTCGAAACAATATTTTCATTTGATATAGTTTTTCGTTTTAAATTTTGAGATCTCTTTCATATCTACCAATTATGCATCGGTCCAAATATGTCTAGTAGCAAATTTCATCTTTAGTTTGGTTGCTTCTTTACCTGACGGACGTCATTTTTCATAGGGACACCAATAATTTCATGGTTAGCTGCTCATTCAACTATAGTAGTTTCAGACTTTCAGTTTAGAACAAAGATTGGGTTCGAGTTGACTTTTAGTTTGAAAGAAACGTATCTAATAAGTCAATCATTTTGGTTTAGTTTGATTACAATAATCTTTTGCGATAGTATATATATATCTACTTTTTTGGATTGTTTTGGTTTGTAGTTTTTGAATGATATTCTTATTTAGGTTTGGTTTAGTTTAATGCATGTTTAGGTCAAATGGCACTTAAGTCCATAATTTTCTTGTATTGGAGACAAGAACAATATTAGCATAACCATTATCGCCACCAAATACTCAGATTCGTAATTTTTAAAAATGATTTTTTGGGTGGACAACCATTACACGTAGTTGAACTACCGATACAGAGGTAGATGAAATGATTTTGTTTCTTTGTTAAACTTTGAAGGTTTTAACATATTATAATGACGAAATTTGTAATCGATATTTAACAATGATCCACTTTTTAATCATATTGAAACCGGATTCAAATTTGACCATATCTACAAATCGCTTTCAAACCGAATAAAAATTGACTGCATATAGATTCCGAAAATAGTTTATAATGGTTTAAGTTATATATCAACTACAAAATAAGCATTAAACCAAAAATGAGAGAGAAGATGGTTAGCTTTTGTCTACTTCTTCTAATCGCATAAAAAAGAACGCCGAAAGTGAAACTTTTTTAACAAAGTGGGGTTTGAGTTCGCAATGTGTGTTCTTATTCAATAAACTTTTGTTGTCTTTTGAGAAGTTGAAAATCTGAGATTTCACAAAGAAAAAGGAAAAAGAAAAAGAAGAGAGGAGAGGTTAGTAGTAGAAGAAAATCTTTTAGTGGGATACTCTTGCCTAGCACCGGGTAAGCATCATGGGGTCTACTCTCACGTCTCATTCCACAATGCGACAACAACAACATCATCAAAATATGGCAACCTGACTTGGTCAATTTCTTAACCATATTTGTAAATTCTCTTTTTTCAGTTATCTATTGATTATTGAATGTATCAATAGACACATACTTGTATTGGGGCGAAAAAAGCAGATTCTCTTCTCTTTTTTTTCTTTGTAAAGCATAAGATTGAGGCGGACAACCTAGAAAATTTATGGATTATGTGAGTTTCTAATTTTTATAAGATGTTTAAATAAAACAAAAAACTATTTCATCTAATTTGATGTTTTTGTATTTTAATGCAGGACAAGAATATATAAAATCTTTTCAAAGTTTCTTATCCCTACAATTATCACTTATCATTTTTAGCAATAATCATTTCACAAAATTATGTAAGATCTGCGCAATAGAAAATGAAACGAAGAACTACACTATTTTGTCTTAGCAAAAAAAAAAAAAAACTACACTATTTTGTATTTTCCTTGTTGAACCGACGTGTTACTATATTCTCAAACATAAAATCGGAAAATAGCCATTTGAGCCTCGAAGCCCAAGAATTCCACAAACCCAAAACCAAGTTAAGTGTTTTCACATATATGAGAAATACAATGCAAAATGAAAACGGATTGGGCTATGTTTTGTTTACGGTGTCTGGCCAGCAACGACTCATCAGTCATCACCGATTCTTATTTGTTTTGTAGTTGTTGATCTTAGTAATAGATTTCAGCGAACGACGTTATATGCGTTCGTTTCATAGTTTATGGTAACAACAATATATACTCCGGCTGATTGCTAACCCAGAGTTATTTTCTTTTGCAAAACAAATTTTATTTATTTACAAAAAAAAAAAAATATTTTATTTTATCTCCCCCGGCTACGATTACGTGTGCGTGAGTAACAATAAGAAATATATCAAGGGATAATAAATCATCCATTGTTTACTACAAGACAACGGTCGCGGAAAGGTACACCCAATATTTAAACCCCCAACTCCACTCCTAAAACATGATAAAACCCTAGATTAAAAAACAAGAGTGCAGCGAAAAGACAAGACCCATCTACGACGAAACTTGGGTGGCTACTGCAGAGACCATTGAGTTAATCCCACATATATCATGGCCACGACACAGCTTGTAGTATCCATTCTCTCCCCACTTCTTCCCCCACGAGTTCTTGATAATCCAATAGGGTTTATTACTAAGCCGCAAGATCGAAAACCCTTTTGATCCGTACCCAACAAGAAGTACCCCGTGGTTAACCTTTCTCTTGCTGCATATAAGCGGACACGACACTCCTCCTATATACGTTTGCATGAACACCGCGTTTAATCCCACTGTACACAACAACAAAGCATTAGTTATTTTTTTCTAAGTATTTGGACTTTGAAAACAAAAAAAGTATTGGTTTTAGCTACAAATAACACACATATTAGTTCATATATATCACCTGCTAAGGGACCATGTCGAACTAAATTTGCTGCGATTTGGTTCTCATCCAGTGGTATAGTCGTGAAGTTCACTACTCTTACCGCAACCTTCTCAGGATCGATCTTGCAATGGCCTCGTTTACCAGTGTAAGGATATGATCTTTCTTCTTCTAATCCACCTGCCTCCATCAAATACTCATAGGCATTTGTCATGAGTCCCCCACCACATCCATTGTCGCACGCTTTCTTGTCCTTTGGATCGCACTATACTCATATTCATATGCCAAATAAATTTTCAAATTACAAAAAAGGTTAGGATCAAGTCAAATTAAAAAATCATTGATTAATGGATTAAAAACAGACCGCTTGATCACAATCGACAAGTTGTTGCTCGCTAAGACTGAGGAGCTTCCCGGTGGAGACGAAATGGGCTCCTTCAGCTGCTCCTGTTGTGCTAAAAGCCCAGCACGATCCACATGCACCCTTCACATAAGCACATGCCATATAGTTAAACAACCATTGAATTTTATATGACATAAATTTCACAACAAATTAACCCCAAACAAAATTTGTATCATAAACTAGACATTTCTGTGTAAAACTATCAATTTAGTATCCAACTAAAAAATTTCCAAATAACATCAGTTACTAACATAAACTAGAATGCTCTAAGCTCATTAGTAATTACGTGCCTAATTACAGAATAAAATAAATAGTACAAACTAGATAATCCCACTATTTCTCCTTATGTTTTTTGGCTGCATCAAAATTAACAGTTCACATTCTTTTTACGTGGCAAAAAAATATGTGATCCCTTAAAACAAATCATATAATATATCATATATAAAGATATAATTAAGAACATACTTGATTCTTGACCTCAGTAACTCCACCTTTCTCCCTCCAGTCAAAATCTTCAGGCAATCCATCAACCTCAACCATAGGTGCCTCCGCTCCGACCGTATGGCCACGGCTGCCGCCAACATCGGCTACTCCAGTGTACATCCGCTTGAACTCCTCTTCCGTGAGGTCAGAGAATTGCGTGACTCCGTGGACGGCGGTGGGGTCCATCATCTGGTGCTCTGCCGCCTTGAGGACGTTTTTGGCAAATATTCCGAGGCGGTGGATGTACTCCTCACTCGTCGAGTAGTTCTTGCCGTAATCGGACATGAAAATCCGGAATTTACTCTCGGTGTGAGTCCCAAGAAGATTCGGGCGTACTCGCCTCTCGTCCGCCGTGACTTGGCGTATGGTCAGGTCCTCCACAGAAGCTACAACGTGGCAGAAGAAGATGATGCATGTTATCAGCTGTGCTAAGGCTTTAGCCACCATGATCGCTGTTCTCGATCGGTCTTGTTTTGAGGTTGCCTTACTTAGTCTAGTCCCTAGAGAGTCGATGGCTTTGTGTGTAATATATAAGGAGAAGGATTATTTACATAAGTTTGAGGAAACGAAAGTGTTGGAGATACATGCAGAGTGGAGACACGTGGGATGTTTGCATGTAGAGTTACACAATGAAGCTGCATGACACGTGTTGAAAGTCATCAATGAGACTTTTAGTTTTTGAGTCTAGAAAAATAAACTAGAGTTTGGTTGGTTAATTCAAACTCATAGATAAACGTGTTTGATTACAAAAAATACCTTATTCCTTTTGCTATGGTTCCACTGTTTTGTAATGTTACAAATCAGACACAATCCATATATAGATGTTTCTCTTTGTTGGACCTCACATATATGGTCAGATGGTCAAATTCTTGGCCCAATATCAAACCACATTGATAGAGGCTTCGGCCCATATATCTACGATTCCAATTCTATACAGTTAAAGCCTAAAGGTAAAACATATTTTAAAACACACAAATCTGATATAAAGTTTAGAGATTTGACAAGAAGAATGTTTGAAAATTAGAATTTTAACAAATCATGCATTTGTTTTATGAAATTGCATCTTTTATATTGAACTATTATGCGATTTAAATATTCAAAATCGAAAAAATGGTTCTCCGGTTAATAATGAGAAAATTCAGATAAAAATATATTTTTACTCGGATAAAACAATAATTTAACCAAAAGTAATCAATTACATCCTTTGGTTAAAAAATACATGTCCCCAAAATTTTGATCTCCTCCTTCTTCCTCCTCCTTCATTCTCCTTACAGCAATCTTGTATCGGTTTCTGGTTTTGCCTGAAGAACATTCTTCCAGAATCCCGTTGGCCTAATAATGCCTTCTTCTTTCTCCATCTCCGATCTCAGTTTCTCCCTCCATTCATCGCTTTAGAGGTAATCAAATATAATCTTCTTCGTCATCTTCGTTTCGTCATTCTGAAATCAAATCCATTTCAGAAACAAAAAAAAAAGTTTAGATTTTGAATCGAAATCGAAGATGTTCAACAAAATCATAAAACTGGGTCAGAAGAAATTCAACAAATCAGATCAACATCATCAAGATAACAACACCACCTCCACCAACACCGTCGTTCGCGGCAGCCGTACCACCACCGCCGCTCCATCTTCTGTTTCAAATGGAGAATCTCAGACAACGGCTCAATCTCCTTCACAGACACCGAATCACCCAATGTTCACATCAACACCGATCCTCGAAGTACTTCCATTGTTAAAAGACGTGTCTTCCTCAGATCGACCTCTCCTCTTCATGAAGAAGGCTCACATGTGTTCTTGCCAATGTGATTTCTCTGATACTTTGATAATGCCACGCGAGAAAGAGATCAAAAGGCAGACTCTTCTTGAATTGGTTGATTTCCTTCATTCTTCCTCTGGTAAAGTCAATGAGACGATGCAGAGTGAGCTTATACGGATGGTTTCAGCTAACATTTTCCGGTGTCTCCCACCGGCTCACCATGAGAACACTGGAGCTCCTCCTGAAGGGAATGATCCTGAAGAAGAAGAGCCTTATCTTGAGCCATGGTGGCCTCATTTGCAGCTCGTTTACGAGCTTCTTTTGCGGTATGTGGTGTCTTCCGAAATCGAACCTAAGACCGCAAAAAAGTTCATTAATCACACCTTTGTCTCGAGGTTACTCGATTTGTTTGACTCTGAGGATCCTAGGGAGAGGGAATACTTGAAAACTGTTCTTCATAGGATCTATGGCAAGTTTATATTTCACCGCCCGTTTATCAGGTGTTCGATTTATAACATTTTCTACAAGTTCTTGTATGAGACTGAGAGGTGCATTGGCATTGGAGAGTTATTGGAGATCCTAGGAAGTGTGATCAATGGATTTACAGTACCTATGAGAGAGGAGCATAGGTTGTATCTTGTGAAAGCTATTTTGCCACTACACAAGTCTAAGGGTATCTCGATTTACCACCAGCAGTTGGCGTATTGTGTGACACAGTTTGTGGAGAAAGATTACAAATTGGCTGATACCGTCATCCGCGGGTTGTTGAAGTTTTGGCCGCTTACGAATTGTCAAAAGGAGGTTCTGTTCTTGGGAGAGTTGGAAGAAGTCTTGGATGCTACAGAGCCCTCTGAGTTTCAGCAGTGTGTTGTTCCTCTGTTTACGCAGATTGGGAAATGTCTTAATAGCGCACACTTCCAGGTTCGTTCTAATTGAGTTCTGTACTTAAAAAGCTAGTCATAGATACAACAAGTCAATACATTTTGAGGCTTATATAGTGTTGATAAGAGATGGTGAGGAGTGCAGGTGGCAGAGAGAGCTCTTTTCTTGTGGAACAATGAACATATCGTAGGCCTGATAGCTCAGAACAAAGACGTGATCTTTCCGATAATCTTTGAAGCATTGGAGAGGAACATGAAAGGACATTGGAACCAAGCGGTGCACGGTCTCTCTGAGAACGTTAGAAGAATGTTTCTGGAGATGGACACTGAGCTCTTTGAGGAGTGCGAGAAACAACATCTCGAGAACGAAGCAAAGGCATGCGAGTTGCTGGAACAAAGAGAATTGACATGGAAGAGACTTGAAGAAGCTGCTTCTCTAGCTGCTAACTAAATCCCATTGATGACTTTTTAGCTATATCTTTCTTTTCAAAAGTAATGTTTTTAGAAACTCTCTAATAATTTATTTATTTGTTTGTTCTTTCTTTTTGGTCTCTTGTAAATGGCGACCGGGAATATTAATCCACACGTCGCCGACGAGATCATGTCATAGAAGATAAATTTAGTGATGTTCATTGCATCTTCTGCAAAACTTGGTCGGAATTTAGTGTTTACAAGCTTAGAACGATGATGACAATATATGTTTTTTTTTTAAAGCATAACACATTTTCCATGCGGCAAATTTTGCTATAATAAAATGTGATTTCTACACAACCTTAGTTTTCGTTAGAAGAAACAAAAGGTAGTGGCCAAAGAAAGAAAAAGTGGAGTTATATGAAAATGTTACATCATTAATGAAACAATGCATTTGATTGGATGAGACAAAGTTCGTCTTTGACGTTGCCTTGACAATCCTATTTTAGTTTTTTTTGTATTGTTGTCAATCCAACTAAAAGAAAATAATGGAGAGAGAGCCACACTTTACACCAAAAACCAATCAATTGAACGGTCCAAATCCTATTTGTTATCCATCCGTTCTACCACAATAATAGAGTTGATAATGACAAAACCGAAATCATTAACAAAGAAAACAATAACGTTAATCGCGGCTGAGACGGTGCATCGCTTCCAAATATCATCTGGAAGACATTGCTGTCGTCGCCGCTGCTGCTGCTTCCTCTCGTTGTACCGCTCATACCACCCATATCGTCCATCCCTCCTCCGCTGCTCCCACCTCCACCGTCGCCTCCATAAGGAGAATAAGAATTGCCACTCTGACCTTGATCATCCCTAAACCCCACCAAAAATCATCTCATTAGAAGTTATACAAGATTTTGATCATAAAAAAAAAGTCAAAAGGATGCAATTAATGCGATGGACTTATTATGGAGTATTATGGATCCATAGAAAAAGGAATCATCTTTCTAGGTAAGGGTCCCAATCTCCTTAACCTCCACATTTCCATCATAATGACATCATTACGCCCAAAAATATAACTATTGGCTTTTGTATAATAAATTGACAAGGGGACAAATAAATAACATTTGATGTATCAAAATGTAGTTTGCATCATGATTATGCATGTCTTAATTAACACTATGACAGACATTTTAGAAATTTGAAGAATATAGTATAAAAAATAATTGAAAAATGAAAATAGCAAGTGGGGTTAATTCAGACACTAGTCAAGTTGGTCGGTTCCCTTAGGCAGACAATCACGTGCGTCTCTACTTGAATTCTGGAATACTGCCAAAACCCTAACGTCTGATATTCTCAATGAGCTACTTTTTCAAAATAAACCAATAATGATGTGTTACTTTAATTGTTTTTTCAGATTCTAATTATTTAGATTTACCATAGCTCATGTTCTATATATCTCCATTTCAGGAAAAATTGAATGAATGAATGAATATAGAATGTGATTAAGAACCTCAAACAAGAAAGGACCTATTTTAGGCTAGTTTAAACTTGACCCTTTTTTCCAAAAAAATAAATTACAAATTCGTTAGTTTAGAGTTTTCTTTTTCTAATCACAAGTTAACTAGACTCCAAAGTAGTAAAATAAATTAAATAATACGGTTGTTATCTGTTCTTGACTTAACGACAATAGCAAATCATGCGCTCTAATCACGCGCTTTCACAGCTAATTTAATTATACATTAAACACCGAAATGAGAGATCATGCTTCAATTTTTAAAGATATTTTCAAATTAAGTAGTATATTTTTAAATTGGCTAAGAAAAAATCTACTCCCTCCGTTTCAGTTTAGTTGTCGTTTTAAGATTTAAATTTTGTTTCATAATAGTTTTCGTTTTAGGTTTTCAATGAAAATGTTTGGTGAAAATTCTAGTTTTATCCCTGCTTATTTAATGTTTTGGCCAATGATTTTTTTATAAAATATATTAATAAAGGGTAAAACATAAAATTTAATGATTTTCTTAATTTGTGTGAAAAAACCTTAAACGACAACTAAAACGAAACGGAGGGAGTACTATTTAGAAAATAAAGAAGGGGTAAAAAGGGAAAAAGTAGTAGTACCTGGGACCGCCAAAAACGCCAGCGTTTCGAGTGAGCTGGTCGACGAGAGAAGCAGCTTTAGGGTCAACACTAGAAGCTTTAGAGTACATTGAGCTCATTCCTTCACCAGAAGCCACAAAGAAAGCTCCATTCTCCATCAAATCTCCTTCTGTTCTCCAATTCCAATTCGCCCATTCACCATCGTCCTTCGAGTCCACTCGCTTCGTCACCTGCTTTTCACCACCAATCAGCAAACAATCTCTTCTCCACGCGCCGTCGTTGCGCGTGGTGGTATCCAAACAACAACAATAAAAGAAAGTGTGTGGACAGAGAAGAAGAAGAAGAAGAAGCAGCCCACATGGCTGTCATGCACTTATACTATTATACATACCATCACTGTCTCACTCCTCGTAGACCCAATTCTACATAGAAATAAGATTCTTCTTTTTCCCATTTACATAAAACTTTAACCGGATATTTTTCCTAGTAGCAAAAGATTAGCAACTGTCCATGTGAAATATGAACTGGATTCATAGGAGATAGGACATTTTACTAGCCAATTAAAATCAAGGAATGAAACTACACATTTGTCAATCACTCAATGAAAAGTTCTCTATGGTAAAAGCCTAAAATCTATCCACAAAACATACTAAACCCTAAAAAGTTAAGCTACTAAAGAAAGTGTTTGTTCCACACCATATAACAACAACAACAAAAAAGGGAATGATTTTTCTATATGTGTAATCCAAAAAAAATGCAAACTTTGTTAAAAAAAAAGTTACCTCTTTAGCGCTAGGATCAGAAGGAGCAGCGTAACGATTTCCTTGACTGTTAATGGTGGGATTACCACTACCACCAATAGCATACATTTTCCACTCAGTGAAATCATTATTCACTACATGAATATAACCTCTCCGACATCTAGGCATCCTCTGAACAAGCCCTTGTCCAAAATGATTAAACGCTATCGTCACTTGCATCCCCGTATCAGGAGCATAGTTATCATCATGACCCAACAACATCACTTCGTCGTGATGCGTGAAGTAATTGTTAGATATAGTTATAGCTGTTGAACCCATCACAGCATCAATAAGCCCGTCGGTGCAATGACTCATAGAACAATGATCAACCCAGATCTTCTGAGATCCGAAAATCGAGATCCCATCTCCATCGGATCTACCACGTTTTTCGAATCCAGCTGAAGGTTTACAGTCGTAGATATGGAGGTTGTGGATGATGATGTGTTGAACGTATTGGAGAGTTAAGCAACCGTTTCCGGTAATGTGTACGGCTGAGCCACGACCGTCTAAGGTTTTGTAGCTGTTGATGATGAGTTCTTGTTTTAATCTGATGAGCATGTTTGAAGAGAAGACGATCCAGAGTGGCTCTTCTTGGATTACGCCGTAACGGAGTGTTCCTGGTGTTGGGTTTGTTGGGTTGTTGTCGGATGAGTCTGTTACGACGTAGATCTTGCCGTTTTTGCCTCCGAGTGTGCCGTGTCCGAAGCCGATTGAACAGTCGGCGAGTCTTTGTCGGTTTGATGACCAGTCTGAGTCGCTGCATTTCCAGCAATCGTCGATTGGGTTTCCGGTACGGCAAGAGGAGGATGATGATGATGATGAGGATGAGCCTAGTTGTCTTCTTGCAAGAGATTCATTGACACTCCTGTGAATTTTGGAGGAGGAAGAAGAAGAAAGTTTGAGTTTTTTATTTCTTTTTTTCTTCTGGGAAAATGTGTAACGAGAAAGGGAGGAACTTTTGTTTACCTGATGACATGAAGAGCGACGGAATCAGGGGAAGGATGTTGGTGAGGGAGAGTGAGATTTAGGGGTTTAGTGGCGGAGAGGAGTGTGAAGAAGAGAAAGAGAAGGAAAATGGTGTTGGAGAAGTTTTGAAGAAGCATCGTTAATGGCGGATTTTGACTTGGTGTTGCTTGATTTAGCCGTGGAAGTTGCAGTGTGTTTTGAGTGTCACAAGAAGAATGTTGGTAGAGAAATGTGAAGAGAGAGTAGCAGAGAAGGATTTGGAATCCACATGAGGGAGAAGAAGAAGAAGCTGCTTTCTCTCTCTCACTCTCTCTCTCTCTCTCCTTCTCTGCCCTCTTGCTGGAAACAGGGCTAATAGGTTATCTTGAGATTTTGATTCTGTTTCTCTTGGGGATTTGTGTCCACTTGCATTGGAGGAGATTGGTTAGAAAATTTGGGTCTCAAATTTGGTAAACAAGCTCGTATTTATACTGGGCCTCAGAGACCCAAATTAAATGGACGCCGAACGTTTTGATGAGTCTTTAACATAAAAGTTCGGCCCATAATTAGGCCCATCATTTTATGGTAATTAAACACCCAAGTTAAATGGAAGCCGAACGGTTTGAAGAGTGGGTCAGTGGTGAGTATCAGCGGCGAGGACACAGCGATTCTGGTATCTTCTGAGTTCTGATAAACCAACTTGTTCATCTTCCGTTTTCCTTTCGTTTTCTATATTCAAGCTTCATTTACATTTACCCTTTCTCGATTCCTAGTTCAGACTACTCAGAATTGAAAAGGGTATACAGTTCTTTGGTCACTTTCTGCCTTAGCTTCAGATTCTGGTTCCCGAGCCGCCAACACTGAAAATTTCACAGCATCACCTAACAGTCGAGCTTGTTTCTAAGGTTTAGTACTGTTCCTTTTTTGTGTCCGAGTTTTCACTTGTTACTAATTCGCTTTTTTTTATAGCTTTTTGAGCCTTAAAGATGTTATCTTCTTCTTATTAGGGTCGGAAGTTCTGTCGGCGGTAACAATAGTAACTTGGGTTTATTTTTCTAAAGATATGGACAGAATCAGTGGGTTATCAGATGAAGTGCTTATTAAGATGTTAATGTTTGTTCCGACCAAAGTTGCTGTATCCACTAGCTTATTGTCGAAACGATGGGAGTATCTTTGGATGTGGTTGCCTAAAATTGAGTACGGTCAGAGACATTCTTCACGCTCTGAATGCAGGGAGTTAGAGTGTTTTCTTGACAAAAATCTGCCATTACATAGAGCTCCGGTTATGGAAAGCTTCTGTCTTGACTTAAGTAGTTCATATTTTACACCTGAGAGTATCAAGCTGTGGGTGGTAATAGCACTTTCTCACTGCGTACGTGAGCTGGAGGTTATTTATGATTCTTATCCTGAGAAGCCAAACATATTGCCGAGTAACTTATATACCTGCAAATCGCTCGTGGTCTTGAAACTCGATGGCGATATTCTCTTGGATGTTCCTCGAATGGCTTTTCTTCCCTCTCTGAAGACTATGTATCTTCTAAGTGTGAGATACTTCAATGAAGAATCTCTTCAACGGCTTCTATCTAGTTGCCCTGTTCTTGAAGATCTATCGGTGGATTTCAGTGAGAATGACAGCATGGGAAAGCCAACTGTTGTTGTCCCGTCTTTGCTGAGTTTATCACTCTATATACCTCATTCTTTTGATATAGATGGGATTGTGATAGAAACTCCTTCTTTAACGTATTTTAAACTTATGGACCATAACAATAAGAGTCACTACTGTTTGGTTAAGAATATGCCTAACCTGATCGAGGCAGATATAGATGTTGAATTTCCTAACATCAAGAGTCTTATTGGATCAATCACATCCGTCAAGAGCCTTGCAATATGTTCAGAGGTAATCTTTTCCATTTATCAACTCATTTTAGATAGTCATTTGTTGATAATTTTAATATTGTGCGCAGGCTATGTATGGTGAAAGTTTTGTCTTCAACAAGCTTAAACATCTGAAGCTATGTAGGTGCAAAGAGCATTCTTTAGATTTACTTGTCCGACTGCTCAAAGACTCTTCTAACTTACAAGCACTAGACCTTTTCGAAATGGCTGTAAGTTTGTTCGTTAAACTCTTTTTTCTTTGTCTAATGCACAATATGGTTTTAGTCTAATTCTTCTGTTTTGATCTCAGGATCATGATGAGAATTTTGATATGGTTTACTGGAATCAACAAAGTACTGTTCCTCAATGTATCTTGTCGAGTCTACAAACTCTCAACTGGTCGGGATACGCAGGAACACCAGAAGAGAGAGATCTTGCAGTATATATCTTGAAGAATGCTGTTCACTTGAAGACTACAACAATCTCATCTGTTGAAGTGGAAGTTCCGAAATTTGAGATGATAAAGGAGTTGGCACTTTCTCCTAGAGCTTCAACAACTTGCCAACTCGTGTTTCATTGAGTATTTGATGATTAAAATTGGCTTGTTCATCACTTTTTCTATGTGCCCCGATTCGTATGGTTTGGTTTGTCATCAACTCTGAAAACTTGTTATCGACAACAAACTTTTTTCTATGTTTATATGTTGTCCACCAAAAAACAACTTATGTTGATTGGAGCTAAGTTATATGATAACTTTAATAGTTTATGGGGGGTATCTAGCAATATAGAGATATATACATACCTTGTGAATGAAGAAAAGAGAACTAGCTCTGTGTTGCAAACAGAAAAGCATTTGATGCCCTGATAATTTCTCTAAAATTATTAAACCGAAATAATAATTTTTGATCCATGTGAAACCAGTTTTTTAAAATCTAAATTACCGAATTACAAATAGTCAAACCAAAACCGAACCGAACCGGAATGTCTTTAATTTAAAAACCCATGATTATGACATGCACTACTGGCTTAGTGGTGGTGTTTGACAACAGGGTTTATTCCATTCTCACTCGCACTAAGTTTTTGTGGCTCATAAAATTTATGTACCCTTTCAATTTCATAATTCCAAATCTAAAAAATCTCCCGTGAAAATGGCTCTCCGATCTGTCAAAACGCCGACCTTGATAACTCCGGTCGCCGGCGTCTCCTCTTCCATTATCAACAAGCCTCAATCTATCAGATTCTCTCTTAAACCAACGGCGGCACTCGCCGTCCACAACCGGCAGCCATCGTTCTACGGTCCCAAGCTCAAACCAACAAAATTCCGATGCTCGGCGTCGGCGCTTTCACCGCAACTTAAAGATACTCTGGAGAAACTGGTGAATTCGGAGAAAGTAGTTCTGTTCATGAAAGGAACGAGAGATTTCCCGATGTGTGGATTCTCCAACACTGTTGTTCAGATCTTGAAGAATTTGAACGTTCCTTTTGAAGATGTGAATATTCTGGAGAATGAGATGTTGAGGCAAGGACTTAAAGAGTATTCGAATTGGCCGACGTTTCCTCAGCTTTATATCGGCGGTGAGTTTTTCGGTGGTTGTGATATTACTCTTGAGGCGTTTAAGAGTGGAGAATTGCAGGAAGAGGTGGAGAAAGCTATGTGCTCTTGATTCTGGTTCAATACTTGGTTTTGTAATGATGGAATTTGATCTTATCTATCTATCATCACCTAAAAAAAAAAATGTAATTTTGATGTTTCAGAGTTTGTGGTTGTAACATTAAGAGACATATATATTGTATGATGGATTTAGATATAGAACAGTTGGATGTGCGTGAAATCTGAGTTTCCTTTTAAAAATTGTTCCTTTGTCATGTTTTGGCCTGCAAATTTGTGTTGTTTGTTGAAAATGTTCACGTGTGAAGTAGTGGTAGTAGAATTATCTGAGAATCAAAATCTAAGTTTGTTTCTGACTAGAGACATGAAATGATGAAAGTCATGGGTTGTTGTATGAAGGTAGGTCTAATTTAGTTCCAAAGATTCTGACCATTCAATGGTACAGTATATCAGCAAAGTTGCTGGCACTCTTGAAACAAATGCCCAGATCATTGGTACTTCGTTGTTCTGTTTATCAGAATTCCAAAATGTGAGTGATGAGTGGTGATGATCATATGCAGAAAACGGGTAGTTTACCAAAGAAAGGCAAAATTTTGGTCCATTGTTTTTGGAAATCACTCTTAGTAAAGGAAAATATCAGAAGAAAGGACAAAAGTGAAAAAACTTACCGCAGTCATCACTCATCACTCATCAAGAGTCTTCTAAGATTCACATTGTCTTTGGATGGCAAAAATCCGGACCGGATTCATAACCAGTCACATATTTACCGGTCCGGTCAGGTTTTAAAACATTGTAGAAATGTTTTTCACCGAACTGGAAGACTTATCTGATAGTATCTCTTTGCCGTGGATAAATGGCAAAATAGTAATTTACGTAGATTCTGCCTTTATCTGAACCACACAGTGGAGATGGATATCGAAGAGAAGAAACATGATATAGAGAAGACACGTGGCCCAATGAAAAAGCCACGCAGGCTCTGTATAGCCAATTGCAATCTGCTTTTAGATTCTCATCTCACAAATCTTACTTATACGATCAGTCTCCCACATTCACACTTCCACCAAACACCTCTCGTCCACATCTTTCTCTTTTGGTGGCAAAACACAGAACAACAGAGAGAAACGATGGCGTCGAACTCGCTTATGAGCTGCGGCATCGCCGCCGTTTACCCTTCGCTTCTCTCTTCTTCCAAGTCTAAATTCGTATCCGCCGGAGTTCCGCTCCCTAACGCCGGGAATGTTGGTCGTATCAGAATGGCTGCTCACTGGATGCCTGGCGAGCCAAGACCAGCTTACCTCGACGGTTCTGCTCCTGGGTACGCTTCGAAACGTTTGACTCTGTTTTGTTGCTCAATTTGGAATCAGAATTGTTAGATTACTCTGTTTTGATGCATGCAACATTGGAAGCTTTTAAAAGATTCAATTTTTATGTTATTGGGTATTCATGTATTTCAGAAAGTCGTCTCCTTTCAGAATTTGAATTTACTTTTGTTAGATGTGTATTCAGAGAATCTAGATAAACTATTGGAACTTCTTTTGATGACATAAGGGTTCTGATTTTAACATGGGAGGTTGTTTTAAAAGTTTCAGTTTTTCTAAGTTATTGGGTACAACATTGTGCAGTGACTTTGGGTTTGACCCACTTGGACTTGGAGAAGTTCCAGAGAACCTTGAGAGATACAAAGAATCAGAGCTCATCCACTGTAGATGGGCTATGCTCGCTGTTGTAAGTTTCAGTATCCAATCTTAGTCTAATCATTAGGGTTTAGTCTTGTTATATTTGATCTAATGGAATTGGTGTGTCATGTTGTAGCCTGGGATTTTGGTACCAGAGGCTTTGGGATATGGAAACTGGGTTAAGGCTCAGGAATGGGCAGCAGTGCCAGGGGGTCAAGCCACTTACTTGGGAAACCCAGTCCCGTGGGGTACTTTGCCCACAATCTTGGCCATTGAGTTCTTAGCCATTGCATTTGTTGAGCACCAGAGAAGTATGGAGAAAGACCCCGAGAAGAAGAAGTACCCCGGAGGCGCGTTTGACCCTCTTGGATACTCAAAGGACCCCAAGAAGCTCGAGGAATTGAAAGTTAAGGAGATCAAGAACGGTAAGCACACAAAAAAACTTACCACCTTTCTTGATCAACTTATGTATATCTAATGTTTGTGTTTTTTCTTGGTGGGTATGACAGGGCGGCTTGCGCTGTTGGCGTTTGTAGGATTCTGTGTTCAACAGTCGGCTTACCCGGGGACAGGACCATTGGAGAACCTGGCAACTCACTTGGCTGATCCATGGCACAACAACATTGGCGATATTGTTATCCCTTTCAACTAATGAATGTAAAAATAGAAATATGTACCTTATGAGCTTTATGTGTATCAAAAACACTGTGTAATGAAAGACAGATTTGTGAAAACCTATATTTTGTCTTGGTGGTCGATTTGCTCGTGTGAGCTTGAATTCTAAGTGATGAAACCTTTTGAACCCAAATAAGGTTAATTTGTAACATATCAAATCTCATCCTTCTTACAAAAGAAACATTGTAAGCTCATGACTATTTGTTAGATTTCTCAACAATAACATTCACATGCTATAAACTCCATAACAGAAGAAACATTGTTAGCTCATGACTGTTAGATTTCTCAACTCTATGCAAATATGCTATTTGTTTATATCAAGTTATCAACTTAGATAAATGGTTATTGAACCACACAAGATACATGCATTTAACCTAGGACATACATTTGAGTTTTAATGAATATTTTCTATTCATCTTTTTTCCCCTCATTTTTACCTTTTACATTTACTTTCATATTGATCAAAAAAATACTGTTAATTTCCCCCCCCCTCAATTTTCTAGTTAAGGATACTTTTTTGAAACAAGTTTTGATTTCTTTCTTATCACATTTGTTCTACTAATTTCTCTTTTGTTCTTTTGCATACTAATCTTCACCTACAAAATGTATTACTTTGATAAGAAAGAAATGAGATCAGAATTCTAGAAAGAAAATAACATCTTTGACATTAAATGGTTAAATTATATCTTGACTTAGAATTTGAGGAAAAATCACTACCACATTAATGTTTAAAGATTTTAATTTATATGGATTATAATTCTATTATTAGGTGAGTTTTCAAATCAATTAATCAAATCTGAATTTATCAGGATTTCAAATAATATTATTTTATATTTCAAATAACTTAAAGAAAACTTTATATCTAACATGTGACAATATATAATAAAGAATGGAGCTATCTTCCTAATCACATCCACGTAAGATTGAGATAGAAACTTGAGCTGCGTGGGGCATGCTTAATTTTTTCTGTCTCATTGACCCAAAGATAGTTCTGTATTTTAGTGGATACATACATTATTTACTCATTACCAACTACAAGTAAACTCCTTAAATTAACTTTTAAATTCTTTTTTTGCCTCACAATGATTCCTTTTAAAATTTTTATTTTTAGTTGATTTTTCATTGACTACTCAAGATCTAAAATTTTCTTTTACATATAAAACCTAAAAGAAAACATATAAAGCAGTTTCAATCCCTCCACCAAATTTTCTGCTGATACTTTCCCCATTAAGGTAATCATTCCTCTATCCTCTATTTTTCTTATGTAGCAAACTTTCTCTTTCTATCATGGTTTCTCCTTAGAATTTTTTTTTGGATCTTGAATGCTTCTGATCTGTTTATTTTGGATCTTTAACTATAATACTTCACCGGAAATGCCATTGTTTCAATTCCATTATCTTTCTTAAGGAGATAGAACAAGTTCTGTGATTTAAAAATCTTTGTTTTGTTGCCTTATAGATGAAGATTTGTTAATGAATTTAAACACAATGTGTTGAAAAAGGAAAAGATCTTTTTGAAATGAGTTTGGTTGGTGTATATGGTTTGGATCTTTCGTTCATAATGTATTGTTTTCTGAGAAACCTGGTATGTTTTGTTTTCTTGAATCTTCTAGGGTTTTCCACAAGCTGGTTGATGAAAATGTCAATGAGGTAAATTATACCAACCCGTTTCTTGTAACAGTTTTCATGCTTTTAGAAATGGGTTTTAATTGGTTTATTGTTGTTTCTTTAGCAGCTTGTGTGGAAACCTTTGATGTTTTGTATGTGAATTGGTATAAATCGGGTTTATTCGAAAAGGAATGATCATTCGATTGAATAAGAATGGAGCTTTATACTGCAAATTGTCTGTCCACCGAAAACAAACCTACTCTTGAGCTTTCAAAATTAGTCAAAGAAGAGAAAAGCTCGGTGAAAACGAACAGCGAAAACACCCTTACACTTGTTAATCATGGTACATTCCACACTTCAGCTTAAGAAGATGACTGTTTCTAATCAATTGCTGTTATAAAAATTCACCTTACCTCTGTTTTTGGGTGAAACCACCGGATATTTTAACTTGTTGGCTCTGTAATTTGATATTTGATGTTCTTGAGCACTATCTATAAGCATCTTTCTTGATTACAGGTGCAAAGATGTGGCAAGAGAACAGGGAAAAATGGGTGGGAGATCAATCTGGACAAAGAAAAAACACTGCAAAGGATCAGATTATAAGGTATTATTTGTCTCATCCAACTCTAAGTTCATTTGACAATCTTTTTGCAGTGTCAAAGAAAAAAATGATACTCTAATGATCAGAAAAAGTAATGTTTTCTAAGATGTTCTTGGATCTCTTGCAGCTGGTCTACTACATATGAAGATCTTCTCTCAACTCATGAACCTTTCTCAGAGTCGATTCCTTTACCCGTAAGCTTTAATCTAATCCCATTTTTTACTTGAGTTAAGCTAATATCATTCTCAATACCTGAATTTCCCATCTGATCTTTATGTAGGAGATGGTGGACTTTCTGGTCGATATTTGGTACGATGAAGGCCTTTACGATTAGAAGAGAATCTAACAATGCCACGAACTAGATTGACAAAGAACAAAGGACAGATTCAATTATGGTATGAAGTTAAATCGTTAGGAGTTGTGAAAACATCAACAGATATGATGAACTATCTACTTGTTATATCCATATACTGTCATGAGAAAAAGACTGACCACTCACATACTCCATCTTTAACATTTATATGATTTGTTAAAATGGGAAGGAACAAGGATTACAAAATGGATTCCAAATAAGATTTTGATCACCTTACATCAAAATATAAGGAGACATGAGTTTGACCATGTATTCAATGTTTCTCAACATCAATCTAACATATCGAAACAGAGACAGTATACTACATCAAACAAGTTATCACAGCACATAATCTCCTAACACTCATTTCCTGTAAAAATCTTTGCTTTTCTCTTCTTGACTGTCGTCGCCAATCACAAAGTCAATCTAATGACATGCTTGTAGAATCAGCTAAGAATCTGTGCCACCCGCCAGTTATGTTATGTACACTTTTCTTTTACCGTCTGTTCAGCTTGAGAAGTAAGGGTTTGTTTTGAGTATCTTCTTTGCTAAACTGCGAATATCATCTCTACTTGACTCCACAGATATTCTTACAATCTCTGTCACGCTTCCTGTTCTTCTGAAATCATTTGCATTTTCCTCTGCATCGAGAAGGAGATACACATTAGTCATATGTCCCAACTACACTAAGTTTTGAAAAAAGAACTGCTTAGTGTCTCCAAAGAGCTGGGCATGCTCTTCTAGATAGCAGAATGACAAAGTGTGGCTTACCATTTTGAGCTAAATGGCAAAGCGCAAGCTCAATGTGACGTTGTGTTGATGCTGAATCAATATGTGAGTTTGAAGTCAACCATTCAAGAGCACCCTCTTCCAAGAGAAGGGAACGGCCTTTTCTACGCCCTGCAATACAATAATATCTCTCAAGGTATTATAGCGATTGACTCGGGTGTGCAATTTATGAGTATATATTTGTAAGCTAATATGACTACACACCTTGCATAATTTCTCGAGTTTCACACTTTGCAAAATTTGCCATCCCTCTAGCCACTTGAGCAATGATATCTATGTTTCCAGATTGTGCCATCGTGAGTAGTCCCTTGATGCCTTCCTCTTCTTTCAGCAGCTTAAGAAACTTCTCTGTTTGTGCAAAACACAACAATATATAGAATTAGATATGTACTTAGCAGCATCCCGACACAAAGCTTCTTTAATATATCTTTACATAAGCTGTACAGTGAACGCATGCATTGATGCAGATTAATAGATATGGTTAAAAATTGTCTGATACAATTCATCAGAACCAAAATACTTAATCTTGTGCTCACCGTTCCCGCATAAATTGGCAAGTGCACCAGCTACCATTCTTAGAGTCTGTGGGTCGTCTGTTTTAGTCACCATTTTTGCTAGGAGTTGAGCACCTCCTTTGTTCATTATAAGATCTTGACTTTTCTCTGTGGTTAATAGATCAATGAAAACATATAAACAAACAAATCACATTTTTTCCATTCCAAAATTTAATAACTTGACAGCAGGGAAAACCATGGCATCAAGAACCGTCTACTGCATCATACAGATCCAACATTCAAGCAAACAAGCATTGTCAAGAAATGACACAACCACAAGAATTAGTTCTGCTTCTCAGTAGTAAGTTTAACGGGTTTACGATATCATAAAAGCAATTGGACCACCAACATAATTGCTCACCGTTCATTGCCAAATTAGCAATTGCACCAGAAGCCACCCTAAGAATCGTTGAATTTTGAGATGACTGGACTAGCATGAGCAAAGCTTCTACACCCCCTTCCTCCACAATCTTCACCTGATTAGCCTCTAAACATACACACACATTATGCAAGTCATTTAGGTGTTGTGACAAACAAAGTAATGTATTGTTCAACCATAATTTCTGGAAACTAGAGATGACTTTCAAATAACAATTAACAGTAACTGCATGAACTTAGAACCCGTTTGTAGGCAAAGTGCCAGAGTATCAGAAATCGGTATTTCAACAACTGATAATTCATCTGTAGTGAAAATTTGAGTATATTTACAAATGTTAATAGAGAGAATGAAACTGCACCTTCAGCGGCTAGATTAGCAACCACTTTTACTGCTTGAATTTGAACTTCCAAGTCTTCAGACTTAATGAGTTGTAAAATCTTCTGAATTCCAACTAAAACCAATATAGAGAAAGTGTCAGTTGGATTCTCCCACGATGAAACGAAATAGAAGAATAACTAAGCTAAAAAGAGCTCAATCCATGAGAAAAATTTATACCTTCTTCACAAAGTCTCGCCATGGTAGCTCTCTGACCAGATAACGACTTTTTTAACCCTTGTGATCTCTGTGAGCCAGTTTGAGCTCCAGATTCTGATGATGCTTTTGAAAGATCTTCCTTCATATATCGCTTTTCCTGTGGAATAAAATTGACTTAGCAAGAACATGAAGTACAATACATGTGAAAAGGTGAAACAAGCTCATTGTAATTCACCTCAACAACATTTTCACTTTCCCTTAGATTCTTCTTTAGTTTGGAAAGCTCACTCTCCATTTGCTTTCTCTGCTTTTCTTCCAAAAGGAGCCTTTCCTTCATATCTCGAACCTCTTCACCAAGTTTTTCCTATGCAACACAAATTTTATGTACATTTAGACAAGTTCATCAGCAAAAAATTAACAGTTGGATTTTGAATATGACCAATCTGAACAACAAGTAAGCGTCACACCTTTTGGTGGAGCAGATCATCATAGTCTAATTTCACTGTCTGGAGTTCATCTACTGTCGATTCATACATTTGTGAAAGTTCTTCTAATTTTATCTTGAGTTCGTTTGCCTCTTCATTTTCCTGAACCCAAAACCAACAAACAATTGGAGACAGAAACTTCTGCAACAGCTGAAGCACAAAATATAATTTGTATAAGCCTAACCTGTGATATAACTTGGCGATCGCTTATAAGCCTTTTCATTTGTCTAAGTTGCTCTTCTGCAGCATTAGACCGAGCATCTTCATCTTCTAATTTCTTCTGCAGCTCTGCAATTTTAGATTCATATGTGTAAGTGGTTTCCGCAAGTTCCCTTTGATATTGATAGTTGCCCATCTCTTGTTCCTATAACCACCAAAAATACCATTTAGTTTGAACAGAGAACTAATGCATTTAAAAGGTAGAAAAAGAAAGCCTAAGCTATAACAATTGAGAATGAATAATATATCTAATGAACAAAAATAGGAATCATATTAACTAACATGAATAGACTTCTGCTGTTTACTCAAAATATTTTTCATTTCATTCAATTGATGCTCGGCGTTTGTTGACCGGGCTTGTTCATCCTCAACCCGCTGAACCAATTCCGCAATTTTTTTCTCATATACTTGACTAGCATCTGCAAGTTTTGCCTCATACGCTGAATTTTCCAGCTGTTGCTGCTACTAACAATTAAAAGGACACTGTCAGAGCCATCTACTATACACAGCTCAAACATATTAATGTATATGTATTTGATGCCAGGCCTTTAAGAAAACATTCAAGAACTCCTGTAAGTAGTTAATAAAGACAATAATAGAGAAGTATTGATCCAACAATATACTGAAGTAGTTACCGAGAAAACTACTAACAAATACATGAGAGAAAGTGTACCTTGGTATTTTTCAGTTTCATCTCTAATTGTATGGCTCTGTCATGCATTAGATCACACTGATCTTTCTGCAGTTGCAATTCCTTCAAAAGTTCTTTCATGCTGAGCTCCAAGCGGGTGTTTTCCTTCTCCAGGAACTGTAAGTCATATCATAGAAAAATACTCACCATATCAAGAAACTATAAACTAGCTGAATATCAATTACTGTAAGTAAACGAAGAGTAGCTGATCTTTAGAAGAGACAAAAATACCTTGGACCTTGTAACCGCATTCTTTTCTGCTTCAGCGAAGGAGTTTTCACATTCTCTCAATCTTTTTTCCAACTCAAGTTTCTCACTATTTCTTAGTTTGTTTTGTCTTTCAACTTCTGCAGTAAGATGGTCCACCTGAGTCTCAAGCTTCCGACACAAACTCTCATAATCAAATTCTTCTTTAAGCTTTACCATGTTAACTATTTTCATTGCCTGTAAAGGAAGACATGACCAAGAAGACATTACTATTACGAGTTTGAAAGATATAAGATTCTTAAATTTTAAAATCTGGTGTATTTCTTGTTTATGAGTTTCTTTAGATGTCAGAAACTAGAGATTCTGCAGAGAACGAGATAAGAGAAACATCAAAACTCACCCTTTGTCCGAACATTATTGTGCTAGTGGTTTCTGCATGATACCGTGCAGATGGCCCAATTGTTATTATAAGTGAAGTCCTCGCAGAACCTATTTGTTGAGAGACAAAACCCAATTTCAGAGTTTATGTAACAGCGCAACAGTAACTAGGAAGATATGACAAAATGCATAGACACAGAAGTAAGCCACGCTTATGAGTCCTATATCTAGATAGGCTAGGAAATGTTCTGGTAAACTAACCCCCAAAAGAATCACGAAGAAGCCTTGTTAGCTTAGAATCTCTTGTTGGTATATGAGAACTGCCTTCAGCTAACGCATTTATGCATTTTCCCAGGGATGTCAGTGAAAGATTGATGAATTTTGCCTCTTCAATCATGTGGCCATCAGTGCCTACAGAAAAACAGCATATAACTCACCATGACCTACTTGATATAACATGAATGGTTATATGAACAGTTAAGGAGATCAAACCAGATTTATTTATTCTTTCTGAACCAGCAAGATCAACAATTAGAAGTTTGCTCTTTCTAACTCTAGGAATGGATTTATCTCCCAATGATTCAGGTTTTGCCTTTTCAGACTTTTCATTCATAGCCCGCCTAACATAAACCTGAACACAAGATACATTTCATTAATCGGCAGATACAAGACATGGATTCTGTTGATGAACAAGAAACCATATAGGCAAGATATTCTAAGGGAAGCACACCGTAAGGATTGCATGACTACGAGAGGATTCTGTATTCATCTTTGTATTTGCTGCATGACGGTTAGTCTCACCGACTTGCAAAACCTGCAAGAAATGGTCTAAATCTTGAATGTTAACTACTGTAGCGCCTGGTACTGATACTTCCCCAGTCTTAGCATCCTCATTGATTGAAATGTTATTTTTCTCAGGTGCAAGAAGATCTTGTATAGTTTCCATATATAGCTGTGAATTACAAGAACAATTATACATATTAGAAATGTTTCTTATATTATATATGCTCTAGAATCATTTCAATCTTCTATCTATGAATATTTAACAAGAAGACCAACAACATCTAAGCACTAAAGTGAAGATGTGTACTATCACACCTGCAAATAAGAGATCTCCACGGAAATAGAAGCAGAAGATGCGTTGAGAAGTATGTCCTCCAGAGCTCTAACCATAATACCACGCTCAGCTGCATCATCTTTACCAATTTTTCCTACCGTGTAAGTTTTACCAGTGCCAGTTTGACCGTAAGCCATAATGGTACCATTGTATCCACTCAGAACACCCTGCGAATTCAACGTAGTGGATATCAATAACCAAAAGCATTACTTGTCAACATTTCAATACATGAGACACACTTTCTAACCTCGACGACAGGTTTTGCTACTCCTTCATAGACACGCTTTTGTGAAGCTGTGTCTGTAAAGACTTCATCAAATTTATAGGACTCAGAATTCCAGTTATTCTTCCTCAACTTAAGCCGCTTTATCTGCACTCAAAAAAATAAAACAATTTCTAAGGACCTTAATATCAAAATTTGACTATGTCATAGACCAACTTCTAACTCACTTCTGGTTGTAACTCAACAAGATCAGCAAAATCAGCATCCGAGATAAGCTCCTCGCCGTTGCGAGGTCGAACTCTTACAGAAACTCTGACTCTCCCAGGATCTGCATAGAAAGTTTGAAAATTTAAAACAGAGTAAGCCAAGTTTGTGCATTTTATGAAGGAAACAACATTTATGCGACCTATAATGTTATATAATTTCAATTTTATAAAAATCAAAACCAACAATTAACCCAAACAATGCACCAATTCGAATCAACAATAGAGCAAAAGTCAAATACTTTAAGCAAATGAAAAAGCTAATCTTTTAATTGTGGAATTGTACGGATACACGAGTGAATAGGAAGAGAGAAGAGAAAGGACAGACCATTGTCGTCGTCGAAGTCTTTGGACTGGGATCGGCGGACGGGAGTGCCAGAGCGGCGTGTAGAAGGAGAAGAGGCGGAGACGGAGGAAGCGTTGGAGATGGAAGAAGCGGAGGGACGATCTTTAGGGCGAGAAGAATGTGCAACTCCGGGAGCGATGATAGAGGTTCTAGAAGGCAAATTCAAGGAAGAAGAAGAGAGAGATATAGCGTGATTGCCGTTGGGAGGCAAGTGCTGCTGAATTCGCTCCGCCGCGTGTTTCGCCGACGATCTGACGGCGGAGGAAGAATTTGAAGAACTCATAGCTGGGGTCGTGACGAAGCACGAAAGGGCAGCGAGAAGAGGAGAGAGAGAGAGAGAGAGAGAGAGAGAGAGTATGAGACAACAGAGAGAGAGAGCTAAGAGAATGATTCAAAGAAATGGAATTTTGAAAATTTCGTGGGGAAAGTGGAAAGAGAAGAAGAAGAAGAGAATGGGAAAGAGGGAGGCACGACTCTGATGTAAATGGTTCCCGCGTTCGTTCGTGGATTATTATTGGGTTTGACGTTAAACACTCCGATTTTAATTTGGATTTTATTCGGTTTGGTTTGGTTTTTTTTTTTTTTTGGTTCATTTCATATGGGATTAAGTCATATCAGATCTCGGGATTGAACACTACTGACAACAATCAGCTACGATCCAAGACTACTAGATTTTTTTCTAGGATTTAATTTGAAAGATCATATCCCAAAATTCAATAAAATGTTAATCACCTTCTATAGATTCATCAAATGAAGATACTTATATATGAGTTTTAAGTATTGTTGATTCATGTTTATATTCTAACGGTCGAAGGCAATGGATCTACCACGGGTTGTGATGGATGGATAACAAGTGAAGATATATGTAGGGTCCGAATGGTAACAGTGTATTTGATTGTGCGGGAAAAGCGATTTTATAGTGCGGTACGGTTCAACTGCGGTACGTGCGGGAGAATTGTATTTGCGGGACAAGTGCGGTTTTTATAAAATAAGCGGTCCAAATTAATGTTTGACTGGTGAAAAAACTATTTGCGGTACACAACAAAATGTGTGAATGGCAAAACATGAAAAAAGCGGTACAAATTATATATTATAATAAATATATTAAAATATTATAATATTAATAATTAGTATAATTATATATTATTGTTTGTTTGATGTTAATTAAAAAAAAAATTTCATACATTTATAATTTTAAATATCCAAATTGTTGAACATAATATTTTAATTTTTTGACATACATAATGTTAAATCAATTAAAGAGTTAATCATTAAAAATACAACACTTTAAAAAAACTACTTGCAGTATACAATCCCTTATATATTAATAGAGAAGCACTTTATAAAATAAACCTTATCTTGACGTGTTATTAACTAAACTGCCATGCTGACATGTCGCTCTCAGAGTGAATTTTCACCAATTTAAATTATTACCCAAATTTTACTAGACTATTTACAGATTTTGCCATTAGTCTTAATACATACATATATCATACAAATAACAAAAAACGAAATTATAATTAAAAAGCAAATAATTAGGCAACTGATATCATATTTATATTTAACAACAAATCATGGGATCTTTGTTTATTTATATTAATAATCTATTTTCAATAATTAAAAAGGAAAAAAATTGTGTTTATCTTATATTAATAAATTTTTATATTTATATTTTTCTTAATATACATTTATATAAATCTTCTCTAGCCGATGGGTAAACAATCTTTTTATTTATATATATATATATATATATATTTATGCTTATATTTAAATGATAAAAGATATACATTTTGTTCAAGAATCTCGAATTCAAAACTACAAAATCTCTAAATCTTTCATAAAATTTTATATCTATTGTACTTAAATAAATAAGATAATCTCTTTTTTATACATGTTACGGATACTTAAAATCCGATTTTTTTGGAGTGGTTCTAACTTTTCGAAGAAAAACATTATAACCACATTTATATATAAACCAAAATCTGGCCACATTATAACCTCTTTTTTTTGTCAAACGGTCACATTATAACCATTTCGTAAATAATCCATTCATAATATAAGAATCTTATATTTGGAACACTACAAAATCTTAACTCGGAAACTATCAAATATCATCTTTGCTAAATTTTTGGATTTCTTATACTTAAATAATAATAAAAATATTATTTTTATACTACAAAATCTCGAAATCTTTAAAACATACGGAAAGACATATTGCCATAAATGGTAACATTTCATCAATAATTTCTTTATCACGTTGAAGCTTTATTCAAGGTTCAAATATTCCACGGGTAAAATGTATTCTTATATAAATAGTCCCAAGTTTGAATAAAACAAAAAAAAATTATTACATGTTACGTTTTACACAAACGGATCTTGGATCCCGGATAATAATTTTAATCATAATAATTTTACTTGAATCACTTCGTCCCGCACATAGTGCGGGTTGTTATCTAGTAAAATGTTATAATTGAAAATTCATAAATCAAATTAAATAAGATATATATATATATATTATTTTAATTTTTGATATATTAGTAAACTAATTTTAGTTAGTTTTGAACTAATTAAGCTTTTTAAAAAAATGAACTAAACACAAAATTTTATGAAACTGAATTTGACTATTTTGTTATGTATTTACCATAAAAAGAGGCCAGGAGGTTTGTGTGCAGTTTGGGATCTCTTACACGTGCCAGAAATTGTTAGAGTTGTGAATTTTATTATTAAAAAATTATGTAAGTTGGCGTTTTTGTTGGACCACACGTATTTACTTGTGGGTAAAAAATAAAAGTGGATTTCACTTTTTGTGAGGTATAGAAATCTGTGCGCGTATTTCATATTCTTATTATCAAAAACGCAAAAGGTAAATGAAAAACTGTGATTGGTAACTTAGAAACGTTTTTTAATAAAATTTTGAAAACCGCACCGCTTTGATGTAAAAAAAAAAGCATTAGCGGACAAGGAGCAAATTTCAAGAACATCACAAGTGAAACAATAAAGGTTTTCATCTAGCGGGTCCAAAATGTGTATGGTGATGGTCCAGAACTTAATATGGATAACAATACATCTACGGTATCAACATCTTTAAACATAGTGATTTGTCCCCTGATGCCATTAAAACAGTGGCAACATTTTTGATAATCGTGGTCTGGTCGGCTTCAACTTGCATAAACTCCATATTTTTGACACCTGACATTTTTGTACCAGCCACTTACATATTCCTATCGTTTTCTTGCTATTACATACAATCTTGATTTCTTTAATGCAACAACAACAAGGAAGTAAAAAAACACTGATTATTATGTTGAGTAAGGTTAAATATCGTTGGAATTTTTTTCCATATGAAAACAATCTCAATCTTTAGAAATGAGGCCCATATGTGAAGCCCAATTATACAGAATAAGGCCCGTTAGGTGATTGAATAATCTTCTCCGCCGTGTTCTTCCACTGCGGTGGACTATTAACGACGGTACAGGAGAAACGGAGAAAGGTCGATCATCTCTTGATCATTGTCCATGGCGCAGATCCCCAGCTTGGAAAATGCTCCTCTCAATCTCAAATCCATTAGGTGACTCAATTTTCATTTACTTAAGATCGTTTCTTCTTCTTCTTTTCCTCTCTCATCATATGTTTCTTATTCAGGGACAAGTCTGAGAGGGAGCTCGTAAACTTGCTTAAAGACGTGAGTCTCATTACTCTTTCTTTTTTTTTTTTGTGTTGGGAGACGAAAGTTAGGAAATTTGGGGGATTATATTTGATCAAACATATCTCTTTTTGAGAATGTGAAATAAAAACCAATGCTTTATCTCAATTTTACTATAGATTCTTCTCTTTTCTATGAAATTATCGAACCAATGTTGTATGATTGAGAATCATTATTATGAATAAACTTCGGAGATGATTTACCGATTTCTCAAGACTTTTTTTTCTTTCTCTTTGGTGTCTTTGGTTGTAGATTCGTGGAACTAAGTGTTTGGTTATTGATCCAAAGCTCAGTGGTTCAGTCTCATTGATCATCCAGACGTCTAAGCTGAAGGTAATTAGCTCTGAGGAAATTTGTAAAATTGAAATGTCGAGAAAAGGAAGATCTTTTAAAAATGTTGATTTTGGTTTTAACATTAGTGGTGATCTGATTTTTGTTTTTCTTTGCTTAACAGGAACTTGGTTTGGAGTTACGACATCTTACTGCGGAACCTGTTCAGACTGAATGCACAAAAGTGATTTATCTTGTTCGCTCTCAACTCACTTTTATGAAATTCATAGCTTCTCACATTCAAAATGATATTTCAAAAGCGATTCAGAGAGACTACTATGTTTACTTTGTTCCTCGTAGGTCAGTTGCGTGTGAGAAGGTATGTGGTTCTTTTCATCCTCTAATACTATTTGTGCTTTAGTCTACTTGTTTTATGACCTTGTGAATAAGGGTGATAACTATTTTATTCTGCTATTTTCAGATTCTTGAGCAGGAAAAAGTGCATAACCTGGTTACTGTGAAAGAGTTTCCCCTGTATATGGTTCCACTAGACGAGGATGTTATTTCATTTGAGCTCGAGCTCTCGGAAAAGGTGTGTAGAACTCTCATGGGTCCAATTCTTACTTATTACTTCATGTGCCCTTTTCCTTGAGGCCTTAAAATCACAGGTTTCCTATTTATCTTGTTCATGGTTTTTGAATGATAGGATTGCCTTGTGGATGGTGATGTTAGCTCACTTTGGCATGTCGCGAAAGCCATACATGAACTAGAGGTTTAGATTTTTTTGTTATTCCTTGCATCTGATTATCACAATTATCTCATGACTAACTCTTCTTATAGTTTTCTTTTGGAGTTATCTCGAAAGTGAGGGCAAAGGGCAAAGCATCAGTTCGTGTTGCGGATATACTAAACCGCATGCAAGTAGAGGAACCTGTCAATTCGAATGATGTAAATTTTTCCTGCAGTAGTTTGAATGAATGTCATAATATTCAGTGACTTGGCTATCTTGTTTTGTAGAAAATGATTTTGTTTCCTTTTTTCACTATTCTAAATGATGTTTGTTCTATTTCAGGTGGGAAGGCCTGAAGTGGATACACTCATTCTGTTGGATAGAGAGGTAAGATTATAATGTGTTTTCCTGTTATTTGAAATCCTTAAATACAAAGATGTCCTCCAAGGATTGAATGTTAAAGAGTTGGTGTGATGGAATCACTGGGAAGTTGGATGTTTTATATTACACAAACGATGGATTTGAAAATCTGCATATCTTTGCAATGCATACTTGTAAAAGATGTTTTGACATGGCGCTATCAGTTTCAACTTTTACTTTTCTGTTTCAGGTTGACATGATTACTCCTATGTGTTCCCAGTTAACTTATGAGGGACTGATAGACGAGGTAATGTCACAAAATTTGGATACTGCACTTTTGACTAGAAGTAGCTTAAGTAGATTTTGCAGTCACTGCAACTGGTGGAATTTTCACTCTCTGAGGAAGTGACACTGACTTCATGTATCATACTTTTACTAGTCATTTGAGTTATATTGAGTGTTTTCGGTTTCTCTACTCGTAATAAAGTCTTAAACAAGTGTGAGAGCCAAATTAGCTTCTGCGGGCTTTTTCATTATTATGCCGAGTTTATGTACTTTTGTTGAATTTGGGGAAGGGAACAAAATGGTGTAGAACTATTTGGTTTCATTGGCTGCAATGATAACCAACAACAACACACTTTGGACTTAAGTTTTGCTGGCCGATTGGGTTTTCTGCGAGCTGACTCAAACCTTTCTTTAAAGTTTTTTCATATCAGCAATGGAGCTGTCGAGGTCGACTCATCTGTGATGGGTGCTCAGCAGGAGGGAAAAAAGATGAAAGTTCCCCTTAATTCAAGGTTAGTTGATTTGCTCCTAGAGAAAAATTCCTTCAATCGTCTGAGACAGAAGGCCATTTTTCTTCTATTACACTGCTGAATGATTTCTGTGAGCAAATATGATGCATGGAATAGATATTGTGATTTTCGTGGATTGGATAAGTACAAAGTTTCACTAGTATTCCCGTGTATTATTTGTCAATGCACATAAAATAGCTTCCTAAACTGGTAATTATGGAAGACACGTTTGAGTGTTGACCTTATTTTTTGAATGCTTAAATTTACAGTGATAAGTTGTTCAAGGAGACAAGGGATCTCAACTTTGAAGTCGTTGTACAGGTTGACCTTTGCCCTTTTGGCTTGGATTCTGTGTGACATGGGATTCTGTTTCCTTATCTTCCAGATGCCGTATGATTGCAGGTTCTACGTCAGAAGGCAATGTCCATGAAGGAGGACTACACGGAAATTAATTCTGTACGTTTGTCGCTCTCCTCTTTTAGTAGACTTGATTTCATGGTAGAGGTGTACATACATATCGCCAGAGACTTATTTGGCACATTATTTGTTACCGACTTTAAATAGACCATGTTATGCCTTAGGAGAACTAATGATCAGCCTATTCATAAAGTTTACTGTTAGATTATTAGTTGTACCCAGATATCTAATGGGGTATGGTTATATAATGCTCAGACCCAGACAGTTTCCGAGCTAAAGGACTTTGTTAAGAAGCTTAACTCACTACCAGAGATGACAGTAAGTATTGACTTGTTTTCTTTATGTTCCTTTTCTTATATCTTGCAAACGTTCAGATCAAAATTTGTTCCAGTTTAACTTAATTGGTTATGATTTTTTCTTTCCCAGAGGCACATACATCTTGCCCAGCACCTAACGACGTTCACATCCAAGCAATCATTTCTTTCGCAACTTGATATGGAACAAACACTTGTTGAGGCAGAAAGTTATGACATGTAAGTTTCGTTTTAGAGAGACACTTCAATTGTATTTTAATACTTCCATTCAAGAAAATTGCATGATTCTTTCTATTACGAGGGATGTGAAAAACATTTTCCTTTGATGGCATAATGGTTACTAAAATCTATGATATTAATGATTATTACTAACTCTAGTTTTTAAAATGCAGATGCTATGAGTACATAGAAGAGATGATCCATAAACAGGAGCCTCTCACTAATGTCTTACGTCTATTAGTCTTATTTTCTGTTACAAACTCAGGGTTACCGAAGAAGCAATTTGATTATATAAGGCAAGTTAAGCTTCCTTCAGTCATTGTGTATCATATATTTCAATTTTCTGTTTTTTTAATCATATCTTGTCTTCGGGTCTCAACTTCCAGAATGGAAATACTCCACAGTTATGGGTTTGAGCATGTGGTTACATTGAACAACTTGGAAAAAGCAGGATTGTTGAAGAAGCAGGTTTGCTGATTCATGGCTTCCTTTTAGAATTGAATTTTCTTATATTCTATGGTTAGGTAAGTCTGTCATTCGAATGGCTTGGTGTACCTACGTTTGGTTTCTGCAGGAGTTTAAAAGCAACTGGCTGACAGTGAAACGTACACTGAAACTTATCGTAGAAGACACTGATACGTCTAGGTAATCTTCTTTTTAGTCATGCTGTCTCCTACTGAATACATGGTACTTCATTGACATGATTTTGTCAATGGGATAAAGCTTATGAAGTAGTTCAGATTTTTTGTCCAGAAATATGCAAACTTGATCTTGATAACAATATGTGACTTGAAAGCTCTTTTTCCACTGCTATTTTTGAAGATATCCCTCATAATCACTAATGCATGATCTAACGACAGCATTGATTAATGTCTCATATCAAAAATATGTGTAGAAATCTCTAATGCCCTTGAAAGCTCTTTTCAACGTGCAAGTTTTGTTGATTTGTGAATTGTGAGGACTCCCTCGTTCTCTAATGCATGATTTAGTATCATCACTGGCTGAATATTCAGATTTTATAGCATTAGTAATCTGTTTTCCTCCTTGTTTTTGGTATGGGATCATCTTCTTTTCCATTTGGTGCATTTTGCATTCATTCTGTTTCCAATAGTACTTATCTGATTTGCTAGGCCTTGCACCAACTTTTTCTAATCATAAATTGAAGTGCTTAAATCAGTTTGAGTTGTGAGGAAAATAAATTTCTTGTGCAGGCCTAATGATATCGCTTATGTCTATTCGGGATATGCTCCTCTTAGCATTCGTCTTATCCAACAAGCTATTCATTCTGGATGGTTAGTACGTTCTTGCTTTCTTAATTACCAAAAAAAAAATGTTGTTGCTTTCTTCTACCAAAAATTTTGCCTAGGTAGCCTGTAAATTTAGCACTTTGGCTTTCCTAAATAAGTATTAAACAATGAAGAAAAAGTCGAGAATCTGTTCAGTTTCAATTTGAGGAGCACTTAAGTGAAAGGGCAGATAAAAACTCAGCATAACGAACTCTTACTAAACCATATACGAATGAATAGGAGAAGTTTTTGTCTGCTTCCTTTGAGGCAAGAAAGAAATGCGCAAGTACCAAACAGAAACAACTTTACCATGTCTGTAAAATTGGAGTCTATCTGTCTATGATAAAGCAATATAACCTAAGTCACTTTCATGAATCATGATTGATTGAACAGTGTGGTTTATTGATGTCTCAATCTACCTTACAGGCGTCCTATAGAGGACATTTTGAAGCTGTTACCAGGACCGCATCTGGAGACTAAAAGAGTCAGTACACTTTCTCCTTAACCCAACTAGAGAAATACAAAATAAGACTTCCAGTTTTGTTATGCTAATGTATATTCTCTTTTCGACTATTTTTCGATTGCAAATATATCACTATGTACCTTCTTTGTGCAGAGTGGATTCCCAAGTAGTCCATCAGTTGATTCATTGCACAGAGCTTCAAATGGGTAAGTTTCTCATTAACAAATTAGTTTGCTACCACGAAGTAATTTCTATAAAATGATAAAATTGAATGATTGTAATGTGTGTGAGAGGTTTCATCTGAGACATGATTTCAGGGTTGCTGATGGAAGACGCTCAATTGTTCTTGTTGTCTTCATCGGTGGTGTAACATTTGCTGAAATCTCTGCTTTACGGTATCTCGCCTCTAAGGTATATTCAAACTTCAAAAGTTCATTATCAAAAGACACTCTTTTTATCCGCTGAATCCTCCAATCTTTGCTTCTGCATAATTTTTTTTCAGGAAGGAATGGCTTATGATATGATTATTGCCACAACAAAAATCGTCAACGGCGCAACGTTGATAGAAACATTCATGGAAAAACTAGGCTGATCCGTAAACAGAGCGTTATGTTTCATCTTTTCTCTTTCCAGTGTGTTTATTTGTTCATTTTTTGTATGTCTTTGTTTATTTTTCTGGATCTTTGTGGTTGCAGAGTGAATGGTATTCGAATGTTGTAGTGTATATTACATGAGTGAGAATGAGATACAGCGTGATTATACAAATTCTACAATCTTTTCTTGGTACATTTCACTTCAACTTCTGCTTATCATATTCGGCTTTACTTCTCCCTACCAAGCTTCGCAAATCCAAAGTGTGAAACATCTCACTTTATGATAGTTGAATACGAACAGCAAATAAAAGGGTTATTTTTATTTTTAAATATCAAATAAGATATACACAAATCTGCGTCGAAAATTACACATAACATCTTTACATAAGATTCTTTGTCAGACTTAATGCAAAGGTTCCTGTACATATAATCTACACTGAAACAAATAACATCCCACAAGATCGAGGCATTCATGGAACAGTAGGTACTGCAACACCTTCGGTTTGCTGAATGAGCTCCAACAAGCTCGCAGCTTTCCTCTTTGCTCTATCAGTTCCATTCTCAGTAAGTTCCTTCAAGGCTACATCTGCACCAACCTCTCTTGCTACATTTAGCCTTTCCATATTTCCAATACATAAATACCAAAGTATTGCCGCAGCATTTTCCCGGTTCCTTGGTGACCCTGTCCTTATTATCTCAACCAAAACTGGGATTGATTCTGCTTCAGCTATCGCTGCTTTCCCTTCTTGGTTAGTTGAAAGAATTGCCAAAATGGCCAGAGCCTCATCCACCATTCCTCCTCCTGCATCTTTCAGTAATCTGGTCAGAGGGTCAACAATACCGCCTTTAACCGCCCTTGATTTGTTCCCCTGGTAAATGCATAAATTGAAAATCGCTGTTGCAGCGTCTTTTTTGCCTCTTCGGGTTCCTTCCTCGAGCAAGCTTATAAGTGCTTGGATAGCTCCAGCAGCACCTATTGCCACTTTGTTTTCATCTATAACAGATAAACTGAAAAGGGTCGCAGCTGCGTTCTCTCTAGCCTCCATGCTTCCGTTTTTTAGTACTTCTACTATATCTGTTATGGCTCCTGCATCAACAATGGCTCCTTTGTTCCCTTCATTTATGGAAAGATTGAGAAGAGCGGTCACAGAATGTTCCTGAGTCCGAGGATCTGGTGAGGATAGAAGCTCTACAAGGAGTGGTATGGCTCCAGCTTCAGCAATACAAACTCTGTTATCCACGTTTCTCTTGGCTAGTAACCGTAATTCTCCAGCTGCAGCTCTTTGCTGTTCTGTAGTACCGTTGGCCAATTTCTCTAACAAGGAAAGGACAAATGTTCGATCACAATCTGAAGAGCTGCTTCCTCCGACTTTTGTGGTTCTGCAGCTCCCTTGATTTTGCGGTAGCTCAATGCCGTTGCTTTCACACCACAGAGCAATGAGACTCTTTAACACGTAATTAGGGGTTAATCCAGCATGTAAAAGTGTCTCCTGAGATTTCGGACAGGTTTTATGACCAGCATCAAGCCACTTCTGAATTGATGATCTTTCATATGTCTGCAAGGTCGAAAAATCAGTTATAACAACAAATACACAAGTGTATTAATCAAATTCACTACAATGGACAAGGAACTTGCAAAACCAAACCTGTCCAGTGGAGACGATAACAGGATCTTTCATCAGTTCAAGTGATATCGGACACCGAAAATACTCTGGTATAACAGGAGAACGATGTCTCGAAATGATTCGGTTGCCAGTGGATGGATCGGGGTCTGAACTTTCCATTGTTACAAAGTCTACCAGCTTTTTAAGAAGTGAGGACATCCTCTCGAAACAGTCATCAGGATCCCCATCATATGAAAGAAAATATTCATGTATTGCATGTGATTCTTTCTTCAGTTCATCAATGGTACTAAGTTGGAGCTCTTGTGAAAGTCTTTTGAGGATATTAGGGTCAGGATCCATTACATCCTCTGCCATGGCGAGATCATGGCTAAGCTGTAGATCAGATTCCTCCCGTCTTTCTTTTGCTCTCTTAAACTGAAAATGTAGAAGCTGAACCTACAAATTCAGTGAGCATGTCATTAGAATTCAGATTTAATCAACAGAAAATAAAGCCCTCGTCAAATCACAAAAACATATGCCGTGAGAATTACCTGTTCTCTGACTTCCTCTGATACTTCAATCTTATCATAAGGTATCTGACTTAATGCTGCTTCTATCTCCACTGTCATGTCGTGGAACTTCTGCACAAGAGAATCTCTATCGAAAATCTGCCATCAGAGTGAACACGAAAAGCGTCTCAACTTCTTGATTTCAGGTAAATTCTTGGAGATATAGAGACGATAGTTAGCTCACGCACAAAAAAACAAGACACGACATAAATCATCTATCACCAAAGCAATGACAAGTATGATCACCGTGTAATCCAGAGAAATAAAAGAACTTTTATAGTTCTTCAATTATGGCAGACTCAATTTTGGTCATAAAAACAAGATTATACCCAAATTCTTGATATTCTTAAAGACGACAAAGACAAACAACAAAACCCTAAACACCAAAATATTAAACCCTCGAAGGAAATTGCTAACTTTACCAGCTACCAAAGATATGCATATAAAACAGAGCTTAAGTAAATGAGTAACCTGAAAAAGCTTGCTGCCTCCATTAACCGATCGAAAAAGCTCAAGACTTGAATCAAGAGCGATTCTCATAACCTCAAACCCTGCAATTTGATCTTCCTTCAATTCAACATTAACGTCTATCAATTCCTCAAAGAAAGGGCTAAGAAGCGTGATCCTACGAACAAGATCGCCTTGGATCTTCCCGATGAAACCCCTTGAAGATGAAAACCCAGATATTTCTTTGACGGAGTCAACGAGTCGACTCATTAGCTCCTCGTGGGCACAATTCGTTAATCCCATCCCTTAGATTTTGCTGTCCAAAGCTTCTCAAAGGGTTTTAAAGAAACAAAGAGGAGGAAGACGAAACAAAAAAAAAAAAAAAAGAATTTTGGTTAATGGAGAACAGAAATGCTATGGAGCGAAATAGTCTTCTTCCACCAACGTGACAATAAACACCTATTTGGACATGGAAATTGGAAAGTCACATTTTGTCCATTTTCAGACCAATCATAATTTTCAATAAGTTTCTATTTTATATTGCCGTTTTTAATTTCATATTTAAACACTGGATTTAATTTCATACTCTCTCTGTTTCACAAAGAGTGTCATTTTAGAGTTTGATTTTTGTTTCACAAAGAGTGTCATTCTACCTTTTCAATGTGACTTTTACACAGAATTTCCTGATTTACCTTTAACTTAAAGCTACTTTTCATTGAATTTAAATCATTAATCACTTATTAAATAGGGGTATATATGTATAATTCAATGTTTTCTTAATTTGTGTGAAATGTGTTAAAATGACACTCTTTGTGAAACGGAGGGAGTATTTATTTCTTGCCTCAACTACACATTTATGATATTAAGGTTGACCAATACAAAAATATAGAGATTTTTTTATTGGCATTTGAAACCATCAAAAGTCAAAAGCTTTGTATAAAATGGATTTCTCTACCTGTAATAGTCTCTTTGAAATGGTTCTTGATTTGGTTTTTGTAGAATGGCTGCAACATTCTCTCCCACAAGGCCAGAACTACTATATATGCATTGGATCATGTTTTGTAGTAACCTTTACTCTTCTCCACTTCTGACGGAGCTGCATGGCATGAATCCGACTTAAATATCTACTACTTGATGATGATTCATTGCTTAATCACTTGGGTTTTCACTTTTGAGGTTCTTAATATATTCCCCAGTTTCAAACTCAAATCTTCACATTATACAACACACTTACCAGATAGATAAATATTGTTTTTAAAACATTACATTAAATGTATAAAAAGATTAGTAGTCTGAAAACGGGGTTTTTTGCTTCCCTCAAGATGAGATGATTCAACACTCCAATCATGACGAAGGAGCAGGACGAGGTAGCCTCTTGCCGATTTCCTATCAGACATGTGTACACTACAACAAGTTAATAATCTCATATACTTCAAATCAATCCTTTTTTCTACATCCAAAACTATTATTCTTCACAAAGAGCATGAGGACTATTGTTTGTATCACCAGGTTCTATAATTTCAACATGAAACACACTGATATCTTATTCAGCTCGTTATCGACAATTCTATGAACCTTTAAGTTTGTAACCATATAAACTGGAAGCCCGTAAGTAGCTAGGAAGAAAATAATAACAAAATCTAGCTGCATATTACTGCCTATCATCCATCTTTCATCCTCCAAATCCAAAGCAATGAAAGAAACGGATAACAAGAGCTCAATACATGCAGGCGACAAGACAATCGATCATAATCCAGAGGCAAGAAAGAAATGCACACCTCAAACAGTTGATTTATGTTATCGGCTGTCTTGGCTGACGTCTCAATAAAGAACATTCCGTTCTTCTCTGCAAGCTCTATCCCATCCTGTTAAGAAATTGAAAATGTTAAACCCACTGAAAAAACAAGGACAGTGCAAGTGAGTCACAACAAAATGCTCTACGGAATCTAGTTGAAGATGTTTACATAAACTCACCTCGGTTGGTACTTCTCTTTTCTCATGTAGATCAGCTTTGTTACCAACCAAAGCCATAACAATATCTGGGCTTCCATGCTTTTGCAGTTCCTGTAAGATTCAAGGGCAGGGGTAAAACAACAGCACTAAGATTTAATAATGTTGATATCTCTACCACATGGAGTTGTGCCAAATAGTTTCATGGTATTAACGCAGTGTGCAAATCAATGGGACAAAAATGTCAGAGAAGACAACAAGTTGCGAACAATCACATTTCGGTATCCTAATATATTGAGTAAAAATAACTGGGTTATATTTAGATACTTTGTTTCCTACATCTACTTTTTTGCATAAAGTGTGTTCATGCCTGTTTTAATTACAACAAAATAGCTACCAAGTTGGAGGAGTGAGAGTAGAATATTGAGACTAGCAGAATATCATGAAATTTTTGTCCCTTCTGAGCTATATACAGCTGGGTAAAATTAAAACTGGTATAGTTGTTCTACTCTTTAATGGTTGACAGATATAGGACTTAGGGAAAGTCAATGTTTCAGCCATTTAGATCCTATGGGTCCAAGGAATCAAATGGTTTAGTTTTAAACACTTTCTATGGCTATATGACTCTCCGCAGGTCAAATTTTCAGTCCTGGGAAAGATATAGCTCGGAAGCTATTGAATGAATCCTAAGAACATGAACGAAATGGAACCTTTTGAACCCCCTGAAAAACATACCTTAACCCAATACTGAGCTTTCTTGAACGATTCAGGACTTGTTATATCGTACACAATAACAGCAACTCCGGCTCCACGGTAGTATAGTGGTGCAAGAGCAGAATACCTAAAAATCAAGTGAATGCAGATTCAGTCCTAGTAAGCATGCAAAGCGTTTATCTAATAAAATAAGCAATACAAATCTGCATGAAGGGTTTAATACCTCTCTTGTCCTGCTGTATCCCATATTTCAAACTTCACTGTGGTAGAGTCTTGCAATGCTATTGTTTGGGACAAGAACGAGGCTCCAACAGTTACCTGATACATAACTATTAGTTTTGAGATTCAATGGCAGATAAGTATACTCTAATCGTCATTCACATGTCAGGTAACAGAGCATGGTGTTCTAAAAAAAGTGTCAGATGATCAATAAAGACAATTAGCTAACAAGGTTTTACTTACCTTAGATGTAGCGTCAAACTGACCACGGACAAATCGAAGGACAATACAGCTTTTACCAACACCAGAATCTCCTAATAGAACTAACTGCATTCAAGTGAATCCAAAAGTTAGAGGTAAGTCTTGCGCAAAGTGGAAACCAATTATACTACACTTGGCAAAATACTGCTGAGCACCAAGAAGAAAGGTGAAAGAAAAGGAAACATGTCCTTAACAGTAGCAAAAGAGTTTCAAATGTAGCTTGGTAAAGTAAAACCGTCAATTATTAAGAAGAAAATTCAGGTTTTTCTAATACCATTCTATAAAGAGTGTATCTTTCTTTAGAAAGCTCCACTAAAAGCTTCACTAGGCTTATCACATCTTACAACATGCGTGGTTTAAAATGTGAACAATCGAATATAAAGCAAAACCACAGATCACAAAAGCTTGAACTTTCTAATAAGCTATAAAAATTGCAATCTTCCATTGATGAATCACAGGAATCAGTGAAGAAACAAATCAATCTCAACGAGATCAACATTTCTTAAACGAGAGCAAAAACAAAAACTAAAAAAATCAAACCTTCACACGTAGATTTTTAGCATCAGCTGGAACAGCATTCTCTGAATTGCTAAGACCACTTAAAGCTCCAGAGTTCCTATCTGCTACACAAAACATAATCTCCAACAATCAATTCGGGTTCTCCAATTCTTCACAAGGAAACCCTAATCACTCCTCAAAATCCCCAATTTTTAAAAGCTTCTAATTCAACCCCGATGGTTACACCTTCTGAAAATTGATGGTGAAATTCCTCGAGGGTCTTTATAAATTCTCACTTTTATTCGAACAACGAGAACAAATTCAACAAAACTGAGAGAGAAAAAACGAAACTTGCCTGGAAGAGAAGTAGCACATCCCATAGCTTAGCCCTGAATAGATGATAATTGATGAGATTACAGCTGAGAGATCGTATCCAGGATTTGAGCGTCGATGGTAGCGAGTTCAAGAAGAAGAAGAACGATCGCCAAATAAAAATAAAAACTTTCGATTCTATGATTTTTATCGACCTTCCTTTTCCTTTGACTTTTTACCAACGATTATCGAGTTTTATTTTAAAGGTTCTTTATGAAGAAGCCTTTAACCAATTTTCAAAATATTTTTATATATGGATTTTTTTAAAATTCCACAAAGATATGAACATATATTATTACATCTATTATTTTAATAAATAACAGTCTGTAAATTTAGTGTAACCGTGGTGAGGAGAAAACTTCACATATTTAGCAAAAAATGCTTTGTGTTGATTAATTCACTAAACAACATTTTATGTAAATTTACTTCTTTTTTTTCATCTATATATATCATTGCTTAAATAGTATACATAAATAAAAACACAATTAATTAAAGAATACAATACATGGGTTTTATTCAATAAATAACCCAAGCATAGAGAAAAAAAAAAACAAATAGGTGAAATATACAAATACATATGCATACAAATTCATGAGATATTGTTAGGGTCTTCATTACTTTTATGGCTTAGGAATGGCTTTCTCTGTTGTAGAACAAAGTGTTGAATCTAAAGGAAGATTATTAATGTAGCGGCTAGGAGCCGAGTTGAAGCGAAATCCCTTTGGAAGACAATCGGTCATCGCTCCACCGTGAAATGCGCCTTGTTCGCTACCTTTTGTGTAAATTGTATTCGTGCTCATGTGGCCCGGATTATTGGATTCCAGTAAAGGTCTTGATGCACAGACAAAGTTTGTTCGTGGAGAAAAAAGAAACAGAAAGAGTAACATGAAGAAGGAAATGTAGCTCGGCATTTACTGAATTTAGCTATCAACCTTTGCTCTATAATTTCGTGTGTTCTTGTGAGGAAGATATATGCTCTATATATATGTGAGTTTGAGTGTGTGTTTGATTGTGATCTTTGTATTGATCAAGTTACGTAAGTGTATCCTTGCGTGGTCGGCTTTGAAATAGAACAACTCACAAAGAACACTTTTTTTATAATGCTCGTGCTTCTCATTACTCCAAACCTTCTCCAAACTTTGATTTTCCAAGTCATAATTCCACTATTCAATTTATTTCAACCTATTCGTTTTTTTGGAAGGAAAAAAATGACATGAGCAAAAGAGAACTATTTACATGCAAAAGTTGACAAAACAGACAGATTACATTAACAAAGAAAAACCTGAAATTAGCTAGAGATGGTTTAGTGCAAGCATACTTGCTTTAGTTTATCTAATACTACTTGGAATCGGTACGTATATAATTACCAAAAAAATTTTTAAATATTTTGTTCAATAGTAATAAAGGAAAAAAAAAAGATTATAACTGAAAGAAAAAATTATTTATGTCCGACGTGGATAATGAAAATAGTGGGAGAATCTAATTGTACACCTAATTGGATCCTAAAGGCTGGATCTTTGTTAAACGAAGCAAAAGTTGACACGTGTTAACTTAACCTCATGCAATTAGATCTTCTGTCTGGCACTACAACTACATAATCTGAGAGATCTAACAATGTACACCAATAAGAGAAGACCATGTGGATAATATTGACACGTCAAAGATTTTAATCTCATGTCTAATGTTGGTCCGTTCACCGGTTAGATGAGTGAGTTGTCCTGCCAAGTGCCAACGTGTCCCAATGTCTCGCTCACAAGCTTTCGATTGTATGCTTTTTGAGATATTTTGCTCGAGAAAAAATCTTTAAGAAATTCTATTTCAAATTTGCATCCAAATAATTGAAACTTCGTGACCTTAAAATCAAATTCATCGGTTGGCGCCTGGAAAGAGGATGGCATCGACTTATCAATGAAAAGAATTAACCATGGTTAGTAGGCCTGGGCACGAAGCGGATATCCGAAAAAATTGTGATATTTGTTATTCGATTCGTTTTAACCGAATACCTGATTTTGTGATTTGCTTTGATTCGAAAATTTCCGGATATCCGGAAATTCGAATATCCAGATTTTTTTGTGATATTTGCGGATATCCGCTTTGATAAATATAAATATTATAAAAATCTGTAAACTATATAACCATGCATATCAAATATTTAAAGTTTTTATTTAACATGCTTTCAAAATAAGTTCCAAATATCAAACATAACCGTTGTTGTTATCACCGGTCAACAAAATGTTATCAAACTAATTCCAAAAACCAAAACCCGATAGATTAAGATGTCATTGATCAAAACATAACTTGAAAGAAAAATGATCAAACAAACATCTTAACATAAAAACATAAGGTAGCAACAATACACAAACTATTTATGATATCTATATATAGACATAACTATATATTCTAATATATATCAAAAGATACGGATCGAAGCGGATATTCGACTTTTTAAAAAACAATATTTGTTATTTGCTTCGGTTTTTACGAATACTACATTTTCCTATTTGCTTTGGTCCAAAATCTTACGGATATTCGGATTTTTCGAATCGAATCAAATCGAATACCGAGTCGAAGCGGATCGAACGAATATTTTGAGCTGATATCTAAACTAAGGTCTACGTACGACCTGAATCCGTTAAGTCTTTATCTTATTTACATTCCTAAGATTTACTAACGAATAATCAGACACTATAATACAAAGAAGCTTCATAAAAATAATATAGCGATCGGTGTGTTTGTTTGCATGTGTCAATTAGCTTCTTAATTCTCTTAATTATCATCTTTTTTTGGTTTTATTAATTCTTATCATCTATTAACACAGATAACCATGTACCAGCATAGATCATGCACAAGTGTGAAATAATCTCAAACAACTAAGCACATGCTAAATCTACTCGAAAACTAATAATTCAAAATAACCATAAGAAATATATAAGAAAGCATGTGAGAATAATTTATATAGCTGGAAGCGGCGAATATAAAGAGATTAAAATGTGGGCATGTTCTTGAGTTGTGGTTTCGTGATGCGGTTGATGCATTGCCATTCTAACATAGCAAAATTCCAAATTATCAGAAAAAAACAGATCCACACACCATGTGATGTGGACGTGGTTCTTCCCTCGCCAATAGAGTTTTCTTTCACAAAATTGTTTTTTTTTTCTTTTTTAACCACACATTAAATAGAAACTTACTCTTTGAATGGGTTACCAATCAAGAGGATAAAATTTTACATCAAATTTTTCAGAACTTAACTAGAAGTTTTAGCTAATCAATCGGTCTCGAGATTACGAAAGCAAAAATATTTGAAAAAAGAAAAAAAACTTTTAACTCGAAACGAGCTATATTCATCGAAAAAGTTGGAGAAAACACTTCAACTGTTTAAGAGATTGCACCATGGAGACTAACTCTACACAATTTGTTTCGAAAACCTGACAATTTATCTTTTTTGAGAAAATATTCTTCATAGTTCGTATTCAAGCTTCCATCTCCGATTATAGAGGTGAGAGACATCTCCTATGACATTTAGCTCTTAAAATAACACATGTGCATTCCCTTGAACATAAATTCCTTCTTTTTAAAAAAAAAATATAATACGAATGTCTAAATCTTATAAGAATCTAATGTTTTAATTATTTTTCAATACTTAGTAATACTACTTATTGTTTCATATAATTATTATTATAAATAAGTTATTTTGGAGGAAATTGGGAAATTCTGTTTCATTACCATTTTGCACTTTTCATATAAAGAAGAAAATGAGAATATATTGTTTCATTTTATAACATATTATTTGCAAAATTTAAAACTAATAGATTTGTTTTGATACATATCAAAATATCCATTATTTCTCATATCCAATGAGATTATAAAAGGATAATGCCTTGATTTATTGAACTATAGTTACACACTTGACCTAACCATGGTTAACTCTGATATATATGAATGACTCACGTTTTAACGGCTCTTTGCATCTATACTTGTCCTCGACCGCGTTTGCCCTTTCACTCCCCTAGACTCCTACTTTCTCTGAATCAATTTTTTGTTTGTTTCTTGTGTAATTTAAAGATTCTCTGAAACCTTAATAGCATTCATAAACCGGATAAGGATCCATTGCGAGAAAATGAATCACTCAACTTCTGATCAAAGCCTCTACATCGAGAGTGATGAAGGAGATGACGAGAGAAAACACTTGTCCGAAGATGAAGACGACGATGGAACACTTTCTGATTCTTCTGACGCTTACAATCAAAACCAACATCTGTCTAAAGCTAGCCCATACTCAACGGCATGGCCAAAGAGTTATAGGTATATTATATATATCATGATTCTCTAATTTCTAACGTTTTGAATTTTGCTTCTTTATTATTTGTGTTTTATTCGTGTTAATATTTCAGGCAATCGATTGATATGTTTGGAAGTGTACCAATACCATCACCAAATTTGGGTTTTCTTGCTAATTCTTCAATGTCGAGAGTAGGAAGCTCTTTCTTGTCTTCGACACTGACAAGAAGACATACTCCAGAATCATTACCTTGTGTTACAAAACCTCTCCTAGAAGATGAAGAAGCACCAAAGCATAAACATAGCTCTCATTCCCTGCTTCCGTTGAAACCATCATCCATGGTGTCTCATGAAATGGCAATCTCCAATGATAGCTCGTTTGGACAGGCGGTTCTTAATGGTGAGTTTCATCACAACTACTTGGTTATGTTAATGTCACTAGCAGATTATTTTTTGTTACCATTGCAAGTTTTGATCAGCGTATAGGAAAATAAGAAAAAAATTGTCCTTAACTTTTTGTTTTATTCCAAAGTGATCACTTGAAGTTAGACTAATTGAATATGAAATCTAACACATTAGTTAATACATATGTAACACCAAAACTAATCTTACACTCTGTCCGCCAAAATAAAAAAACAGTTGTCTTTTTTTTAAAACAAAAGTTATCTACTAGAGACAACAGTGAACAGAAAAAAATCTGACAGGTTTTCTCTGTTCACTGACACAATGTAAAACCTTAATTAGTTAAAATTCTTTGAGTGATGACATACATGTGCAGGAGTGAATGTTTTATGTGGGGTTGGAATATTGTCAACACCATATGCTGTGAAGGAAGGAGGATGGTTGGGACTTATCATTCTCTTTGCATTTGGTATTCTTTGTTTTTACACCGGTTTGCTTTTGCGGTACTGCCTCGATAGCCACCCCGATGTCCAGACCTATCCTGATATTGGCCATGCCGCTTTTGGTTCCACCGGCCGCATCCTGGTCTCTGTAAGTAACAAAATTTTACTCATCAATACATTGTAAATTTGAGGTTTATTAGATATCACTTATGACAATAGTTTACAATTATCTTTCTTTTGATTGCAGGTAATACTCTATATGGAGCTATATGTAAGTACAACTTGCAATTCCTTCAATAATTTGCTCTATATTATATAAATAAAGACAAAAGACATTTTTCTAAATGAATCTCAAGTCAAAACAATGGACCACTTGTGGAGTAGACAACACCTTTGCCCAGGGTCCATAGTGTTTCCCTCTCTCTTGTTTCATATATGGAATAGTTGGTTTAAGTATAATAAAAATGTTGAAAATCATCAACCACACATTGGAATATTTGTCTAAAGAGGAATACTAAATGTTCCTATATGATAAAGTAACACAAAGTTTAATACATGTTCATTTTGCATGCAGGCTATGAGTGTTGAATACATAATTTTGGAAGGTGATAATCTTTCATCAATGTTTCCAAATGCTAGTCTAAGTATTGGAGGGTTTCACTTAGATGCGCCTCGTTTATTTGCTCTGCTTACCACCCTCGCTGTTCTCCCAACCGTTTGGCTTCGAGATCTCAGCGTACTAAGTTACATATCAGGTATAAAACATTCAATCTAAAGGGATCTTTTAAAGATTCCTTTTTCATATATATGAATCTTATCCTTAATTTTGCAGCTGGAGGGGTGATTGCATCAGTGTTGGTGGTTTTGTGCTTGTTTTGGGTTGGTTTGGTTGATGATGTTGGTATTCACAGCAAAGGAACTCCACTAAACCTCGCAACATTACCGGTTTCTGTAGGACTCTATGGTTATTGTTACTCAGGACATGGTGTTTTCCCAAATATTTATACTTCAATGGCCAAACCATCTCAGTTTCCTGCTGTTCTCTTGGCATCGTAAGCTTAATTATAAAGACATTACACAATTTTAGTAACCTCTACATTTTTTATCTTTTTCTGAAGTTTTCGATTTTTTTTTTTTTCACAGTTTTGGAATTTGTACTCTGATGTATGCGGGTGTGGCTGTAATGGGATATAGCATGTTTGGAGAATCAACAGAATCACAGTTTACTCTTAACCTGCCTCAAGATTTGGTTGCATCTAAGATTGCTTTGTGGACTACAGTAAGTTTTGTTATTTCACCTTTCCTCTACTTATTAATTTCTGTTTACTACATGAAAGTAGACAAAACACACTAGATTTGGTAGCTTTGGTGAGGTCATCTAAGAGTTTTTTTTTTTGGCCTTTTTTGCAGGTTGTTAATCCATTTACCAAATATCCTTTCTCAAGAAATATTCAGAGACTTTTCACTTATTTATGTAATGTTTCATAAGCTTATCCATAATATAAACTGAAAATTGTGTGGCCTTAATAGAAAGAAAGCACATATGCTTTGACATTATCTCCGGTTGCAATGAGTCTTGAGGAGTTAATACCATCAAACCATGGGAAGTCACGTTTCTACTCAATCGCCATTAGAAGTGCATTAGCCTTCTCTACTCTGCTCGTTGGTCTTGCGATTCCCTTCTTCGGTAAGGACACTCGAAAAATATACATGAACAAAAACAAGTGTCACTTCTGTTGACACTCAGAATTCTTGCAGGCCTTGTCATGTCATTGATTGGATCATTCTTGACAATGCTCATTGTAAGTTACATATTTGTTTCATCTTTTTCTGGTTATGTAAAGCAAATTCATATTTTGCAATTTCATAGATGAATTTGTTTAGCCTGAAAATTTTCTGGACACAGACGCTGATACTACCGCCAGCTTGTTTCTTGAGCATCTTAAGGAGAAAAGTAACCCCTACTCAGGTATGGCCTGCTCACTTCTTATAACCAAACCGAAAATCGAAATTCTTCAAATTTGAATCGAAGTAACTGATCTATGGTGTGTTTGTAGGTGACGATCTGTATCTTAATTATGACAGTAGGAGCAGTATGTTCAGTCATTGGCACATATTCAGCCCTTGCAGAGATCATTGAGAAGTTGAACACCTAAAACTGATCAATCTTGAGATTCTACTCATTTTGTTTCTCTTGCGATTGTTTTTGTCCTCAATCGATAGAACATCTCAATTTATATGGAACATTCCAAACACATAATTGTATCAAACTTCTTCTGCATTTAAACGTTACCAATCAGTGAACTACAAGAAACAATAATAAAACTGGAACATAAGGTGAAGTTTCGTTCCATAATGGTTAAGTAGCAAAAGCAAAAAAGAGCTCTCTTTATTCAGTAGACATCTTTCCTCCAGCTAAATCTTCAGGTGTAAGGTTAAGAGAATCCATGGATCCTCTCTTGAATTCTTCCCCTTGAGAAGCAAGAAAGTCCTCCACGCTTCCTGGTTCTCCAAACCAACCACGACGGTCTGCAATCAAATGAAGATTATCACACCCTCCACATCGTACCATCACAACGCCGTTTTCATATGATTCTCGGCTCGCCATCTTCATAGATCTTGTATCACAGACCTTGCAAGTGAAGACCATCATGAAATCATGCCTCGGGTTTACTTTCAACTGGGACTTGTACTTCACCATCAGTTCTTCAGAGGCCGTCGCAGGGGAGGGAACTTTGGCCGTTTCAGTAGCAGAGTTTGAAGAGTTGCAGACATTGGTTACTGGAGCTTCATTTGCCTCACGGATTACAGATAATTGTCTCTGAAATAATCTTCCATAAACATGATTTCTGCCGAAGAGTGAGTTTGATAGCGACAACTGCTCTGTTGAGACTATTTTCAACCAAAAAAAAAAGATAATCGAGAAAGATCAGTTTAACAGTAGTTGTAGTTGCACGCAGCTAAAACAGTCAGTACCATTACAGGACAACATAGGAACCTCCTAAGACAATATTTGCATCAAAGAGTAGATTTTAAACTTAAGTTTCATTATGTAAACAACACAACACATGAACGTATTGGTGAATGCATAGATTTACGCTTTTAAAGCAGTAAGAAAAGAGCGGTCGCAACTCACAAATGGAGTGCTTTCATAAGAGCTCAAAATCAAGAAGAAAAACAGGAAATACAAACAATGTTTAGATCTACAGATGCAGGTATTGGAACAGTAACTTAATCCATGCTAACTTAACCAGTATCTTGCTAAAAAGCAAATGTTCACAACCAATGCTCAATGCATAGATATATGTTCAAGACAAAGCACTTTTATAAGCATTCATAACTTCAGGTTTCGTAAGCTTTCTCAAACTCCAAAATGTAACAGAGCAAAGAAGATTATTAGATGATACACATGTGAATGCCCCAAATCCCTAAAAGCTACCAAAACAACCCTAAAACCAAAATCTCCCCCAAAACTACAACCTAACCTCACTATTTATACAAAATCACCTTATAGTGTAAAATCAAACATAAAAATCACAAATTGACATGATTCTCAACCAAATTCATCAAAAGAAACATCAAGGCAAGTATAAATAACACAGATTAAGCTACCAGTTTCACTCTAGTGCCCGAATTTTCATAAACTCTAAGTTTCGTAAAGAGGACAAAGTTGAAACCTTGCGACAAAGGAATTCGATGTTGTTGGTTACTGAAAAGAGACAAAGCGCGTCTCAAAGCAAGTAACCTAGCGGCCATTGACAACCTGAGGGAGAGGAACTCGACGCTTCTATTTTCCGTCAAATTTTGGAATCGGAATCCAAAAGAAGAAAACTAATAATTTTTTTTTTTTTTTTCAACTAGAAAACTAATAACTTTTTGTTTATTTATTAGACTAGTTTTCGTTGTGGTCAAGTAAAAATCTAAACCTAGGTTCGAACCAGTGAGCCACAAGTAGACCGACCTTTTTTATTGCTTTTTTTTTTCTTTCCAATACCGATATGTAAACATTTTACTTGAGGAAAAATAAAAAGAATTTTGTGAATTAAAATCTCATATAGAAAGAAAAAAAAAAATCTTAACAGGAGCAGGAGAATAATGTCTTGACTACAAATTAAATTTATAAATCATTTGGAAATTTTTAAAATCATTGAAAATTTTTTGCTTGATGAATAAGGAAAGAATTTAAGTTTTAAGAGATTCACTTCATAATTAGAATTTGACATTTCACAGTACTTTATACGTATTCCGCAAGACAAGAATTTGGTTCAAAATATATATATATATATATATATATCTATTGGTTCCCAAATTATCTCCCATATTACTATAAACGAAAAGTTATAAGTGAAAATGTGTACGATGATGCTTCCTTGTATTTTCATATGAAGGATGATTCAGACCTTACTTTTTAACATGAGGTTAGTTTGAAATTAGAGATTAGCTGGTCCATAGATTTCTGCCAAACCTATCTTCATCATCATGTGTTTCAAAAAATGCGCATGAACCACAAAGTTGTTAAAGTTTTCTTTTCGATGAGGTTGATGGCCACTTTATTTGACCTCTCGATGAGTCTTTTCCATCACCGTCCAATCCACTAACTACACTATGCCCAACAATATCAATGACATTACTTTCCCAACTACAAGGAACCACAACATAGTTTGATTGGAACTTGGAAGGTAATCTCATTGATGTGGAACCACACTATTCCACTTTTCACATGTAAATTTTACTTTCACGTGTAATTGTAAAGAAATACTTGGCACTTAAGTCGATCATAAGGAATTTAGTAGAGTAATAAATAGAGCAATATTATTAAGTCAAGGAGTAGAGACATAGATTTAATTATAGAAGTAGCAATTCAAAGTTGGTCCACAAGTGGCGTACACTTCAAAATCTCTCCTCACCAAAGCTAGAAACTAGATACTACACGTCACTTGGCTCCAACCGGTCTACATAAGATAAAACAAGCCTCTCTTATTATCTTCTCTTTTTTCTCTCTTTGATACTTGGGGAAGAGAAAATCAAAGTTAAACGTGAGGCTGGCTCCTGAAGGACCCGAGCGCCTTAATCGCACCAGCCCTCAACACAAACTGATGGTAGAAAGCCGCAATGGCTGCACCCGCAAACGGACCCACCCAGAATATCCACTGTTGTAATAATTAATAGGAAAACTTTAATAAATTATTGTAACTTTGTCGATTGGTAATATTGAAGACGAAGAAGTAAATATTTGATATATAGTAACGTACATGATGATCCCAAGCTTTGTCCTTGTTGTAGATGATTGCAGCTCCGAGACTTCTTGCAGGGTTAATGCCAGTGCCCGTGATTGGGATTGTAGCTAAGTGAACGATGAACACTGCAAATCCAATTGGTAAAGGAGCCAATACCTTCAATCACCACACCACCACCAACAACAACAAAATGAAATGTTACTAATCACGAGACAAATAGTGTATAGTACAACAAATATTCATATAGTAATGTTTGGGAGAAGTATACGTGGTTACAAACGAAGCTGGGACCATGTCCAAATAAAGGACATATCACATATGTGATGGAGAGAGACGTGAAAGACAAAAAAAGTTAGATCATCGATGTGTTTTAATTATGACATTTTATTATAATAACGAATCTAGAAACTACACTCGCAATATATCCGTGGCATATGTCGTACGGTCTATTTTTCTTTCTTAATTCGATTCTAAATATGAATTTCGAATTTAGTTTTGATTTTAGTAATTTTTTTTTGTCAAGAAGCATACATTATCTACGGCTAAATCTTTAATGATAAGTAGTGCGCCGTATAGGACACGGGTATTCTATTGTTTCCATTAATGCGATGAATTTCTAAATTATCTAACCATGACTAAATTTCTCTGTTGTCACATAATCATATCACATTCTATTAAAATAAATAATCAAAAGGGAAAAATAATGGGCTTACAGGGACGTGAGAGTCACGCGCACTCCTCTTGGGGTCAGTGGCAGAGAAGACGGTGTAGACTAAGACGAATGTACCTATGATCTCGGCGGCAACACCGGTGCCGATGCTATAACCATCCGAGAGACCGTTTGCGCCGCCACCGTAGCGGGTGTAGTAAGCAGACTGGAATGACTTGACCAAAGCCACACCACAAATAGCACCGAGGCACTGAGCCACCATGTACATCACTGCTCTCAACAACGTTACTTTCCGAGCCAATAACAGCCCAAAAGTCACGGCCGGATTAATATGGCCACCTGTTTCATTTAAATACGTTGAACCAAAACATTTATGTAAGCATTAAAACCAAACCAAACTACGTTTGAATTTTAGATATCTCAAAACCCATAAAACAAAACCAAAAAAGAACCCGATATTCATGTTTTCTTTAATGTTGTCACAAACCGAATTCATGTTTTGTTAGTCACTTCTGATTACATTTTCCAATCAAGATAGCGAAAAAATCCTTAGAAAAAAAAGATAGCAAAAGAGCTTTATAATTTGTAGTAAATTAAGTATAGCAAGTTCTGTTTTGAGCTAATAACTTAACAAGTGTGACACTTAAGGAGTATATAGATGAAAATTAAAAAAAAACCTACTATACTAAAAGAGAAAAAGAGAGATCAGACCAGAGATGCCGGCGGTGCAGTAGACGAGGATGAAGATCATGCCACCAAAGGCCCATGCGATACCAAGGACGCCAACGCCTGCACACTGGTCAGGATTCAGGGCTTGATCGGTCTGGCTCTTGTAACCAATGACAGTCATAACGGTGACATAGAGGAAGAGGAGAGTGGCTATGAACTCAGCGATGAGAGCTCTGTAGAAAGACCACTTCCCAAGCTCAGTAGCATCGAACAGAGGCTCAGGCGGTGGGTCTTGATAGTCTTTCCCGGAGAAAGATCTCTTATCTCCAACCACTTCCTTCGTCATTGTCTTCTTATTCTTCACCAAACTTAAGAGTATGTCTCGGTTATCTTAAAGATATATTCGAAAGTGAGAAAGTGAGAGAGCGAGAGAGAGATATGAGAGAATTGATGTGGTGAGATGGTAAGTCGGTGAAGGGTATTTATGGGCAGATGTGACGAGGCTTTGGACTCTGTTTAATTTACTTTTTTTTTTTTGGTTGTTAGTTGTTGTTAATGAAATGATCATTTTACATAGTTTTTTAAGGTTTTGGAATGATGGCAACCGACTGAGGTGATTAATTTTCTGTAGATTAGACTGTTTTTTTTTTTTATATATTATTTATAAGTTTTGGTATTTTGTGGAGAGGACAAACAATGTTTTGGCTAATAATGCTTGAAGCTTTTATGATGAATATATTTTTAAGGGAAAGATTTCAAGTTGTTTGCTACAAATTACATGTGTAATTCATTAATTAAGTTAAACAAATATTTAACGGGAACTCTTAGTGTGGTGGTTGCAATATTCAAGCTATCCATTCATTACAATCATGGGCTCAAAGCCGACTCTTTGACAATGGGGTTAAAATAATGTTGTAAAGAAGAAAACACGAGAGCAAAGGCCAGCTTGAGAATCCAAAATAATAATTCGACGAATAACATGTGTCCATCATTGCCCATTTTGAAAATCGATCGAATAAGGTTTTGAGTTCTTCAAACTTTAGCATTTCATACGGATTTCTTTTCCATGATTTTGAGATATTTTATAAAAATAATATACCATGTATTAATGATGTTTTTCTCTTAAATTGATGGTTAAATGTATTTAATTTATCATCTGTAGCTCTGTTGCCGTTGCATATACATACTATAAGAATAAGACCTTCCAAAAAAACACGTTAACTAATCTTCTTGGTCTTCCTTAATCCAAAATAAAATGTTTACTAATACAGGCATGGACAGAAACAAAATCTAAGTAAAAATATTTGTGATGATTTGTAAGTTTTAACATAAGAATCTCATAATAGATATAGATAGTAGAGTCGGCACTCAGCAAACTAGATATGAATAAAGAGTGATGAGAGGCCACCAAATGTTTACTACTTTCATTTTTAACGACTCACTTTAGAGTTTGGAGGTATCAATATAAGGTAGTATATGTTATTTATTGATAGTTTCACAACAAAAGGAACTAGTACCAAACCCTAAATAATACAGAGTTTTCCATTTAGCTGTTTCCAAAAAAAGTTGGTACTCTATAACTAGGTGGACCAAGTATTTGAGAGCTTCATGCCGACTATTTAGTTGATATATATAGACAAAAAGAGCTTCTAGAATCTAAAAAAATTGGGTATTCATTCAGATTAGCATGCCCTCTTCAACTTTTCAACTTTTAGAATCTTCGTAACATATACTGATTTTATGTTGATCACTGGGTATATTTGAAGTGATAAACAAAAAAAAAGACCAGTTTTTTTTTGTCTCAGAAGTTACATAAATTTTGGCTAAATATTTTATCTGATTAGAAAAAGATGAATATGACAACACAAAAGTGATGGTAAATAACGAAGAAAATGCACATGTTCAAAACTAGGGAGGATGGCAGAGGGGTAAGGTGGGTTCTTGTTATCTTTCACCGACCCAACTTGACTTTTGCAGCTTTGCCTTGTTCTGTTTTTGTTTCTAATGTTTTTCTTCCGCTTGCCCAAAGATTTTAAAGTCTAAGATGTCCTGATTTTAAAGTCTAAGATGTCCTTTATTTTTTTGTACATCGTAGTCATTTTTTTTCCTACATTAATCCTTTTCACTAGTAACTTTAACTTTCTTAATAGTGAACTTCTGTTTTTTTGCCGCCCACTTGGGACTAGGCTCGTCAGCACCACAACTAACATAGTTCTTTGTTTATTTCTTTTGGATTGTTAAAACCAATTTGCTCCTAATTTATCAGCGTGGTAATCTGAATTATTCCTCTTTTACTAGGAAGTATATTTAAAAAGGTTTTTGATCTGTTCCCGTGAATGCCCCAGTTGCCCACTTTATGTTTTCACATTTTTTCTTTTTACGTTAAAAAGTTAATCAGAAATGTAAATTCAACTTTCTCTCTTTGATTTTGGATTATTCAAATAATTCTTCTGTAAAGTAAATAAATATATGTGGTAGTTTGTCATTGTAGCAAATAAGTTGATTCCAAAACATAAAAATTGTAGACCACTCGATGGATCTCTGTGGCGTGTCTTTCTTATACCTTTAGTAGGCCAAACAGCAATGGTTAAAACATAAATTAGGAAAATTGTAATGATGTGACGAAAAAATAATTTTTTACTACTTTATCTTTTGTTTTAATTATTAGGAAATATAATTTTCTTTTGTAACACTATGTACTAATGTTACCTCCACGACCACTTGGTTACACAATTTATTCATCGCGATCAAAATTATATGTTTTTTCTCGTGCAGTGGTGGTCTATTCTGATACCAATAGGCTTGTTAGGAAAATGAGGAATACAAAGAAAATGTATAAACAAAAACTATAGAGCATAGATAAAACAGTAAAGAAAAATACTACGTGGGCCGATACTGGGACGTTACTGGGCCTAATAGTATTTAACCAAGACAAAAGTGTTGGGTCTTGATTCCTGAGTGATTGTGTTGATCGAATTGAGTGAAAGTGACGACGACAAGAGAAGGTACGTCAAACAGCATAAGGGTTTTGATTTATTTTCTAAGAAAACATTGTTTTTTTAATTAATAATCAAAAATATAATTTTACATTCCTTCAGATAATATTCAACGTATTAACGCCAAGTGTCGGATTTCATTCTGTACATTGACACGAGTGACTATGTTCCACGACTCAAATAACGATTATATGCATAAGATTGGTATTTTGAATAGGACCTGTTGTCAACAAGCAAGTTTGATGGATCAGTGTGAGATTTAGTCAGATCTTTACAGTGTCGTCGGAATATTAAATTCTGATTTAACAGGTTAATCTTGCATAAGACTGGTATTTTGAATATATATATTTTTTTGTTCTATTCTTTTTTATATCTTTTTTAATTCCCTTAAAACATTCTACTCTAGGCAAAAATTCGGCAATGTAGTAGAATTCGCCTCAATTTTTCATGTTTTAGGGAATTCTCGGATTTTGACTTCTGCAGAATTATGTAAACATATGTAAGTCTACTTTGAACCCAAAAAAAAAGAAAGGATATGTCTATTGTAAATACATGTAATGTGTTAGGCCAAGACCCAACTTCGACCATTGAACATATCCAGTAAGAAAATGTCATAATTAAAAGACAAAAAGAGAAAGAAAAAAACTTGTTCGGTAAAACCATCAAAATCGTGAATGAAAGAAGATATGTTGTCCAATCGAGTTGGTTATTTGTGCATCGACGAATACAAAAGCATCCTTATTTTGTCCAGTATTTATCTGACGACTCTTAAGTCCTCTTTATGGTCTGAAAATAAAATTATGAGAATGCAACAAGTGTAAGTTTTTGAAAAAAAAATCATTCGCTCGTTGCTATATAAATGCTCAGCAAATTTAATATGCTGAAAAAATAGTTTCAGTAATTATGAAAGAATAAGAATTGAGTGAGTTTTGAAAGAAAAGAAGGTTGGTAAATTAAGAAACACTCTAACTTAAATTGGCATCATAGATGGGTGGATTTACATAAAAGCTAGTCTTTGTTAGAAAAAGATAGTGGTTGTTACTCTATCTCTCATCTCCCATTTAAGTTTACATTATTGCTTATATCATAAAACCACTGATTTAAACACGCCACTAACTCTAAACTTGACCATAATACCTTTAAGAAACTAGAAACCTTTTCAATCTATGTTAGACTTGAATCAGCCAGTAATATTAATATGCCAATGTCATTTTAGACATGTATTTATCTTGTCGGCAAAAAAAAAAATGTATTTAGCATTGTGTAGTTTCAATGGTAAGGAAACCATTTAATAATTAACAATTTATAACATTGGATTTTAACAAAAACAAAAAGAAAGAAAGAATTCTTTAGCTAAACAAATCAACTACAAAAAAAAAAAAAGAAGAGAATCCTCACAAGAAAAATACAAAGAATTGAAAGAACAAAAGAAGGAGAGGAAGATTTAATGTAATACTCAACACCTAATGATTCTCTAATGTCTTCAAAATCTTCTGCTCTTCCTCAACTTACTTTTCCTCTGTTTCAAGAGTTTTTGCCCATTCACACTAAAAATACAAAATACAAACACAATCAATTCTCATCTAAGTTTTTAATCCCCCAATTGATTGTTCTCTTCATTCATCTCTTCTAAAGCTAAAACTTTTCTGCTCACTGACTCTTTCCTACTCCTGGCATATCTAATCACTTCAACGCATGGAAATCGAATCATCTTTTCTCGGTTTTAGTCTACGCCAATGTAGGCATTGTTCGGAATCAGTCCTTGCAGATCATTCTCTTCGGTTATGTAGCTACCATCACTGCATCTCTTGCTTCTCATTTCAGCCACTTTCTTGTGTGAGTTTGAGTGAAGAGCTGGAGTAAATGTTGGACTCGCAGCTGGACGGTACTCCGGGAAAAGCCTCCCTGATTTGTAACGCACACCGCACGCATTGCAAAGCGTCTTTGGACCCATTGGCCCAAGCCTCCACTGTGGAGTCTTGGTGACTTCACAGTGCATACATTTCCTTTGCTCTGAAGAATACGAATCGACGTTGTTTCCATTGACTTCAAGATCAATCCCGGACGAAGAAGAGGAAGAAGTAATCTTCGCCTTCTTCTTCTTCTTCTTATTGATCATCTTGTTGTGATCAGAGAGAAACTGTTTTGGAATTCTAATAATGAGGCGAGAGTCCCCACCGCACACATTGTCTTTGACTCTATCTTTATCCTGGACCGGTGGACGAGGGCGTTTTGTGCGTGGACGACCGTGCTTTCCAGGGAGAACAAGAGAGGTTGTGTTGATGGTTTGGGACGAGGAGGAGCTGCTTTCGAGAACCGACACTGGACTTGAGCTCCTGAATTGGCTATGAGAAGATGATGAATCCGTGTTTGTCGAAAACGAATCTTCCTTCTTCTCAACCAAGGTTTCCTCTACAAAGGTTGGTGGTCTTTCCACCTTAACAATGTCCTCAAACTGTAATTTCACCCAAATAAAAGAAACATTGTTAGACAAAATAATTAGGTAAAAAAGGATTTCATTTAACTAATAAAACAGAAACTTTTGATATGGTAAAATCAGGTAACAAAGGCAAAAACAGAACAAAGAAGAATGCGTATGTTAGCATAAAACTAACCAAATAATGAGCGGGAAATTAACTAAAAACCACCCAAAATGACAAGAGTTTCCATTTATTATACTCATTGAACTTGTGATTAAATGTGTCACTGGTAAAATCATACGAATTGGCTAAGAAGAGGGCGTAGAACTAACCGGAACATAGAGCTCAGGTGATGAATCAGAGTTGGTGTTGGAAGAGAAGAGAGGATCAGAAGCGGCGGGCCACGTGTCGTGATGAGTGGTCCAGATTGTAGGAAAAGAGTCGGAGTCACCTATGCCGAAACCGACATCGATATCTCCACCGGGAAAGTCCATGAGATCATCCATGTTGTCGAAGAAGTTGCCACAATCAAGATCCTCCGGGAAGCTTTGTCCAATCATCTTTTACAATTATTGCAACTCTAGCTGGATATAAGAAAGAATAAATAATGAGAGATGGGCTAATGAAATAAATAATACAGAGGAAAATGACAAGAGTTTGAACAGAGGAAGTTTCTGAAAAAAGTTTTGAAAATTTGAACCAAATTTTGGAACCACCTTAAAAATCAAAAATTTGAAAAATATGAACATTCTTTGGCCCACCTTTTTTGATTTTTTTTTTTTTTGATAAGGCTTAGTAATAATGAGGACCATTCTATGTACAATTCAATCACAGTAGACTAAAGGGTTCTAAAAGTCAAAAGTCACCGTTAATTTAGCATTCTTGATTTATCTATCTATCTTCTAGAATTCTTGTGTGAAAACACAAAAATTTCAGTTACAAAAAACATTGTGTTAAACAAAACCAAATTCAGAACAATTGGTTAGAAATAAATGCCTCCACCGACACTTCTTGAATTATGCAAAAACTCAATTTTGAACATCAAGATTCCTAAAAACCCATTACAATTCCCAAGAATTTCCCAAGAAAAGCAAAGCCAAAAATGAAGAATGAGAAGGAGGAAATCAAACCTCTGTTGTTCTTAGTGGTGTGCAGATCGTATGAGAGAGAGAGAGAAAAAGAATCAAATTTGAGAATATAAGAAGAGAGAAGGAGAGAGAGAGATTGCTTAGAAAGGAAAAAAAAGGAGTAAGGAGTGGGGAGAAGTGAAGAGTGATTGATTGGGAAAAAAATGAGTAATGGAGAGCAATGGGGTTTGCTTGCTTCTCTCTTATTATTATAAAGAGTTAGGTGTGAGAAACACTTCTTTTGCTAGCTGTATTTTACCATTCCTTACCCTGTCTTCATGTGGAAGTCTCTTTCCTTCTCTCTCTCTCTAAAATAAACATTTCAATAATCATAAGAAATCTCACCTCCCTCATGTGGGTTCCATATCTCATTGAGACTTTACCAAAGATGATTTATTCACAAACCTTGCTTAGCTGTACAAAAGTTGTTTTTGTTTTGCAAAAAGCAATGGTTTAAGTAAAACTTATTAAAGAGAAAAAAATTGTTTAAATTAAAGTTACATACATATCTTCTCATCTATACTTTTATGTTTTCAACAAAGCTTATTTGTGTATTGTAAAGCAAGATTAAAAAAAATATCCAAAAAATTGTCATTTAAGTAAAGAGAGGTGACGTAATTAGCAGAGTAAATAGGATTTTTATTTTCTTAGTTAAAAAGTTAAAAGATTCTAGAATTGTTTAACGCGTATAAGTCTAGTCATATATGGTTTTGCTCCTACCGTATATGAAAGTCAATGAGATAATGGGAAGGTGAAATGGCACCAAGGAGATATACGACGTTTACGCGTACATGTAATTCCAATTTCTTTTTTTTTGGTATCAATTCCAATATTTTATTGATATGGGATTTTTATAATTTTCTTCTTTTTTTGCTAGTTTTCTTCCCATTGTTTTTGCCTCTCTTTAGACTACGTGTTGCAAAGTAAAAGTATAGACTTTTTCCAAATACATGTTACCATTTTTATTTGTTAAACTACATAAAAGATTAAAAGCCTATTATTCATAGGCTTAAGCTTAAGGAAACATGACTCCACTCTGTATCTTCTTTTGTTTTACTACACAAAAAAAAAGCTTCTACGTTTTTTTTTATTAAAGTGATAAATACTAACTAGACATCACGCCTTCACGGTTACAATGATATATTTTCTTATAGTTTCTATTTTTTTAGTATATTACAATTCATTTGTCTCCATCAAGAGCAAAAATATTCTTTGTGAGTTTTAAACCAAATAAAAAAATTTCATGGAGTTTTTGCCCTCGGAAAAATTTTTCTTGCTTAAGTCGCAAAGAAAATTATATCTTTCATATCTAAACTCTGGCCTTAAAAATTTTCTAATAATATTTAACTTAATTACTAATTAAGTATATCAGTGAAGTTTTAACAAATTTAAATTAGTTTTTTTTTTAACTTAGTTTTCATTAGTTAGCTAAAAAGTCAGGCAATATATAGATGAACTAAAGTAAACCCTATAGTGATGGGTTGATCATTTTCTTGTTAAGATATCTTGAAAATTAATAAAGTGGTAATAAAATGATCTAATCATTTTTTTCTGGTACATATGCATCATAAGAATTTTTTTCTAAGTTTCTAGTCTTACTGAACAATGATGATATACCAAATCATAAAAATAAATGGATAAACTTGATTAGGTTAACAAAAAAAAAATTAATATAATAGATTATGGAGAACACTGTACGCAGTCACCAAAAATCGAAGACACAATGAATTCAAATCCAAAGAACTCCACATTTTTAGACATATCCAATGAGTTTTCCTTTGAGATTATCTTCTATATCACCATTTTCTTAAGCTAACTTCAACAATACTCTTAGCTTCCTTACTTCAAACACACTCTTTCCTAAAGAAATAAAAATTAAAAATAAAACAACATGATCGACCTATTTAATTTAATGCTGATTTTCTAAGGCTCTACTTTTTCACTTTCTTTCTTTTATTTTTTCTTCCTTTTTAGTATATATTTTCAGTAACTAACTTGGACCTCACTCCATACACGATCACTTTCTTCTGAAAGAGTTCTCCCCATTACTCTCCAAATGACAAAAATCTATATATGTATGTATATGTAGGTGCTATTTTTCTTAAAATTATAAACATATAAAAAGTCATGTACTATGTGTGTATATACATATATTACATTTCGTCAATGGTTGTATGTTGAGATCACTTCATGTATTATAGCAAAATAAAGTATTATTCTTTTTTATTTAATGTCATGGTTATTATGCTATGAAAGTTTTTGAACCTCGGCCTATGGTTGGGGCCAAAAATGTTCGTATAACTTCCGGCATAAAAAGAAAAGGCTTTCTCTTATGTGTGTCGTCGATCATTAAACTTAAATTGATTAAGACATCTCAACAAATATTGATTAAAACGAGTAGATTTATGTAGGAAACCTTAGTTTCTCTAACCAAATAAATTTTAGGTCCAATAAAAATAACTCAAGCGCATGTATGACATTGATCTAAATTGTTTACGAAACGCTATATATGAGTTTGGTAAGACTTCTGCTTTAAACTGAACATATTTTAAATCATATAAAAATAGAAAATATTAAATCCAAATTAATTGAAGAACTAAAACCTTAACTTTATATACTAGCTTAATTTTACGCTTTGTATTAGAAAAAGGCTAAACTCCTCAAAAGATTTCTTTCCATGATCTCAACAAGTACATGACTAAATAAAGTTACACTTAAATGTGTCCACATATACAAATATAATAAATGAAAAAAATTAAATTGCCACCACCTCTAAGGCTCTATCACAAGAGTAATACAAATCCGTGACACATAATTTATAGTTATAGTAATAATGATACAGAAATGTTGGCGGGGTAGGGGGTGGTAGTAAATTATAAACATTTTTTTTTGGTACGGTTGACCGTATTGATAACGTATAATATACGATATGCGACCGTATGCGTATCTAGTCGGTGGTGGATTAGCATGTGCACATAGAAGAGGTGAGAGGGCGCGGGTGACTTGCGAGCAAGTAAGAGCCCATGTTTTCGTTAGGACCCACTCTTGTCTAAAATACGTGACAAGATACGATTTTATAAAAACTGTTATACGTGTTATTTGATTAATTAAAACAAAGGAAGATTAAGTAGAAGATGCACCATTTGAAATAATAACATCATTCAGCAATCACGTGGTTTTGCCTAGGGATCGGTTCTCTTCTTTCTGACAAATGAATATTTCTAACTGGAACGAATGGGAATCGAACACGTGGCCAACAATCTCCACGTTAGATCATGTGACGGTGTGGGTCCTGGTAGTGTGCGAACTCTACTAGCTCTTGGGGAAGGAAGGACTCACTTCGGCGTACGAATATATAAAAATCTCTAACCCAACAAGTCCTAGGATCAACAACGGATCGATTCAATTATTCACTAACTCTATAATAATCATCCACATGCACTGCTTTTTTTTTTGGAATACACAATGTTTTTTTTCCATTATCTATCCGATTTATATTTGTATATATTCATTTATTTGATGTGATTTGGACTATTCATGAACCTCTGAGTTTTGGTGTATAAAGCAGTTTGTCAGCAATTCTTCACATGGTATTTCAACTAAAGACACCAAATTACATACCTTTTTTTTTTTGGTCTAAACCAAAATCATTATTTTTAAAAAAAAAGTGGTTTAGGCTATCGTCCCTTCAACTTGGAATTACTAGCTTAAGAAGATAAGACTCATGTCAAGTACTTTAGTCAAAAAAATTTAGTTTTTGAAAATCATACTGATTAAGATAAAATTGGATTCGGCCGGATTCACTGTTATATATTATTTACTTTTGTTTATAATATATGATATGCGGATTCAAATTTTGGATGGTTGATACAACAACATTAACGTAAATCATTAGATTATTTAACTTATGTTCAAAATATGTTTGAATATATTCAAATTATTATGATTGTAAATAAAATAGTCGAAGATCTAATATGTGTTGATATTTCTGAGATAATATTGCATCATACAATTACAACCTGTTTAGTCTTAAGAATATTTGGACTACAAGCCAAAAAAAGGGAAAACAATTGATTTTTGGAAGAAAAAAATAAAAGTTTAAACATGTTGAATCGAACTCTCCACATATTATTTCCCATGTAAATCGACATCAGCCAACTAAGCTAAGTAAAATTTGGTAACAGTAGTAGTTCATTACTGAAATAGTCACTAATAATATTATCAGCGGAAGACAATTTACTGGATTGTTTTGAGTATAAAATATTCAATGTTTTTACTTATGAAACATGATATATAGTTCGCGACGGTGTCACGGTGATGGAAATTTCTCACCATTTTTGCTGATAGAGCTATTTTAACGTGATGTTAGTTACAATATTTCACCACATAATCGCAACTAGTGATAGCTTACCTGTCATCAAATTTTCATAGATTTCTTTCCTTTTGAGTTGGTGGAAGAATGAAAATAAATATTTATGGTGCATTGCTTATTTTTGATCTTTCATACTAATATATGTTCTAGCTCGAGGTTTAGTTGTATCCATATATTTCGTTCATTAATATTTAGGTTTATTCGTATGCTTTGGAGCATTTAGGGAACATACATATGTATTATTTCTCTATGAAAGGTTGAGAGCACGTTTGAGAATGACACCAAAATTTTTGAGGAAAATATTAATAAATTCAAAACCACTCGATAAAAAAAGAAAGAGCCTATGAGCGAACCCCGACGTGAAAATTAAGAAAATATAAATCGTTGACAACCCTTAATAGTGTTGAGTCGAGTGTCGAAATTCTTAGAATGGTACTTTGACGTTATATCACGTGCAAAACAAAGGAATCATGAAAATATGTGAATAAAACAAAAAACACAAACTCTTTAGCAATGTGGATTCTCGATCTGTTACCAATCTGATGAATGTAGCCAATTAGCCATGTAGGTAAATAGATAAGCAAGCAAAACAGCAAACCAAAAGTAACACAAAATATATTTCCCTTTAACAAAAAAGAAACACAGTATATATATCATATTCAAGTACTCAGCAATTTGATAAATCATAAATGTAGGTATGGATAGAAAGTAGAAACACTTGTACTCACCTTACCAACAATTCATTTTAAATATTTCATATTCGTTGTTTATTTTTAAATTATTTATTCGCCTAAATCTCTCTATTATCTCTTCTATAATATATGACGGCATCCAAATTCTTGAATCAATTAAAATAATATTAATATATTTAAAAGCATGAGAAATTATAATAAATGATTTATGCTTTCCCAACAAGAGTTAAATTACATGGTCTGTTCGTCATGCATGTGGGAAATGTATAGGCTCACGGACCCAAAACATCCTAATCATAAAAAAAAATAAGTTGAAAATAAATGATTTTTAGTACATACAAAAAGTTGCTAAACACAATTCAATCTTGTGATTTTTATTTTGACACTTGCAGTGTACAATTATGTATCCACCGGCGCTATTGGACGTGAAGGTTTGTCTTTGTGTTTTTCAACACGTAGTTAATATGTTCACATCTTATTTATATGCTCTATCTGGAGTTCGTTTGATTCATTCGGAATGTGAATGCTTTGTTTTTGGGATTACTGGACTTTTCTCTATGCGGGTATGTAAATATATACTGAATTTTAAACGTTATAGGGTTTGTAATCTGTGAATGGTTTAGTGTTTGACTAAATGATTAAATTGATTCTATAACATGCCTAGAGTTTAATTTTTATAGAGACTCAACTTCTTGATAGTTGTGGTCGCAACATTTCTGATGTCATTAGCATGCGAAAGGTGGATTTATATGTCGTTGTTTCGAGTGAATCTGTGCTATAAGAACTTATATATACGACTGGTAAGAACTGGTATAGTTACAGAAGCTCAGAAAATAAGTATGTAATGTTGTAAGAAATTTAGCTAATGATATATAGTCAAAATATATTATTTTAAAGAAAGAAATAGAATAAACCAATAGTGTTTTTGACGTGGAAAAGAAAAAGGCAAAGGAAAAATAAGGTAAAAACTAGGAAAACAAAACAGAAGAATAGTTAGAGAGATGTGTCGGTGCCGACAGTTGAACCGGAGAAACCTGTAACCCACTGAAAGAGACTCCTTTGCTTTCGGAGGCACGCAACGCTATTCAACCCCACAGTTTCTTATTCATTAATCACACTCACTCACTCTAATAATATTTTGTAGTCCCAGAATTCCAATATTAAAAAGTTAATATTTAGTTGGTTCAGTGATCGAAAGAAATGTATTTAATTTAGTACAAAATCAACTATGGTAATGTCCAACGTTTTAGTACATATCGGACCACTTATCGTCTTTGTTATTTGATTGTACAGAACCTAGTATCAAATAGGGTTTAAAGGAAATTCAGAGGAAGATCTGTTAAGTGTTTCGCAAGTAACTAGTCGTTCCTCTGATTTTTTTTTTTTTTTTTTTTTTGCAAAATGAAGCACTCCTGTGGACTTTCATGTCTTATCAACAAGTTTATTTATTCAATCTTGGATCAGATAACACAGAGAACCAAACTACTGATCCTGACTATACAACAGTTTGAGTGTGAAAACGAGTTGACATAACAAGAAACACAGTAAAAAACCACAGCTTTTACAAAGAAACAAAAATATCGAAAATATCCTCTGCTCCTGCAATATTGTTTGTTCTTAGGGATGTCTCATCTTTCTTTTACAGATTTTGAGACATCAAGATAATTGAGCCGACATGTTCCTAGTAACAGTTCTGGTAGTTCCTCTGCTGTATTTGCCTGATGCGTGTTAAAAACATTGAAAAATGATCATTATTATCTGATTCATAATCTGAACAAAAGATCTTACAATTGGAAAACTTAAACCAGTGTTCTGTTTTTGCTTACCTGTATCAAAAATGCCATTTCTATAACCAAATTGTTGAGATATCCAAGAACTAGATTGGTTACACCTCTTGCAACAGTTGAAGACCCAACATCAATGTCAAGCTGAGAAAGAAACAAAGTTAAAAAAAGAAAAAAAAACATTATGGTTTTGTTATCAGATCACATACAAGATCAATTGTGATTCATATTTTACCTCTAAGTAGTTCTTGCCGCGGGTGTAACGAACTTCAAGTGCCTGACCAACCAAGCAAGCCTTCTTTCCCACACTTTGTTTCACAATCCATGAACCTTTGGAGATATGAGGGATGAGTTTAAAGCGCGAGTTGCGATAAGCATCGTCACCATTCACAAAACTCTCTAACAAAGGATGCTCTTCCAGTGGAGTTTTCAGCATATAGTACAATGCTAGAGAGTACATAGCCGAACCCGGGACCTGATTCATACAATTGCTACTAATTAGTGTCTCTTGACTATTATAAAACCATTGATTCTTTAGATTCATAAACTCTCAAAATTCACCTGTATGTTTACAATGAAGAAAAACTCGGGACTGCCTTTCGCTGCGAATTCCTGAACTAGACCACCTACTCGTCCACCAAAATCATCTTCCCGCTTATCTGAACTTATCCAGTCCGCTCCAATCATTTGCATCAATGTGCCTTTTGCTTTTACCTATTTTTTAAGAAGTACAAACATCATCATCACTTAGCATATAAGATTCAAGAAAAACACAAATACATTTGTAACTAAATAGTGGATTACCTTTTGTTGATCTTTTAGATAATTGTTTCCGCGAATTAAGAATGTCGATGGTTCCGCGGTAGACCAACTACAAGGCAGAGTGAGACTTGGATCTTTTTGAAGAGTGGCTCCATAGAAGAAGCTGTTATTTTCCTCCAAACCCACCTCTTGTAAATCCATATAGCCTTTCTTATTTATGGCTAGATCTTGAAGTTTCTTGACAATACCAGCTGGTGTTGGTATCTTCAGCTGAAACACACACACCTTTCAGATTAGTTTAATCCACAAGAAAAGTGGTTAAGCAGAAAATTACCTGATGTCCTTGAGAATATGGAGAGGTATCAATAAAGCTATCAAACTCGGTGGACTCGTTAGGCTCAGGAACGTCGAAAAACTCATCAGAAGCATCATTTAAGTCCATCAAACTATTGCGTGCTGAAGTAGGTTTATCCATTTCCTCAGCCTTCACAGTCTCTAGATCAACCTCTTTGGCCTCTGTTTTAAGGGGCCTAGTGTTGATCTTGGACAAGCAGGGTTTGGTGTCCAAAAACTCCCCTGAAACGAACTCAGTGAAGCCGTGTCCTTGTTTCGCTTTGAACATTTCTCGTAAGGCCGCAACCCTCTCAACCACACGGATGGTTATGGATCTTGCAGAAGATGGCCTCATGTATAAGTTCCAGCTTCTCCAATCAATGGCTACCATATGCTTTACTAGTGATTGTTTCCCGTTGTTCGCCGGAGTCACCACGTAACCACCACCTACATTCCGATGTCCCTTACTATATTAGGTCCCTTCTAACTTTTGATATGGAAAAAAACAAATTAGAGTGAAGTAAGAAACTTTACTTTTGACACAAGCGCGAACGTATCCCTTCTTTGGTGGGCAGTTCTTGTGATAGACAGAGTGACAAAGTATCACTGTGATATTCAAGGTTAAGAAGGTTATATATAAACCCGAAAACTCAACAAATCAAGAACAATATCAAGAATAATCATCATACCATATGTTCCATCTTCTTCCCTTCTCCAGTAACGTCGCAGCAATAAGTCTCTTCGATTCAAGCCCCATGGCAACCAATCACTGTATAACTGAAGATTGATTATATCTGTGTGTCCATCAAGATGCTCCACCACACTACCTTTGTAGAAACAGAAGTCCCATCTGCAAGAAATCCAACAAAGTTTCAATCTTTTAATATAATTCATAATAAGCAAGTAAATCCTAAGCTGAAAACCAGATAAATATGTAGACCTAAAGTGGCTAACTTGGAAACAAAGTAAGTGAGACTCGACCTAATAGGACAAGTTCTCAAAAGTTATAGAGCTTACTCTGATCTTAGGGGACCGAGAGACATTAACGTATTAAAAATATCTTCTGAAGTACCATCAATGACCCCAACTGCCATTATTGCAGGGTGATCATCCCAATGCTGCAAGTGCAATAGGTTTCAGCAAAAGAAAATAAGTGAAGAAACCAATTATAATTCACAGAGCGATAGTGCAATAATATGAACAAATAAGTATTACCCTTCCGCGGGAATCCCAATCTTTAGCTTCTTTGAAAAGGCGTAAACCTGAAATTCAAAAGTTTGAATAAGGCCAGCGGTTTCTTGAAAGACAAGAAATATTGTCTTTTCTTACCGTTTTGGCATCCAAAGATTTTCCATGGAGAAGGTGCAATGACATCAGGCGCAACTACTGTTTCGACATTCAATGATGTTGATGAGTAATTTGCCGATGAGTAATTTGTCCAGTCCACAGAGTTTTTGCGACGGTTCCTCTTTGATACATCAAGCTTCACAAGTCCCTTCTCTGCATGAGATACAAATTCGCAATCCGGAAAAGGAAACCCCTGATGAAAACATAAATCCAATGAAGAAAAGTCTCTAAAATTTTATAGTGTATAGAAAATTTTACAACTGTTAAAAAACCTTTTGTGAAGCATCCTGCAATGATCGGATCCATTTGGCTGCTTCTTCAGGACTACTTGCTCCCAACTGTTAAAAGTCAGAAACCTAACTGATTATTTACACAGAAGGTTGAAAAGTAAAGACAAAACCTTAATTTGAAACAAACCTTTAGTTGATCCAAATGGTTCGAAGTGTTGTAAAGAGTGAATATGAAAAGAATCTGAAACAACACAGGAAACCAAAAAATAACTAATTACTAAAATTTTCTGTGAAATAGAGAAATTGTAGGCTTATTAATATATAAAATTTGTTACCTTCCTATGGAAACTCTCTCTTCCATTGTCGGTAACCCGAATACAACAATCTAAAGATGCTCTTCTCTCAGGTTCCTACACATTAAACATAACTTTTTTGGAGTTTCAAATGGCTCATTCGTTGATATATCACAATTTACTTATTCATGTTGTTTTGTATCTATACGTAATTCATGACACGTGAACAAAATGTATCCTATGAGACAAAGAAAAGATGTGAAAAAGTTTAAAAGACAAACCTCATTGTGATCGGATGGTACAGATTTAAAACTTGTAAGGTTGTTTTCTAGAAGAACGAAATATCGTTTACGGGAAAATTGAAGGCCAAATCGGTTATGTCGGATGGTATAAAGCCAACCTTCCATTCTTCCGTCGGTTTGAGACACTCCCATTTCTCTACAAAATCTACTTTTTAGTTTTAAATTTCATCAAATGATTCAAAATTTCTACACAGAATCCATCAAGAAATGCATTACCACTTGAAATGCTTCTTCCCCGTAAACGAATATAAATTAGATATCACAAAACGTATTTGTCTCGAATTTGTAACTTGAAGCGATTCTCTGATTCCGCCGAAGCGAAACAGAGAATCAAAAGTATGAAAGATCAGCTGCAAAGAAAAAAATTATTTTTTAAGATTTTTTTTTTGTTTTTCTCTCAATCAAGAAAGAAAAACAAATAATTATTTTGTGTTGTTCTTCTTTTATTGTTGTTACGTTTCGTTTTGGTTATAAATTTTCAACTTCGTTGGTTAAAAATTGCTTGCTAATTGTGAGAGGTTAAATGATTGGCGCTTCTGTCTTTAGGTTTAAATTCTATAATTAGATTTTTTTTAATTTATTTATTCTGCTATTAGTTATGCTTATGCCCTTCGATATTTTTTTGTTTATAAGAAGGTTCGAAAAGCTAAGTTGGTAAATCGTAAGGTGAATGACTGACCAATTAGTAGAATCATTACCGAGTAATCATTGTCTATTGGAGAAACAAGTAACCCCAACAAGAACAACACATTACACAAGTTAGTATATCGTCTGGGTCTGACTATTAAAAATCTTATTTCCAAACAAGAATTTGTTGTTCTAGACTAGGCCTATTTCTAGACTGAGAAAAAAACAATAACGGGCCTAACCTATCAATTGGGCTTAACCCATCAATTTGTTTCATACGGCCCAACATTTCTTTGACTTTTCTATTTGGTATAGGAAAAAAGAGAAAAAATAGGGGAATACCAAATATCAATCTGAATTCTTATATATGTTGACAAAAAAGAAAAAACAAATCTGAAATATTGATGTAGAAAGAAACCCATATATTACCCAAAAATAACAAAGTTAATCATTGTACCTTCTTATCTCCAAGGACCAATGAATCTTCTTCTCCTTTGACATAATTCCTAATCTTAAAAGTAATGATTTAACAACTTAACAGTTTCAACCTTAACTATTCTTTTGTCAAGACAAAAATATGAGTAAAATTACTTAGAGAATTTATAGAAACTAACCTTGGATTCAAAAAGAATTCACAAACTAACCACGAGCTACAGTACCCTGTCTCTAACATGTCGGAACAGCTGTGTAATTACGTATATGTCCTTTGTAACACGCTTTTTTTTCGAATTACATGTGATAGCATGATATATCTCTTTTTATCATGTATTTTTCTCGAACTACATGTTATTTATAAAGAACACATAGTATTCTCGGAAAAAAACATTATATTCAGTGTAATATCTGTCTTTATCATGTTATTTTGTAATAATACACGTGTTTTATTAAGATCACATGTGAATATCTGTCTTTATCATGTTATTTTATAATAATACACGTGTTTTATTAAGATTACATGTGAATATTTGTCTTTATCATGTTATTTTGTAATAAAACACGTGTTTTATTAAGATCACATGTGATTTCTTTTTTAAAAAGATAATTATTTTTTAGTAATACACGATTTGTTTTAAGATTACATGTGATTTCTTTTTAAAAAGTTACTATTCAGATTAAATTTTCCATGTCAATGTTTTTTCTTAAAAATTCACTATGTTTTTTAAAATATCATGTCTTTTAGTTAAATATAACATGCGAAATTTAAATGTTACATGTTATTTTGAAAAATCTCACGAAACTGTCTCACATATCGTTGATCTTGCAACAAACGAATGATAGTTTTGGTATTTCACATCATCCGACCAGGTGGGTCCATGGCTATTTTCCAACAAAAAACTTTCTCTCTGCTATTTTGTTAATTTGAGTGTTTTATTTGGCTATTTCTTAATATCTCCCAATTACTTAAGGGTGTTAATTTTATATAATCAGAAACATAAAAAGAACAAAAAAAAGACAGCTTTAAGATTTTACCAACTCCACATTACAGAAACAGTAGAGATACCTGCAAAAAAACCCAACTTGGGGCCCCCCGCCATTACTTACTATTTTATTTTATTTTCCTTTTTTTCTCTGTTTCGTTGCCTTAATTCTTGCATCAGTCTCTTTCTCTCTCTCTCTCCTTTCTTTGTGTAAGCAAAGAACCAATCTTTAGATAATTTTGGAAACTCGTCATTATTCCTCTTGCAAGCTCGAATGATCGCCGCCTTGTTCCCTTGATACCTCGATTCCTTTTCTTCTTCCATCACTTGAATCTTCTTGGGTATCTCTCCACCTCCTTACATTTCTTTTTTCCAAATTCGACATTAGCTTTGTAACAAGTTAGGGTTCCTTACTTGTGGGTTTTGACTCTTCTGTCTTACTTCTTTGAATTGTCTTTGTTTGTTGAGATTCTTTTTCGATTTGATAGGTTTATCAGATTCAGAGGAATATAACGTATTTCTGTTGTTTTCTCCCACTTTTATTAGACTGTGTAAATAGTTTAATCAAATATTTAAGGCTAAAAGGAAATTTAGAAAGCAGAAACATCTGTTGAGAGAATGTGCCCAAGTCAAGTCTCTGTTTAAATTTACTTCCTTTTCTTCAGTTTTCCACAAAGAATTGACTGAATCTAGTCATGTCTGTCTTCTCAGACAAATAAGTCAAAAAGTCAATGCTTTTTATATCTTGTTCTATCAGAAAATTTGTGTTAAAGAATAAAGTCTTGACTTTTTCAAAGCCATGAGGTCTATTGTGAAAGATTAGAATGTTCACAAGTTGATAATGTGTGTGCGTTTTGTTTTTGTGTTGTCCAGTGTTGAATGGATCCTGTGCCTGTTCGATGTCTTCTTAACAGTATATCTCGGTATCTTCATCTGGTCGCGTGCCAGACCATAAGATTTAATCCTATACAAACATGTATTGGAAATATGGTTCTCTTGTTGAAGCTCTTGAAACCGTTGCTCGATGAAGTTGTTGATTGCAAGATACCTTCTGATGACTGCTTATATAAAGGATGTGAAGACCTTGATTTCGTTGTTAACCAGGCTCGGGAGTTCTTAGAGGACTGGTCTCCAAAGTTGAGCAAGCTGTTTGGTGTAAGTTGATGATATAAGTTCTCATTTCAGTTGTGCAGCTTTCAGTATTATTCAATGCATTGTTGTTGTGCAGGTGTTTCAATGCGAGGTTTTGTTGGGAAAGGTCCAGACTTGTTCGCTGGAGATTAGTCGCATACTTTTGCAGTTATCACAGTCAAGTCCGGAAACTTCAAGCGTACAAAGTGTAGAGGTAAACTAGTATTTCTTCGTTTCTTTAGCCCTATGTGTCTTCTTTGCAGCCATTTGTATTAATCTCTTGGAACGGTTTCAGCGCTGCGTGCAGGAGATTGAGAGTTTTAAGCAAGAGGGGACGTTAACCGAGCACATGGAGAATGCTTTACGGAATCAGAAAGATGATATTGCCTCTTTGGATAACCATCATCTGGAAAGCATAATTCAAATGCTTGGATTGATATCAAACCAGGATCTCTTAAAGGAAAGCATTGCTGTGGAGAAGGAGAGGATAAGATCCCAGGCCAGCAAGTCGAAAGAAGATATGGAACAAACCGAACAATTGATAGAACTCGTCTTGTGCATCCGTGAACACATGCTTAAAACTGAGTTTCTTGAAGTGGCTAAAGGTATCTCGATACCCCCGTATTTCCGATGTCCTTTGTCAACGGAACTCATGCTGGATCCGGTAATAGTAGCTTCAGGACAGACATTTGACAGAACATCCATTAAGAAATGGCTTGATAACGGGTTAGCTGTTTGTCCCAGGACGCGGCAGGTGCTGACTCATCAAGAACTCATTCCGAATTACACGGTTAAGGCTATGATAGCGAGTTGGTTGGAGGCAAACAGGATCAACATTGCTGCAAACTCTTGTCATCAGCATGATGGTGGTGATGCTTCATCCATGGCTAATAATATGGGTTCTCAAGACTTTAACCGCACCGAGAGTTTTCGTTTTTCTCTACGGAGCAGCAGTTTTACCTCAAGATCATCTCTTGAAACTGGAAATGGGTTTGAGAAACTAAAGATCAACGTGCCTGCCAGTTTATGCGGGGAATCTCAAAGCAAGGATCTTGAGATATTTGAACTTTTGTCTCCAGGGCAGTCGTACACTCACAGCAGGAGTGAATCAGTTTGCAGTGTTGTCTCGTCTGTTGATTATGTGCCTTCGGTGACACATGAGACAGAAAGTATACTAGGGAATCACCAAAGCTCCAGTGAGATGTCTCCCAAGAAAAACTCAAAAAGTTCAAGCAATGTAAATCATGAGCATAGCGCAGCGAAGACTTATGAGTGTTCTGTACAGGATTTAGATGATTCAGGAACAATGATGACTTCACATACCATAAAATTGGTAGAAGATCTTAAAAACGGATCTAACATAGTGAAGACTGCTGCTGCAGCTGAAATACGTCATCTCACCATTAACAGCATTGAAAATCGTGTTCATATCGGGCGTTGTGGTGCTATCACTCCACTGCTGTCACTTTTTTACTCAGAAGAAAAGCTAACCCAAGAACATGCAGTCACGGCTCTTCTGAACCTTTCGATCAGTGAACTAAACAAAGCCATGATTGTGGAAGCCGGGGCGATAGAACCGCTTGTTCATGTTTTGAACACAGGAAATGACAGAGCCAAAGAGAATTCAGCAGCATCATTGTTCAGTCTGTCTGTTCTGCAGGTCAACAGAGAAAGGATAGGCCAGTCCAACGCAGCGATACAGGCTCTGGTGAATCTTCTTGGTAAAGGAACATTCAGAGGAAAGAAAGACGCCGCCTCTGCTTTGTTCAATCTATCGATAACTCATGATAACAAGGCCCGTATCGTGCAAGCTAAGGCGGTTAAGTATCTTGTAGAGCTGTTGGACCCAGATTTAGAGATGGTTGATAAAGCAGTTGCTCTTCTTGCAAATCTTTCTGCAGTTGGAGAAGGGCGTCAAGCAATCGTGAGGGAAGGTGGGATTCCATTACTTGTTGAGACTGTTGACTTAGGATCTCAGAGAGGGAAAGAGAATGCAGCTTCTGTGTTGCTTCAGTTGTGTCTGAACAGTCCCAAGTTTTGCACTCTGGTCTTGCAAGAAGGCGCCATACCTCCGCTTGTTGCCTTGTCTCAGTCTGGTACACAGAGAGCAAAAGAGAAGGTAAAGACTT